AATACTTTATTTTATTATATATTCTTATTATATAAAGTTATACCCTGGGCTGATTCCTAGTTAATATTAGCGTTCTAAGTACTGTCGTTTAATTATAATTTGTAAAAAACTAAAATACGACTGTGTATTTTCCTCACCTTAGAGTTATGGCGCCACTATATATTTTATTATTATATTATTGTTTTTTCAATCATTCATTTTCATTTATTTTTATTTTTTTTGTTATTTTGTTTTAAAAAACTTGATTTTTTGTTTTAGATTTTTTTTAAAAATGTGAATGACCGCTATGAGGTGATGATGGATGATGATGATGAGGGATGATGAGGTGATGATTTTCCAAACTTTTTATTTATTTATTCAATGTATTTGTGTCTTGTATAAAGGTCGTTTAAACAAGTGGTGTAAATAGATATCTGCGGCGTCACACGAGGGTTAATTATAACTTGATAAGGGTATATCGTTACATCATAAGCAACCTTATTTATATACCGTTCATCCCCTTGTAAAATGACCCAGAATAATAATTTTATAGAACACTGTTTGCGGTAATATAGTTACGAAATTGATTTCGAAATTCGAAAACTTTTATACATTATCTTTTACCCTCAAATTTACAGTTCAGATTTACCTTAATGCGTCATTACCTTCTGCCAAAAACAAAACGATATACAGTTGTACTTAGCTAAGTCTCAAAAGCTAAGTTCAACGAATATACTTCATCAAGGATAACATTTTAATTAAGCATTATATAAAAAAATATTCGACGCGTTTTACGTAATTTGCAAGCATTTCAGAACGGAAAATGTTTCTTGCCAATTTCCCTTATAATTTCCCTTTAAGGTTTCCCACTTTCCTGTGTCTTAAACTGAATAACGTTTTTTCAACTCCTTAAATATAGCAGCTATTTTTCTACTGTAGAGCACACGAATTAGCGCACTTTTTTCTACTACTATAGTCTATTCCTAATCCACAAGTGAAGCTCATTTTTTTGAAGATTTTATGTCCTGGTAATAAAAAAGGGGGGGGGGTTTTTTTGTGGGGGGGGGGGGGGTTTTCTCTCTCGGGTTTAAAAGGGGGGGGGGGGTGTGCTTCCCCCCCCCAGTTTTTGATGTTTCACCGATAAGATGACAACTCTTTTTTTTTTTTCAATTTAGTGCACTTCACTGATTCATCAATTGTTTTTTTGTCTCTTGTCCTTATATTTCAGGGAAAAATTACATGTTTTGATTAAACAATGTGGTAATTTTTTAATCAAAACATTACCGATAATAATAATACAAACTGATAGTTAACCTCAATTGTAATGAGGCACTTAGGAAGGTGGGCCAGTTTTTTCACAAATATTAATTAGTATTGGTTTAAATATTCAATTTAAATCACTTCTGATTATATATAATTCAAAAAGCTGCAAATTCCGAAAAACAAACTCCTTTATTTGTTTAAAAGGTAAATTACAAATGTCATTATGGTCATTCAAAATTCTTGGCATACGAAAGCTTCACGCATATTTACTTCTTTTTACTTGAAGATTCTTTTCCTTCTCTCCGCCCCCCCCCCTTTTGTGTCACTGGTGCGCGCGCATCGAAATTTCAAACGCCAGAAGTATAACTTAAAAAATAAGTACCTACCCCAATAAAGACAATTGTCAGTGCCCAACATGATCTATTTGAAGAGTCATGAATAGTTACAAGAAAAATTATTGTATTTTAGAAAACTTTTGAATAAACTGACAAATTAATTAACAAATCTTCGTTATAAAATCTCCATATGATTCATATTTTGTTCACTCTGTTTTTCTGCTATTGTTGTCGATAATTAAATGAGGTTTCATGAAAAGAGGAATTAATTATGTCACCCATATTCTACCCGGATGCCACATCCGAGACACTTCGAATCAAGATGGACGCTTTTGATCTATTTTTGGCGCCAAATGGAGCGTGTCGTTTGTAAACATTCAGATTGATTGCTGAAGTAAGAGCAATAAACAACGATCGAGAAGGTGTCGTAATGGTTTCTCTAAGAAATAGCTAAAGGGCCACACACGGACATATGCCCCCGAATTTTATGCGAAAAGCGCGCACAAAATATGTTGAGGTGAGATGTGAAATAGGATATCATAAATGTAGATTTATTGCGTGAGATTTATCAAGCTTGAAAATGCACGCAACACGGACTGAAACGATAGCTACGACGACGTTCAGTTTCAGCAAAGTCGTTGGCTTGGAAAATCAAATGTGTAATAAAACAACAATCGTTACATCTGTGGTTAGTAAATTTGGTGAAAATTAACTGCATTTAAAAGGGCAATAAAATATTTCAAATTTAATACGTATTGATGTTTTAATAAACGAAAACAATATCATAATAGAATTAATGTATACACGCATTTATCAATGTCAGGCCTTACAGAGTACACCTTCAATCATAAAGTGTTTTGCTTTCATAATAATTATTCACCTTGCGGTCAGGCTAAATAAAGTCTTTTGATCATACCGCATTGGCTTACGTATTCTTTTTTATCATGAAATAGTTTCAAAATCTCGTGAAAGTAAAATGTTAACTCAATTGTGAAGCTACACAATTCGTCATTTACTTGGTCTTCTGTTGATTTTTGTTTATTAGGACTAATCTATAAAAATAATACTACGTAATATACACACTTAATTTATAAACCATATTATCAGGCTGTAAGTATATTTTCCCGTTTCAAGTTAGGCTTTATGCTTGTAAATGTAACGAACTAATGCAACACCCTAATTAATTTGAAAGTTATTATTGACGGTCGGTAAATAAGGATGTTACAGACGGAAACAATTCAGTGTTACCAACGTTAATTAAACCAATGTAAATATCACGTTGTTTATAGTTTATACTCGACCACAAGCTTCAGTTAATGACGTTTAATTTAACTAATGTAAGGTACCAAGTTTATATTATCACACTACCGAATCTCTAACAATGTCTAATTGCCAAAAACTAAATTTATTTTAGTATTATATAATTCTAGACTTAAAACAAACTTTATGTGAACGAAAGCAAAACATACATGTTACGGACTCGTTAGATATTCTTGTATTACTAAAATTATTTTTTAAATACTCGAAACAGCATCTTAACATTCAATATACTTTTACTTTTGTAGAATAATATAGTGATGAATGAATCCAACGCCAACGTCAGAAACTATTATTACGGCAACCATTTAAATAAAATGAGTGCTGTCATTTCCCGTTTCTCGCGTATTTGTTATTTTTCTTTAGTGTTGCCAGATATAGTCGAAGTCGCCCTCGCGTCGGCTGAGTCAGGCAAATTACGACGTTCGTGATTAATATTGACTATTTTTGGACGAACCTAAACTCCATTGTTTTACAACCATACACGTTTAACTGCTTAGTTAATGACTCCAATAAATTTCCTTGTTTCGTCAATTACGTAGAATTTTAAACTTATAAACTTTTTGATTGATTGTGAAGAGCCAAAGTAGGAAAATGTATTTTACCGTTGATTTAAATTTATTGTAGTTGTTTAATTAAAATTGATATTCATATTAGATTTTACCATAATTGTGGAGACTGCGTATTAAAAGCCCCTCTCAAAGTCCGTGCATCTCTGTACTTACGGAATCGCTACGTGTCTAAGAGCAAATTGATAGAATTTGTAGACAAACTGTTACTACCCTAAAGAGTCAGTGTACAATTCTTAGAATTTTATAAAAGTCACGCTTCATTTCATATCTCACGATTGCTAAATACATTTCCCAGTAAAACGACAAAGAAAATATAGTAAAATATCATTAAACTATCTATCTAAATTTGTACTAAGTGTAATAAAATATGAAGTGTAAAGTGAGAGTTTTTCAAATGTGTTCAACCATCGGAATGTTGTACCTACAAGCGGACAAATGTAAGTGACGGAAGATATTAATAACGTGCGATCGGTCTGGGAATTTACACAGATTGTTAACATGTTCTGATTTATGCGTACTAATTTATAGCTTTACAAGACATATCAAAACCAAAATTAGAAAAAATAAACCTAGTGAATACAACGAGTATATGAAGGTATTACAACTTACCTCTCCCAAATGAAGGATGAATTGAGGACCCTTATGATCTTATTTTAAAATAATAACATAGAATATAATAAAATATAGCGGATGGCCTGAGGATAAGTGATTATCTGCTGTACATTAATTACTATCTTAGTACACTTTTTGGGATTCCAAAGATGGTATGGTATTAGATAAAATGACAGCCAGATCTTTTAGTAAGTAAAAATATAATATGATATTTATCTTGAGTTTCTCTATTTATATACAACGATAAGCTGCCTGCTTACATTCGCATTGTTATTATTATACTAAGCAACATTTCATGCAATGCGGTATGCTTGGAACCACCGCAATCCCGATACATATCTGAATGTCGCAAGGATTATATCCATTGCGGTTTTGTGCTACGTGTTAGTTTTAATACCCCGCGTTTATCGCAGTTATGGTAATAAATCATTTTGTATGCTAGCCCATGTTGAATATTCACGACGGACATATACCTACGAAATATGTAGGTAATATATAAATTTCTCGAATATAGCTTTTCCTATAAACCTAAGTAATTTTGTTTTGTTAGTTTTTTGGATTCTCAACAGACACTAAGATTTAGAGCTTTAGTGGCGGTTGAAATTCTTTAAATGACAATGGATTGAAGTTTTTTGCACGAAATTATTTTACATAAGAAGTAAAATAATTAATAATTTAAAAAGCTAGTCTACTCCTCCCTCAAAGGCCGTCAAGGCACCCACTAAAAATGGGTGTCTATGGGCTGCGTAGACTGCCCTTTTTGGTCGTCCCGCAAGCTCGTTTGCCCCCCTATTATATAAAAAAAATTTTTTTACAAAATAATTAAAATAAACCCGTAAATCTAATTAATCTTCGACTATCTATCAGTGTTACTAATTGTCCAGCTGTTTCATAGTATTTCTTTTATTTTCAGGTCCGCGCCATGGAGCAGCGGCTATGCGAATGGCCGGCGGGCGCTGAAGGTGCTCCAAAAGCCATCACCAAGCTTGAAGGCCAGATTGAAGAACAGGTATACAACAATAACAAACGGGGTAAATGGGAAGATGCTACTAGTTTCAATAATGATTATCAGGTTTGGATGACAGTCATGTTTTTTAAATCACTTCAGGACTACGTAAATATAAAATTTCGATATATGTAAAAACATGTTTTACTTAAATAGGCTTATGAAAATAATTGTTATCAGTTAAATACGTAATTATATAATTCCAACCAGATAGAAATTAACTGATTGTATTGCGTATTCATTTAACTTTTACCGCACTCTTGGGAAACATAATGGTTTCATTCAGAGTTCCTATTTTAAGTTAGAAATTGCTTTCGGCCACAAAGGTTTCTCTAATCAAAGGTTTGGTAGCGTATATTTTACTTCACTCAAGTTTTAAGATCTTTAAAAACAATCTTCAAAGTCGTAATATTGAGACCGGAGCAGCACCAAAATACGATTTTTATTATGTTGGCAACACTTCTACGTCATTAGTTTGACAGTAATTATCTAAATACTTAATATTAACACGTTAGACATTTGACTCTTTTGACAGTTGTTTCTTTTAGGGTATCATGTAAAAAATATTTATTTATTAAACCAGTGAACTGATATAATATATACTTCTATTATAATTATCTTGTTCCGTGCTTGTGATATTAATTTTCAAAAACGTTATTTACTTAGTTATTCGTTGGCTACGTCTTTTTTATTTATTCTGAAGGCAAGGCTTTTTTTTATTCCGCATGTAATAAAAAAAAGCAAATACTGGCAACACAGTCGCCGGCTGCGGAAATGCCGTTTTGTTGTATCGAATACGATTTACGATTTCACCTGCAAGTAAAAACTTTTGTTTACATTCTGTGTTGGTTGGAACAAAGTTGATAAATGAAAACATGTTTAAATTAAATAAATGTTACGTGCAAATCTTAACCGAAATAGTAGCATCGTTAATGAAAAGCTTTAGGAGTTTATAAATTGGATGTTTGGTTAATAACAGTGTTCGCAAAGATGCAGGTAAAGAATTTACCATAATAGTTATTATTATTTAACGTGATAGTTTTCTATATTCAAAATTTTATTTATCAAAAAACAAACCCCGCAATTTGTCGCGATAGACCTTACCAAAAGAGTGTTGAAGTAGATGAAACAACTAAATGTAGTAAAGCGTTAAGCTTATTTAAATTTATTCATAGAAGCAGCTGCGACTTCAAGACGCAAAACAAGTGGAGGCAAAAGCCGCTCGTATCAAAGAGTGGGTCACGAATAAGCTTCGGGAACTGGAACAACAAAACCAATTGCTTAGAGAACAGAATGATCGTTGTAACCAGCAACTTGAGTTACTAAGAAACCATATAGCAACTCAGGGAAGCAGAAATAACACTGTAAGTACTTAACTTTACTAAATATGTTCTCTGTACAATTTGCATCACATATACATTAATTTTACCACAAATAAAAATACATAAATTTTACATACTATAAATGAATACTTTTTGTATGGTAAAGTAATCAAAACTACACGTAAGTTACTGATAGAGTAGTGTAATGCATATTGTACTTGTATAAAAAAATATGCTCAATTAAGCCTATTCATTATTTTCTGCTCATTAATATTAGATATACATTATTAGTTTTTAGCAAACTAAAATCATAACACTTTTCAAACACTGTCATAAATAAAGTAGATCAAATTCCCTCAGCAGTTTGTGCCCTCTCGAGGGAGTTTATCCCTAGAAGTGAGGTCTGCGGACCCAACTCGTGCCTCAAGTCTCTTAGCAGCAAATCGTCGACGCTCAGAAAGTCTAGAGGGCCCACAGGTAGCCTAGATTTAATGTTATAATGGCTAGATTGGATGGCACTGTAGTTGTTTATGATATTATTTGATTACCTACTCCTAACCAAATTGAGAAAAACCTTACCTGAACAAGGAAATTTATGTGTGTCATTCAATGCAAGAATCTTATACCCCAATATTTACTACTAACATTATTTGTGCTATATTCTGCCTACGTCTTGTAATTGTTTTGTTTGCAAGATACATAATTTATATGTTTACAAAAAAATCTGTCCTTTGGAGACATCTAAATATTAGAAACTTTTTCACAAATACAAGTACATACATGAAATGAAAGTTTCTCTATCATTTTCATCTTATCTAGACAGTGCACTATTATTAATATTTATTTTGATTAATTGCTTGTTCAATAAGTCTTCCATTAAAATCAAATTCTGATACCCTATCCATCTATTCAAATTACTAAAATAAATATCAAAATATATTTATATTTGTACAATCAGTAACTAGATTATATATTCTTGTTACTAATTGCTGACTTGTATATTTAGTATGTTTACCTTAGTGGTTGGGTGTGGTACCCCAGCAAAATTAATGATAAGCATTATTTAAAATATAATGAAAATAATGTATTACTTTTCTAAAAAAATTACTATTACAAAGCAATTCTAAATTCAGTCATAGACTATGTTTTATATTTCCGCTACATATAAAATCATTTCAATTTCAGTTACCCATTACAAAATCTGAGCCCCACTATAGTACACCAGTACGGCATCGCAGAAACCTATCAATTGGTACAACGAACTTGACACAAACTAATGTTCCACAAATAAGCACAATGAATAGGACAATGGACGAAAGGACAACGGCTAGTTTGTTGGCTGATGATCTAGCTGTGAGTAAATAAACCTTAAAGTTCCTATTGTAACATGCGGATCTAAGTACTAACATTCCTTTACTGTACTAACAGTATTTGTTATTATGGGTACATTATTGTAATCAATTAACTTACAGCTAAGGCTGAAGATAAATAAGTTTATATAGATGGTGATTATACAATAATTCTTTTTATATTTTGTATAATGAAATGGTGAGAATCAAAGATAAATATTTGTGTATTAACCATGCTTAAGTTATTCTTATTTTATATTAACATAAAAATTAATTTACTTTTAATAATATCTACTCACTTAATACCTAATTTAAGTAAATTCTATTTACAAAAATAAGGCACATTTAAGACTACTTGAAACATGTTATATCATTACAGATTAAAATTTCAATTACACACTGAATTTCGGAGAACTAACAAGAACATATTTGATTATTACAGGCGGCCGTGGAGAACCTAGTGGTTCTTCCAACGACACCAAACACATCAACAGATGGCGACACAACTCATGACTATGCTGAAATTTACACACCCAGTCGAGGTAATTATATAATATATATTATACTAGCTAACCCGGCAAACGTCTTTTTGCCATGTATATAATTCCTAAGAAACATTTTTTTAGTTTAATAAAAATAACTATGTACTGTAATAAAAAATAGGATTTGATAATAGAGGGTAGACGAAAATTAAGGGTTGTATGTATGTACATATATTTTTGTATGCTGTATCATAAAAAAATAAAAACAAAAAAAATGTCTAAAAAATAAAAATAACATTTTTGGGGTGGAAACCCCTTATCACTTAGGGGTTTGAAATATAGAATATAGTAGCCGAATCTCAGATTTATATAATATGCATAAAAAAATCTCATAAGAATCGGTTGAGCCGTTTCGGAGGAGTATGGGAACGAACATTGTGACACGAGAATTTTATATATACATAGAGATATAATGATTTTGAGACTATTGTGTATTTCAATGATGTAACTCCAATGGGGTCATTGACCCTTAACTAAATAGTCAGACATTATACAAGTACTTAAAAATATTTGCTTAACATTACTTTACCTATGATATGATATGTTTAGATTTTAAAATCTTTCAGGGACAAATATTGTGATGAATCAGGGATAATGTAATTCTCATCGTCAAAGAATTATTTCAATACTTTTTTCATTACATTCTTCATCTCCGTCTCTTCATTACTGAAGGCTGTGCCTGTCTTGAAAAGCCCTAACCGATACGTCGACTTGCTGCCTCCACACCACTCTATCCTCAGCTTGTTTCAGGGCATTAGGGATGAGACCCATAATTGTCTTTATTTGGTCAGACCAACGGGTTGGTGACGGACCCTGACTTATCCATCCACCTTACCTATTCATCATAAACATACAAAATCTTTCCCTTATTATAATTTAATATAAATTCATAGAAGAAACTTTACTTCATTATATTGGTAAAAAAAAATTGCATAATTAGAAGTTAAAAATAATTTAAAAAAAAAATTATGTAAAATAATTTATTTACTTTAAAAAATCTAAATGAAATGGCCTAAAAAATCTGTGGCCAGAGCTCTATTGTATTAATTTAACTCTGAATATAAAACTATTTATTTCAGAACGAACCCCTGCATGGCAAGGCAACGTCAACGTTGTGATACAAGGAAACAGTAGAGGAGGATCGTCTACTGGAGACAGTTCCACATCAGAACAGCCGAGACCGCCGACGCCACCTTTGCACAGGTTTCCCAGCTGGGAAGCGAAGATATACCAGGTATATACATATAACCTTTATACAATGATATACACGTGAATTTATAAATATATTATTAAATATTACACTTAATGTTAAATCATTAATAACCATTATATTAGATACAGGTTCAAATGCTACTTTAAAATATCATTTATATAATAATAAAATAATATACATTGAAATAAATAACTAAACTTAACATAAACTAAAATATATTATTAAAAGGAGTCCCTTTAGGCAAGGTTCCGAAGATACTGGCAGCGTTCCCCCTTTGAATTGCTAGACTAATTCTTTGTCCGAGGTAGCTGCCAGATCTTCGGTCAATTGTGATGTCGACTAACCTTTTTGAAATTTCTTATGTTAGATTAGAGATTTACAAACACATATATGTTGAAAAGTCGTCTCTAATCTTCATTATAATATAGTATTCTAAAAGCTTCATTATAAAATAAAACATTAAAATTAATAAATTATTTCTTTCTCCAGGCCATTTACAAACAAACCGTAGCTCCCGACTAAACGACGTAAACTTTATAGAACGTAAACTAAAACTCTTGTTTCAAGAGCAGTCAAAGCATTTTTCTGTATGAATTTTGACATATTTGACAGCACTCAAGACAAGATTGAGACTTGACATACGAATTAGGCAACAGACAGAAAAAAATAGGCAACAAACTACCGACTGTCCGATTATTTCTAATTTAGGTTTAAAGACTTTATTTCTCAAAAAAGACAAAAAATGTCACTTACATGAAAATAATACTCTAGATTAACATAAAATTGTAGTCGTTCTTAAAATAATCACAATAAAAGATAGCCGTACATGCAATAAACTTAGAAATAAAAGTAACTAAAGAAAATATGGTGAATTTGAAAGTAATTTTGTTTAACATATTCACTTAGCTTCGATTTGAATGAATTGATAGAAGTAATATTTTATATATCTGAGGGTAGTTTATTATACAGCTGTGCGCCTTCGTATGTAAAAATTTTTTTGTCGTAGTTCGTACGTACTTTAGGTAATGCAAGATAACTCGTTCGACGCATACGTCTATGAGTCACACGTGGCGGCTTAGAGAAAGCTAGACTAGTGTGGAGAGTTTTGAGAGTGTTGAGAATTTACACAAACGACCTCCCATTTGTCATTTAAATGATCCTAATGCTTGGGATTGATTTCAAATCAAACAATTTGTATGATTATATGAAACTTGGCGATTAAAATGAGTAGCGGAGAATTTCTTGCCAGTTCTTCTTGCCCGCTCTACGCCCTTGAATTGGGAACTGGTAGTAAATGTAAATTTAGAACCAATTTAACATCTTTTCTGTTGACGTACATAAGTGTACTTTATTACGTATATGAATTTATAAAATTTGAAATTGTTTGAGTTTATTCTATGAAAATCAACTTGCTGAGAAACATAGCTTGGTGCTCACACTCTATGTGTCACCCGTACTATCTACCAGGCATATTATACATATTTATTATTATTTATGTTTTTACAATTTTACATTACATTTACAGTATTTACAATTTTCTTAACCTATAAAGTAATAATAAAAATAATTAAAGAAGAAAATCAAAACAAATTTTAAAAGTTTGGTCCCTGTGGCAAAGCTAAATGTTAATTAGTTAAAAACAACGGATTCTACCGTCATATTTATCCCAATCCTAAAATCATTATCAACCGAATTAAATAGCGCAACCGTCAACGTTATAAGCGATCTCTTCCAGTCAACCAGTTGCCGACCACGTTAGAAATAAACCAATGGAATCGTAATGTCACATTTAAAAAAAAACACTACACACGTATTACTCACTTAAAACTTGCACTTTAATAATTATCTTTCATTCTTTTTTATTATTTTTATGTTGTGTGTTTCTGTGTGTGTGTGTTAGTAAGAAATGTTATGTCTATAAATGTTCACGAACAATCTAAGACCAAGAACAAGAGTTCTTTTTTATCTAGCAGTAATGTTTTTCACTAAATTCCATCCAATAACTCAGGTGGCAGACGACGGCCTTCAGCAGTCAGTAGAAGAGGAACTCAGCCCTCCCCCTTGTCCGCGCCCGATGCACGAGTCCACCAGCTACCAGGACATCTCGGTGCCCGTGTATGCTACCGTCAAAGGGGTGAGTTACGACATTGCTTGGCAATCAGGATTATGGACCTCTCATTTCTTCTTCTATGATGCAAAGAAATATTAAATGCTTGTTTTGGGATATGTGATTTTTTTATGAAGAATTATTTTGAATTTACAACCACAATAGACAATATCTACGACAGAGTTATCGCACAAATAAAGATGTACATATAAAGACTAGCCGTTTCGCGCCCGCTTTGCTGGACGAATTAAAATAAATTTTATGTTTCATTATTTTATTTTATTTTCATATTTTTATTATTCTTCTTTTTAACTTCCCGCTAAGAAAATTGAAATATTTCGAAAATCGAGTTTTTAACAGATGTTGACGTTTAGAGGTTCTAGGAAGCCCCCCGAATGTTTCCGCGGTGAAGTCCGTATGGATAAATTTTCATAAAAGAAAACAGCAATAAAAAAATGAAGGAACGTTGGAATTTAATAAATAAATAAAAAGCCATAAACCATCTAGGAAAAATTTCGCATCGAATGGTAGTAGTTGTTTAGGCGTGAAGGAGCCTCAAACGAAGACCATTTTTCTTTTATATATATAGATAGATAGATTAACATGTTTTATCTTCAAGAAATTGAAGGAGGCACTTAAAAGGCCGGCAACACACTCGCGAGCCTTCATCCATTGTGAGTGTTTATGGCAGTATTAACATCACGTGTACTTTTGACTTGTTTTAATTCTGAAAAACATACCTCAAAGGTTGTGGTGAACCTGAAGTAGCATATTAGTTATTTTGACATTAAGATATATTTTCGTATTGCAGAGAGCGAGCCAAATCCGTTCGATGCCTTTCACCGGAGACTCTTCGGACGATTCCTCGGATGGCGAAGAGTCTATGGGAGTCACGGTTCATAATACGCCGATGCATAATCCACATTTTGGTAAGTTTTCTATTTTATATAATACTAGCCGTTTCCCGCCCGCTTTGCTAGGCGAATTAAATTAGGAAATAAATAAAATTTTATGTTTCATATATTTTTTTTTTCATATTTTTATTATTCTTCTTAACTTCCCGCTAAGAAAATTGAAAAATTTCGAAAATCGAGTTTTTAACAGCCGTGCAGCCGCGGTGAAGTCCGAATGTATAAAAAAATGAAGGAACGTTGGAATTTAATTTAATGTAATAAATAGCCATAAACCATCTAGGAAATTTCGCATCGAAGGCGTAGTTAATGTGTACGATCAGTGGTTAAGGCGTGAAGGGGCCCAAACGAAGACCATTTTTCTTATATATATATAGATAACGACATACTAGCAGGAATATAAGAGTGACTCAAGAAATATAGCTATTTCGATAACTTCTACTTTATTGCGTTTTTGAAGTGAAACTTCTTTAGGCGTATGAGGGTAATTTTTTACGGAAACGTCACGAAAATGTGCAGCGTTTTTGTCGAAGAAAAGGGAGAGAGCGATTGAGACCGATTGAGAGAGGGAGAAGGGCAAATTACCTTATAGAAAATCTATTTTTAAAATTAAAATTTCGTAAATAGAATTTATGAAATATTAGAAACATCCCTACTGACCCAGGAATAATTTAATTTAACAGAAAATTCCAAAGCATGACTTCAGAAAATCTAATACAATTTTTACATACGGTGGCCATTACCAAATAATATCTATCTATGACGTGTCCAGGTCAACCATCCCAGCTGCCAATAAACAACGTGAACCTTACCAGCATCCTCCCAGCTGCGATCCAGCAGACGAGCCACGCGCTGGTCCTTAACAACGGCCAATGCAGCTCCTCCGACACGAGCCTCAGTGCCAGCAGCCCTTCCAAGAGTGTGAAGACCAGCTCCAGCTTGAGTCCCGCCAAGAGGTCCAGCAGTGGTTCACCGAGTAAACAGAGTAAGACTAGAGGTAAGAAATAACTTCAAAAAATATTATTAATATAATTGCTGTTTAAACCTACTTTAATCGCTTAGTATTTCCTTTATATCTGAGCACTGGGGCTGGTGTCAGCTGTCAATTGTCATTATTACAGATTACAACGTCAAAGTCAAATTAGTTCAAGTTAGATAATTCTATCTGAAGACCATGTACCTAGAAAAAAATCGGTTGTCTGTAAAGTCGGTTTACTGACGATAGTTGAACGTAAAATCACGAATCGCACAGAGAGACACATGTCGAACGTGTTCAAAGCGCGGAGGCCGGTTGGGGCTGTTTGTCGTTCGGGGTCTCGTTTTTTTTTAAAATTAAAAGGGGGGGGCGGGGGGGGGGGGGGGGCGTGGGGGGTGTTTTTTTTTGGGGGGGGGGGGGGGTCAACAAATCAACAAACAAATATTGCAACTATAGGTTAAACATTATTCATTATAAAAAAAAGAAATCATAAATAACACCTCAAACAGAGTGTGAGCTTTTTTTTTAAAACGTATCAAAAGTTATTTCTTTAAAAAAAAAAATATCAAAAGCAAATAAAAACCTCTTTGTTTCTAATGTGTTTAGTTATTGTTCACTCGAATATTTTACATTTTCTATTTATATTTTTAATGTTATGTCAATTATTCGATACATAATTTGATTTATTATCGTCAATATTTTATCCTGGTTTATTCTAAATTAAAAATTAAATTAAATTTCTATTAACTGATCTCTGAGTATATTAAGCATTAAGGTTTTAGAATTTGATTGATCTATTCCAGATTCACGAGAACATACATACACAAATTCTTAACTTTTTTTTTTTAAGTTTGAAAATACAATATATATAATTCCAGATACGTCATTCGAGTCAGGCATGTCTGATGACTACGCCATCCCGCCAGATGCGATGTCGAGTGAGCCCAGTGTTAGAGATTCGCCAAGGAGACACGACGCCTTGGAGAAGAGTGGTCATCTTGCCAAGCTTGGTGGAAAGCTTAAGACGTGGAAGAAGAGATGGTGGACACTCTTTTTATAAAAGGGCTAAGCAGGAGGCTCGATGGTGTTAAGTGATATGCCCATGGACACACTGTCCGCTTTTTTCTTGAATTTTTTCGTTGTTGTAATAAATAGTATCGACTGATGTTATAAAAACCCCAAGGACCCAAACAGCGTGAAGCAAAGCTTTTTACAATTATTATACTATTTCTTTCTAAATCTTAACCGTTAATTCTTATATATAAATTATTATATAATTAACTTAAATGTATCTTGCGAAATAATTATATTTATTTTAGATTGTTAATTATCTGTCATCTGTCAAAACGGATGTTTTATTTAATTGTAATATTGAGAAGTTTTAGTCTGTGGAAAAAGACGCGAGTTTTGGCCGTAATATATTTAAACATAATTTATACCGGACGTAAACATAAATATTCCAAAATATTAAAAAGTAAAAATAATTACACTTCCAATTTTAGATTTTACTCGATTTTTTTCTTCAGATATGCACTTAACAATGCATTAAAAAAAAACATATATATATGTATAAGAACTTTATACATTCAAGCTGCCAGAAACATGATCGACGTATTTATCTATGTACATATTATTTATGTATGTACATTATAAAAATTGAGAAAACTATCAAAATATATGTACTAAGTACAGAACACAAATAATATATGTAAACCTGTATGCTATGTTATATTACGCTTCATACACGGAAATTTCTATAAGATTTTGATAATTTTCTTAGGCACGCAATTTTTTCGTTTAATTCTAGGTTTGTCCTAAAAAACGGTACGCTCTCCTACTGGAAATCACAATCGGAGGTCAACCGCAAACCCCAAGGCCAAATCGGCCTCGGCGAGGCTTGCAAGATATCGCGCAACGAAGGTGCTGCCACATTCGAAATATTCACCGGGAGTCGAACTTACTACCTCACGGCGGATAGTATCGCCACTATGGAAGACTGGATTCGAGTGCTGCAGGTAATAATAGTATTTTTTTAATGTATTAGGAGGCAAACGGGCAGGCTCACCTGATGTTAAGTGTAACTGGAGGGCTCGCGAGTGCGTTGCCGGCCTTTGAAGAATTGGTACGCTCTTTTCTTGAAGGACCCTCAGTGGAATTGGTTGGAAAATACTTCAGTGGGCAGCTGGTTCCACAAAGTGGTGTAGCGCGGCAAAATCTTAAAAACGCTCAGTTGTGGAACGACGGACGTCGAGGTGATACGGATGGTATTTTGTATTTTGCCTTGACGTCCGATGATGAAACTCAGCTGCAGGTAGACCGAACAACTCCTCTGAACACTCCATGGTAAATGCCGTAGAATATTAATAAAACTGTTCTTTGCACTGTGCTAAAATTCATCAAAGTCAGAGTGTCATTTATTGGTACAATTTTTTTAAGGTAATTTTGAATATGGAAAATCTTAGAAATTCCCTTTGTTCAATTAGATTTGAAATCTATTGAATATTAATACCCTTATCTTATAAAGGCCGACAACGCGCTTGCGGACCTTCTGGTAATGTGAGTGTCCATGAGCGGCGGTATCACTTCACATTAGATGAACCTGCTGCCCGTTGTTCCAGTTATATTAATAAATCAAACAATCAGTCACAGAAATCTAGATTAGACTTTATATTTAGGTTTAGTTTAGATGCTAGAGTTTTCTGGAGGAGATCGCTTGCTATAGTACGGACGCACGAAGAATCGACACAGACCCCCAAGTCTGCGCCGCGCAAAACAATTGCCGTTGGCCACAAGATGCAGTGACCGCCGTATGAGAGATTGTAAACCTTGAGTCATAACCAAAAGACTGTGGTGGTGCACATGTACTTTGGTTGTTTTGTTATAAGAGTAATTCTTTTTTTAACCCTGAAAAAGAACATCCGTGCTGGGATACGCTCGTGTGTAGTTTCGTTTTTGAGGTAAGTTGTTGTGAGTGGTGTTTGTGTTTGGTCGTTGAATTTATTTGCTGTTATGGCCAGGTCACTATCACAGTATATACGAATCTAACGACACCTCTCAAGCGAAAACCATCAAGCCGTTCAGGCGCAGAGCGTGCCAAAGAATATACATACATACACTCGAAAAATATAACCCTCCTGGCGCAGTCGGGTAAAAAGCATCCTTGGGTACTTACTTACCTATATTAAGTCGATGATCTTATTTACAAAGCTAACCAAATTCTAAACTAACGTTTTTAATATTCGTATTATTATTAATTAACTATTAATTACTTAAGAGCATGTGGAACATGGGTAATGGTTGCAGCTCCTTACAAACATTGTGTATAGCAAAAAACTTGGCGATTAAAAAGAGTGGAGAGTTTATTGCCAGTTCTTCTCTTCCGTTCTACGCCCTTGATTTGAGAACTGGCAGTAAATGTACAATTAGAAGCATTTAATGTATATTTCTTTATTGACGTTCATAAGTGTACATTGTACCTAAATGAATAAATTATTTTGAGTTTGAATGGATTTCGTCGTTAAATGACGTCATGTGATTTATTAAACGATATTCTTAAATTCCAGAACGTACAAAGACGAAACGCAACAAAATTACTTCTGAGCAAAGAAGACAATAAGCCCACGATACAAGGATGGCTGACGAAAGTCAAGAATGGCCACGCGAAGAAAAGCTGGTGCGTACTGCTGGGGAAGATGTTCCTCTACTTCAAGTCTCCTAGTGATCAGGTCAGTACTTAATTGATGTCAACCCATTGCTTTTAAACCATCTGGTCTTCTACTAATAATGTATTTATGGAATGAAACATTTTATCGACCATGATTAAGTTTGGTAGTGGTTTTTTTGTATGGATGTTCAGAAATGTTAATCCTTTAAAACAAGAGCTTATAATATAAGATTAGGGGTTGCGACGCAAGACAAAAAAAAACTAACTTGAATTCTTGAATGGTTATATAAATAAATGTAAAATATAAATGTAGTCATGGATAGGACATTATCGGAAACGAGAATGTTATATCACAATTTATGAGTGTGGGAAAAACTAAAGGTCTCATTTTGGCTTCAAGTGTGTGACGAATGCTAGCATTTGGTTTATGCTTTTAATTAATTATTTCCTAAAATTATTATATAGTTATTTTTTCGAATGAAACTAAAAAAGATCTCAAACGAAAGTTATGTTCCGTGGCGGTTATTGAATGGATGTTCAAATGAATGAAGCACTTTCTTGAATGAATGAAGCTTCTGTCTGTTTAAAAAGACACTTTGGTTGGCGAAGAAAAAACTACACTTAGCTTATGTCTGTATTAAATGTAAAATATAAATGTAGTATGGGTAGGACATTATCGGAAGCGGGTTTTTTATATCAAATTTTTTGGGGGGGGGAAAATAAAAGGTTCTTTTTTTGTTTTATTTGTTTTGAGGTTTTTTGTTTTTTGTTTTTTTTTTTTATTTAATTTTTTCAAAAAATTATTATATTTTTTTTTTTTTTGATGAAAAAAAAAATTAAAAAAAAGAGATGTTTTTTTTTGGGGGTTTTTTTTTTTTTTTTATTATATAATGGATTTTTTTTTTTTTTTTATGGTTTTTTTTTTTAATCGTTTAAAACAAGAACTTATAACTAACATAAAATTAGGGGTAGTAGGTTCCAACGCTGGATTATTAAAACTGTAACTTGATTTAAGGGCTCTTAAAACCAAGGGACACATCTGTTATCTATAAAGAATATAAGTGTAGTCGACGTATTGGATCATCGGAAACGAGAATTTTATCAACATCACCTTGTTGGCTGGAAGTCTTCCACAGTCTTCCACTCTCCACTTTTCTTTTGCGAACTAGCGAACTGTGGAATCGACTCCCGGTGGGGGTCTTTCCTGAGAGCGTTTCGGGAGTACACTCTAAAGTGTACTCCTCCCTCAAAGGCCGGCAACGCACCCACTCAAAATGGGTGTCCAGGAACTGCGATGCTTTATATGCGCCCGTTAGCTCGTTTACCCCCCTATTATAAAAGGGTGCGTGTACTTATGTACGCGCGTCAGAAGTTATACTTCTTTGGCATTATTAATAATACATACGGATAGTTAACCTCAATTGTATTGAAGCACTTGGGAAGGTTGATGAGCACAGTTTTTTCACAAATATTTTCTAATATTTATTAGTATTGATTTAAATATTCAATTTAAATCACTTCTGATTATAATTCAGACGCACATATAAAATTCGCACTTGTATAATGAAAACAAAATGAAAATACGTGTTTTAAATGTAGAAACTCAAAGCATGTGGATAAATATTATAAAAATACACAGTGAACATATGAATATATACAGAGGTTCCATTTCTGTTTTGTTGGTAGCATTTTTTCCTCAGCTTAATGAGCGATTTAGTGGGCAACTTCATTCTGTTAATTTTGTGTCACGGTGCGCGCGCATCGTAAAATTTCACTCTCATAAATTTTTCATAACGCGCCTAAAGAAGTATAACTTCAAAAAAAACGAGAATGTTGTATTACAATTTATGAGTGTGGGAAAAACTTAAGGGCTCATTTATTACTAAAAACGAATATACGAGTATATATTATGTGTGGCCATAGGTCAGAATATGATAAATGCAATTTCATTACTTTACAGGACAAGCAATTAAATTATGTGTTAAGAAATCTTGAAGGCACTATTAAAATATGAAACACTCGATATAGGAGTGAATGTCCTTATCATTGTCTATGACAACAAATATATATATATATATATATGTAACTTAACTATCGTTAGGTTACATAACTAGAATCCAAGTGATTTGTTACTAACCTTTTTTTTTTTTACTATAAATCGTAAAATATATTTTCAGAACCCAATCGGTCAAATTAATATGCGTGACGCGCGAGTAGAGGACGTTGAACATGTCTCGGATTCTGATTCCGAAGAAAAGAATGATGATGCAAGGAAACACCTCACCGTCGCTATTTATCCTCAACATCAGGTAATATGGTTATTATTAAAAAAATATTTTCTTTTGGTATGTTTATGAATTTAACCAATTTCTAGAAGGAGATATTTTTAAGTCTTAATGAAAATAATAAGTTAATTCAGAAATGTTTTTCAATTGTTGTTCAAATAAATTATTTTAGCGAGTTAAAAGACCGCTTGCTTAATTAATTTTAAGAGCAGTGTTGGCCTAGTGGCTTCTGCGTGCGACTCTCATACCTGAGGTCGTAGGTTCGATCCCCGGCTGTGCGCCAACGGACTTTCTTTCTATGCGCATTTAACATTCGCTCGAACGGTTAAGGAAAACATCGTGTGGAAACCGACATGTCTTAGACCCAAAAAGTCGACGTCGTGTGTCAGGCACTGGAGGCTGATCACCTACTTGCTTTAGATTTAAAAATGATCTTGAAACAGATTCAGATATCTGAGGCCAAGACCTATAAAGGTTGTAGCGCCACTGATAATTTTTTTGTTTAATTAATTTAATCTTTTGGCCTTTTTTCACTCTACAACACTTGTTTTTGCTCAGTCAGCTTGTTTTGTCAGCTTTCTGTAACGGTTTAGTGTTTTTTATTCAAATAGACATGTAGGGTATTGGCCTTCTGTGCCTGACAAATGTTGGCTTTTAGGTCTAAGGCTTCTCAATTTTTCTTTACAAGTGTAAAATTAAACGCATGACCTTAGGGTTGAAAGCTGCTCAAGCCCCTATTCCAACACGGCTCTACAAGTTGAATAAACGCGAATATTTCAGGGTCCCACGTACCTGCTGCTCGAGTGCAAGGCAGACAAGGACTCGTGGCTCTACCACCTCACGGTGGTCAGTGGAGGAGGAGGCACTCAAGGCACCCACTTCGAAAGGCTCGTGCAGAAGCTGATGGAGACTGATGGGGATCCCAGTAAGTTTATTTCGATCACTCCACTTTCCTTTGTCCTAATCTTATAAATCCCTGTTGAAGTGCTTTTTGGCGTCCAATAAAGAAAACTGTTAACCTAAGATCTTTGTCTCAAAGATGTATTACTAATCATCAAAATGGCACTTTTGAAAGTCAAAAAAAAAAAGAAAAAAAGGGGTTTTTTTTTTTCTTTTCAAAGGGGGGATTTGGGGGGGGAGGGGGGGGGGAAAGGTGTCCAATTTTTTTTTTTTAAGGTTGTTTTAATATTTTTTTTTTTTTTAATTTGTTAAATAATTATATGAAAAATTATAAAAAAAAAAAAAAAAGTAATATAATTTATATTAAAAAAAATAAAAAAAAAAAAAAAAAAAAAGAAAAAAAAAAAAAAAAAAAAAAAAAAAAGGGGGAAAAAAAAAAAAAAAAAAAAAAAAAAAAAAAAAAAAAAAAAAAAAAAAAAAAAAAAAAAAAAAAAATTTTTTTTAAAAAAAAAAAAAAAAAATTTTTTTAAAGAGGTTTTTAATTTTTTTTTTTTTAAAAAAAAATATATTATTTTTTATTTTTTTTTTTAAAATTTTTTTTTAAAAAAAAAATTAAAAATTTATATTTTTTTTTTAAAAAATAAAAAAAATAAATAAAAAAAATTTTTTATTTCTCTGGGAGTGTAACGTTACGTACGTGTACGTAGTGCACGTGTATGAAATTGTTTATTAAAATAAATTCTGGCTACTTATATTTTTTTAACTCGCGTGAATAAAATATTTTTATTTTTACATTTTAGGTGCAGAAACAGAAAACAAATTGTTAAATGCTAACTTATTACACACTAAACAACATTTGTAAACCTGAAGTGCAGTTAGATCTGTACACAGCATTTTAGTGGAATCTTCAGTGCTGGTTTATCAAATATTAACAATTACGTACAGCATATAATATGTACATATATTAAATTTAATGACAAAAAAATTAAGTTATTCAGGTTATTTTTAAAAAAAAAATTTTATAGGGTCTAGCATTATTCAAATACAGGACTTATGGATACTACAATGTTTTGAATACAGTTAAAATTAATATTTTTACTTAGTAATGGCAAAAGTAAAATATATGTAATAATAAATTGCGCTGGCAATAATAAAATTTAAAGTGAAATCACGAAAGCGAGACTCAAATCCATTCTCAAGATCTTTGCTTTTTTTCTATATCACAACGTTGTATTGTTATTTTGTAATACAAGCTACATTAATATTTAATTAATTATATTTACATATACTTACAGACTGCGTTTTATGGCGACATCCGACCCTACTTTACTCGAAAGAAAACATCACTTCGCCATTGACTACCCTCAATTCAGAAGCATTACAGGCTGAAGCACTCAAATTGTTTAAGGTATTTTTATGAATGTGAACGTAATTTTATCAAAGCAATAAAATAAAAGAAACCATTCGCCATTTTTAAAGTCAGTGGTTAGCCGTATGTGTCCTCTAAAAAATTGTGTATTTTGGAAATTGTGCCCAAAATTCTTGGATCTTTGTTAAATGTTTTGGTTTGTAAGAGCCAAGGCATGTTTAGATTCCAGTTAGTAAATACAAATATATATTATATTCTAACAATTTTTTTCTAATGTATTATACATTTTCATGAGAAAAAACCTTTACATTATTATTAATAATCCAACTAGCAATATAATAATTATTATTTATAAACTATACTAAATATACAGGGTGTCCCAAAAGTCGACGTCAAGTCGAAATTTTCTCATAGGTAATGCCACACCAGTTATCAGAAAAATTAAAAAAAATAATAAGTCATGTATTTTTGAAGTTATGGATATTTTTTTGTTATTCCAGAAAATGCACACCATGTGACAGTTTTTTCATTCCTGTTGTTACAAATATTTACTTTTTGCCAAAAATTTTTTCTCTTACGTCATCCCGAATAGTGTTTTATGTATCCTATGATCGTAAACTCTGTGCTGATCACTCCAACTTTTAGGAAAATGTCATTTTATACCGTACCAAGTTTTCAAAATTAATTTTTGCACTACTTCAACTGATCGTCCTGAAAAAAAAATGTATTACTCCAGTTTGGCAAGTAGCTTTAAAAGTTAGCGCATTTAATAAGGATTCTACAGTGGTATAACACTGAGTCCATTATTTCTTAGATCGGCCATAAGATTTTTTTTTGTTAAACAAAGTCTGTTTTTTAAAAGTAAATATTTGTAACAACAGGAATGAAAAAACTGTCACATGGTGTACATTTTCTGGAATAAAAGGAAAATTTCCATAACTTCAAAAATACATGACTTAATTTTTTTATTTTATTTTTCTGATAACTGGTGTGGCATTACCTATGAGAAAATTTCGACTTGACGTCGACTTTTGGGACACCCTGTATAAAAAAATCTATAACTCACTTAATATATTTGAAGAAGAAAAATTTGCTAAAATGAGGGTAGACATTCAGGTGGCTAAACAACATATGAGATATCTAGTGTAGCAACTACTACCACAACGCGGCACCAACAACGGAGTCATACCCAAAAGCGCCAAAAAGATTTCCCGCTAAGCATATTTTTTACCCGATTAATAAGCCCTGTATATTAAAGCGAACAAATTTAAAGAGAGAGTGAGACGTCAAGGCCCTTCAAACCAACAGCGACATTTAATTAAAAAAGGGTGCGTGTACTTATGTACGCGCGTAAGAAGTTATACTTCTTTGGCATTATAAAAAAAATGGTTTTTGATTGCATGCAAATAATTAATTACAATTAAATAATCAAAAACTGGAAAAGGAGTCAATAAAGTTCAGTTAATATTTGAAAAATTAAATAAATAAATATTTATTAAGTGTAACATAAATTCTATTATTATTCGAATGTTGTTTTTAAATTATGTCCAATGACGTAGCATCTTCCGTGGGCAACTTCATTCTGTTAATTTTGTGTCACGGTGCGCGCGCATCGTAAAAATTCACTCTCATAAATTTTTCATAACGCGCCTAAAGAAGTATAACTTCAAAAAAATGTTTAAAGAATTTCACCGGCTTTTCCAGTGCGTGCAACTGTTCATGTCTGTGGCCGTGGAGCAGGCGGGCATTGACTACCACGTGGTGCTGGCCCAGAATGCCCTCCAGCAATGCCTCGAAGTGGCGGAGCTGCAGGACGAGCTGGTGTCGGCCCTTTGCAAGCAGTCGGCCCCTCACGCCGCGGCCAAACATGCCGTTCAGGTACCGAGAAAACTCACCACTGCCAAGCTTAAGACAGTAAGTGCGCTTCTTTCACCTTTTTTAGCGGAGAGGTCGTACGGTACGAAGATATTCATTTAAAAGTGCTATATTATATCTAACCAATCGGAATTAAAAAAGCCGGTAAGGGAGCATTCAAGATAACGAATTTGGAGGGGGGGTCCTTTTGTTAAACATTACAATGCGGGGCGGCGATTGAATTACGCGTTATTTTTAATATTATTTACGACTTTCCTGTACTTTACACCACATTAGATGATCACGACACTAGGTGGTCACGAAACGTTTTACTATACTTGGGTACAGAAAAACGTTACGGCGCGTTACATGGGGGGGGGGGGTCAATAATCTCCAAAAATTGCGTGACGTAATACTTGAACGCTCCCTAAAGCACTCGCGAGCCCTTTGGCATTGAGACTGTCCATGGGCACTAGGCATTACTTAACTTAGCTTCCTGCCCGTTTGCCCTCTGTTCTATAAAACAAAAATGAACTCCCGCTACTGTTTGTATATACGCGATAAACTCAAAAAATATTGAACGGATTTTTGTACAGTTCGCCAATACGTAGTTAAACATAACGACTATTTTTGAAGACCCAATAAATCTTACCAAAATACTTAACCCGTAGCTTTAGTAAGACTATTTTTATCAAAACTATCTTATGACCTCTCCCAACCATTTGCAGCTAAACCACGGAGCTTTTTGGGTCATTCCATTATTTTTCACAATCTAAAAAGCTTCGTCTGTTGATTTAATTTGCCCCCAAATTGTAAACGGCCTAAATGAACCATTTACAAATCACTAATCAATATAACAGGTGTTTTGAATCTCCCAATCTAACTTCAAGTACCTGTTAACAAAAACCAGATATCGTCATAAAATTGTCGTAAATTTGGTTGTCTGTAAAGTCGGTTTACGGACGATAATGACGTAATAATGTCAAGAAAACATTGATGAAAAATTGCAAATCAAAATCAAATAAATCTATTTAAAAGTGAAAATTATTATCACTAATTATCATAATGCGTCACAAGGTAAACGCTTAGACTGATCGTGCCTCTCTATCACTTGTTCCGCGCTCTCGCTTGTACGCTCAGCTCAGGCGGAACGTGACAATAAGTCATGTTTTTATGCAAGTGCAGCCGGCGTTCGTCGATTTATCGTCACGTCAAAAAATTTGCAGCAAATAAAGCAGTTTTTTTGGCGATATCTGGTTCCCTCACGAGCTTGATAGCTAAGCTTCAAGCGCTTGCTTTTCTCATATGTTCACAATTGGTGTATTACGGTATACAAATCATATTGGTATTCTTTAGATGCTTCACGCTTTAGAATTTAAGGTACCGGAAAGCTCTATGTTGTATAAATTGAACTTTAAATTTCAAATTGGAATATCACTAGTGTTCTTATAGGACACGGTTGCTATGGTTACTGAATGCTATTTCATAGTTGAGATGTAGCGTATGACTTCTATATGTCAAATTGGATTTTGACTAAAATAAAAGCCCGTTTAATTCCTAATCAATACAAAAAGTAGAATATACAGCTTGGATTATTTGTTACACTTTTCATTCTATATATCCATATCCTAGCTACCTCCAGTACTCATTCTCCTATCTGTAAGAGACCTAAATAAGCAATCTAAAATATGTTAGCGACGCGATTTTAAAATACAACATAGAGATTTTATAAGACGCAAAATATATTTAAATTTAATTTCAAAAGAGTCAAATAGCTGTACAATTTTCGCAATAAAGTTTATTAAAAGCAACTATGTATTAACATCCAAATGGTAGCTTACCGTCAGTTTCGGTAAACAGTTTTTAAGACGTTCTAACGAAAACGTGTTGCCTTAATTTAGAAATTTTGAACTGAAACTTCTTTAGGCGCATGAGGGTAAAATTTTTCGGATGAAACGCTGTAATAATAATATTAGCGTCACGAAGATGTGCAGCGTTTTTGTCGAAAGAAGGAAAAGAGCGATTCAGACCGATTGAGAGAGATTGAAAAGGGCGAATTACCTTATAGCAATACAATTTTTTAAATTAAAATTTATAAAAAAGAATTTATAACATTAATAAATGATCGAACAAGACTTAAAAATTAGTTTCGGCAAAAAGTTTTAAGACTTCTAACGAAACGTGTTGCTTTGTATTTACGCACTTTTTTTGCTTCACTTTGTATTATTGCAGATATTATTTACGTACGTATTTATTAAGTACAAGCGTATTGGTTTTAGTTGCGTTAACTGATACACTAACAAGCCATTGGTATTTAGCTTCGAGTGATATACTGTGCTTTGTCGATCAATTTGGAATTTTTTGAATTCCAACTTGATTCCGTAGTTCTGGCAATGTTTAATGTTGCCGTATTTCAAATGGAATGTTGGTGTAATGTTTTTCCCTTTTTTTTTCATCCAAGAATGTTGGCCCGGCCCTTTAGACTTAGGGAATGAGTTTCATATCATATCATAGCTCGCTCCTTCAGCACTTTTCTAAGGTTGATGTTTTAGACTTTTCTAATTATATCCTTGAGGTGAGTAGTTATTTCTGGTAATGTGAAACTGCATAATATTTCTCGCTATTATTTCTTGTAGTTTACAAGCTTGGGTGTGGAAAAAATATCTTCAAACCATTATGTGTAATTCAGATGTATAAATCTTAATTGTTTTCTTGTGGTTAGATTATTTCAATGGGGCCTATGAATATGGGACAGTTGATAGAAACAAACCAAATCGTCAAAGTTCGCTCGCTTTTAATAGAACTTGACAAAACAAAATTGTAACTTTTTTAAACATATTATGCAGTTTTCATAAACAATCACACTATGTAATATACACCATCACTTCAGTACTCTATTCTGAATTCCAAAAAAGTTTAACTTATTGGAATTCTTAAATTTGGAAATCAATTTAAATTCCAATGAGCTGTCCATCTATGAAATCCAATTGCATGGAACGTAAAATTAGTTTACTGTGCTCAAATACCAGTACGTGTTCAACATCAGTTCGTCAAATTACCACATTCAACACACGAACAGCCCCAACCGACAGTCCCGACACCAACATTTCATTTGTACAGCAACTGCTGCTGTGTGCGACCCAATCGCTGTTCACTTGCGACACGGGCGCGTCGTCCGTCGGCGGGGACAAGGGAGACATGCCGCAACACCCGGCTGGCTCGCCTAGCTCCGTACAGGTACGCCTAGGAGCCGAGGCGTCATCTCCACGATCTACAAATTCCACAGTCAAACCTAGGATTTTCTCAAAGACTGCCAAAAAATCTAAAGTAGAGTTTTTTCACTCTACTATAGTACTATAGTAGTTTAATAACCTGGCTACATAATTGGAATTGGTCTTCAATTTTTCATGCAGGAATTATTTGTAATTGTGTGCAGTGGTCGCAATCATCACTAATTTAATACAGTCAAACCTGGATAAGCGAGAGTTCAAGGGAGCACAATCTCATCCTCGCTTATAGAGGTTTCTCACTAACCTGAGTTTCTCGCTAATGCAGGTACGTTTCTCTCTTATAGAGGTACGCAGCAAAAACAAGTCACAGCAAGCACGAATGTAGTTAATATGTGTTATATTATGTTATAGTTAGTATGTTAAGGTATGTGCATAATATGCACAACATATATATTTTATTAAGAACTTATTTACACTTAAAAAAATCCGTCATTTTCGTTTGAGTTTCTGTTTTTGTATTTAGAATGTTTTTCTCTAACTCATAAATTTTGTCGAATATCGCTTATATTAGCAGTCTCTCTTACGGAGGTCCATGAGGGAAAAAACTACTCTTTCTTACAGAGGTTTCTGTTTCTCGCTAATAGAGGTTTTGGAAGCTTAAAATGACGGGCCTCGGATATTACTCTCACTTATAGAGTTTTCTCACTTATCCAGTTCTCACTTCTCACCCAGGTTTGACTGTATATATTTTAAAAAAATCCTTTTTTTTAAATCGTGACGACAATTGTGATAAATCGCCACGGATTAATAAAATTCTGGACCAGTCTGATCGTTGGAGATGACGTCTTATGAACAAATAATGAATTGCCTTTACAGCTTTGTCGAGTAATTGTGAGCACGCGAAGCCTTTCACGAATATCAAATGAATTGTTGAAATAACTTGCTAATTTTAATTCCTAGGTAGCAGAAATAAGAAAACCAATCATCAATCATATGAGGAAAGCTTATATATGGAAAATACGAGCTAATATTTCAATTATAAGTAAATTTTTCAGGCGCCATTATTATCTGTGGACTGCAAAAGTAACCCTCCAACGTACAGTTTCATACAAGGCTGGCAGCTTTTAGCGTTAGCCGTAAGTCTCTTCGTACCGAGGAATAATAGGCTGTTGTGGTACCTTAAGCTGCACCTCAGCAGACATTCGGACTCCAAGTAAGTATATCTGGAATATTAAACTCTGCTTTTAATTTACAAACGATACAATTATTTTATTCATATTAGATCATGTACTTTGTACACGACGAGAACGTCAAACATATTTTACAAAAATCAATCAACATTCAAACATCATTTACCCATCAACTAGAAGAATATCTTTAACGATTATGAGATGTCGTCTGTAAAACGTGGATTATGAATGACCCGTTAGTAATAAAAAAAAAATTTTCTAAATATGCATTATAAAATAATAAATAAAATAAAATAGGAAATGCTGCAAGCGTAAAAGTTACACTGCCACCAAACTTAAATTTGTGTTAATTTTCTATTTATTAATTTTTATTTATCATTTTAAAGAAAATTGTAAATAATTTAGTAAAAAGTAAATGAAATATTTGTAATTATATATCTATCAAATATGTTTAAAATAAACCGTTAAATTAAGAAAGCGTAATATGAGTGATAGAAACGCAAAATTTAAATATCGCGTTTTCTGCTACTTAAAATTTAATATATTTACAGAACGGAATGCGGAAAATACGCAGCGTATTGCGCCCGCGCACTCGAACGCACGATACGCGTGGGCGGCCGTACTGATAAGCCGTCTCGTATGGAAGTGCTCTCCATATTACTGAAAAACCCCTACCATCACAGTTTGCCACACGCCATACCTGTACACATGCTCAATAATACCTATCAGGTGAGGACTTCTCTATGTATATGTATGAAACTTTTTCATTCAACAATTAAAAACTTTTTTGATCAATTCCCGGTAGCGGGGCGGGGGGGGGGCACATACTCCCTAGGGCTTTAATCATTGGAATGAAACACACTAACAAAGATATTTTAACCGCTAAGAATATATACAATTCGGGGCCTTCGGGCCTGTCAGTTGTTAGAATGGTTGAGGATCCTCTCTCTATGTTGGACGAAGAGCAGAATCTTCCTTTCTCCACAACTATAATAAAAAGAAGAACATAGTTGCTGTTGGCTTAAGCGTGCGTTTCTTCATTCGGATCACGTGCACGTTTGGATTTTTATACGTACACTGGTAACACACTCCTTGGTGAAGGCAAAAAACCTTTGTCCGAGGTAGCTACCAGCTCTTCGGTCTCCTGTGATCGACTAAACTTTTTGCTGTGTCCTTAAAAAAGCCTAAACGTAAACATATCTTGATCTAAATATCATGTGTAAAGCACAGATCACCCACTTGTCTATATAAAACAATGTCAAAGTAAGGGATACAATCTGAATTCAATAAAGTTGAAGAGATATTGAATTTTCTAGCTTCGAATAAAAATATTTATTTTAATAGTAAATTTGATTTCGTAGGTGATAAGTTTCGACGGTTCCACAACGGTAGAAGAGTTCCTATCGACCCTTAGCACTGAGCTGGGGTGTCGCGAGTCTTCCGCTTCTGGGTTTGCCCTTTTCAGCGATGACCCCATCGAGAAAGATTTGGAACATCACATCAAGCCTGACAAAAAGGTATAGCACTTTGCCTCTTCACAATCTGCAGAATCTATTACAGATGTTCTATTGCCATAAAAACTATTTTAAAAATTTGCCTATATTACTTTGGTTCATGAAGAGTAAAACAGGAATATTGTGTTTTTATGTATTATGAATAATAATTATTAAAATATTATTTTCGAGCCTTTACCTTTAAAAAAAAATTTTTTTCCGGGTTTGTTTTTTTTTTTTTTTAAAATTTTTTTTCCCCCGCCCCCCCCCCCTAAAAAAAGGGGAAGAGGGGGAAAAAAAAAAAAATTTTTAATTTTTTAAAAAAAAAAAAAAAAAAACGTCAAAAAGTTTTACCAAATTATTAAATATTATTTTCGAGCCTTGTCAAAAAAACCTTCACCAACTACTGTCGCTAGTTGTATTGCAAACATGACCAAACCTTCCCCCAAAACGATTTTTTTTTGGACTACTTAAAAATTACCACGGCGTTAATATAAAACATGGACTAAACATAGTGTTTTTGTAGTTAAAATTAAATCTGCTATCCATAGAAATCTAGAACTACCATTGTCATAGTTGAATGACACTTTTAAATTAATTAAAAATTGTCATTACAAAAATCTAGGTAAAAACCGGTATATTCTCGGACTTTCTTTCTATGTGCGCATTTAACATTCGCTCGAACGGTGAACAAAAACATCGTGAAGGAACAGATGCCTTGGGTCTAGTGCGCACTTGGACTTTGCTCAGACTTACCTTACGAAAAACTTTGCTTAGTGTACAAGGTAAACTATGATTTCGTATTTATAGACATTTTAACGGTGAGATTAAGCTAAGCCCAAGCAAGACAGAAAATGTCAAAATACAAATTGATGTTTCATCATGCAATACTTTGTTTATTATCCTTTAAAAAAGTTAACAATAACAAATATTTAAAAATCTAAAACGGTACACATATATCTTCAATTTATTGTTATTTATGTATTCATTTATTTTATTATTGCAATAACTAGAAATTCACGAGTAACCTTTAGAAAATGTATTAATTATTTAAAGATGACAATAATTTTATTACGTAGAACGGACTCAATGTTTTGGTTAGGTTATAGTTTGAATTTCTTGTCACTAAATATGCCAATTGCCAGGGCTGCCAGGGACAACAAAATCACACCAGTTATTTTTAAGATTTCTCAAAAATGGGGTTTGAACAATTACATAAATAATATAAATAAACAACAATAAATACCATAATAATGGTAATTATTTTATTTCATGCATTTCATAGGTATTTATCAAGATCATTATAATTTCTTTGAATTCAAATTCATTTTTCCCAAAGTCTATGGAACCCGATACAAAATGGCAACACCGTTCATTAAAAACCGACAAAAATAAAAAGTCCAGTTAAAGATATGATGGTAAAGAAAATTTTAGGCCATTATTTTTGTTAGGCTTATAGTCAAAGTTTTTGGTAAGTCGTCGATTTCGTGGACTTGAGATTAAGCAAGCCAACACTAGGGAGAGACGCAGTTTGCTCTATAAATACCGACGTTCTTAGCCGATGAGCAGCGTAGGCATATAATCCACCCTTAGACTCAAAAAGTCGATCGCGTGTGTCAGTCACAAGAGGGTGATCACCTACTTTGGCAAATGTTCTTGAAATAGATACAGAAATCTGAAGCCCAGACCTAAAAATTTTGAAACGCCACTGATTTATTTATATATATATTAAATTTTTTCAGCTCTGCGACGTAATATCTCGATGGGAAACGGCGCTTAGAGAAAAGGGCTCCGGCAAATTTGAGAACTCTCGAGTGATTCGTTTGACGTTCAGAAATCGGCTTTACTTCAAGAGTTCCGTTCGGACGGAGACCGATAAGGAAAGACTGCTTCTGTGCTATCAGGTTAATCAGCAAGGTATGTTTAAATGGACACGTTATAGTAATAAACACTTCACAAAAAATTTAGAAGGATGCGCGGTCTCACTGCTAAAATCAGTTTCTTCTTTCATAATCGATTTATAACTTGCAAATTAATTGGCATTTGATGCTAAACAAGCACATATTTTCTATTATATATAAAATTTATTTAACATAAAACTTACTAACAAAAGAACATACCAATTCTTAAAAGGCCGGCAACGCACTTGCGAGCCTCCTGCCCGTTTGCCTCCCGTTACATAAAAAAAATAAAAACCATATTGAAATTAATTTACTTAAATGGTTTTTTATTAAATGATGAAAAAAATTTTTTTTTTAAATGAAAAAGTACTTTTTTAATTAAATGTAAATTGCTAATAATATTATTTTTTATTATCGTATTTTTGCAATATTTTAAATTGGCATACAATATTTAAAAAAAATTTGCAGTGGTAGCGGGCAGATTCCCCGTAACTAGAGAACTGGCGGCGGAACTGGGTGCCCTAATGGCCCAGTTGGACATGGGGGACTATAGCGCGTCCAACACCCAACACAATCAGCCGCTTGCGCATCGATTCTACCCTTACAGATATAGGGCGGGGCTAACTAATGACGAGTTAAGGTAAGAAACTATTATATTATAGCAAGGATCTACCGTGAACCGTGAAGTATTATTTTTTTTATTTTTAAGACGTTTTTATATTCAGAATTAACCATCCATTCTAATTATCTTGAAAAAATTCTAATATTGTTACGAGCTAGCAAGGGAATCATAGACAATATTCGAGAACTTTCTATGCAGGTGTGGTGTTCTATCCTTATCGCATAATTCTAGAACGTACTTACGCTATCTCTTTCGCACATTGCTCCATCCTTGTCACACGGCGTTCCAGAATGTTCAGTTTGGCTTTGAGAAGGATCCAACCTTCCCTCTATTTCGCGTATCATTCCGTTAGAAAGTTCACTCTAGAATGTTCCTTCATTATAGCCTATACCATGTCACTATACGTGCTTTGAAACAGCCTGAAATTGAGGGTGACTTTATTCAAATTCCAATTGCCTGGTATGTGATAGAACCTTTCTTGAATCCAGAAACATTTCAGTCAACCCGTCTTCGTAAAAATATCTTTAAATTTATAAGTTTATTTATTTTGTATTTTTTGTTTGTGAAATTAATTCCTTATGCGGATGACATTACTCTTATGACCTTAATATTAAACATAATGTCAGGTTTCATTTAAAACGGTGATTTCCACGTATTTTTAAGATATTGCAATAAAAAAAAATACATTTTTAAATTCAATTTGCTTCATATTACAGGGACGTTGAAGAAAAGCTTCGCTCAAAGTGGGTAGCCCTCAAAGGGCGTAGTACGGCGGACTGTGTACGGATTTACCTGAACTGTACGAGAAAGTGGCCTTTCTTCGGAGCCACGCTGTTTCAAGCTAGGGTAAGATATTCTTGTGACCTTTTAATGATATCCGCGTGGATCTTTTATTTTAATACAATTACACATTTGCTTTCCGAACAATCTCCACAGAGCAGAGATGAGAGATTGTACAATTTACAGACTATCTCAAAAAGATATGTTTTTATTTTTTGTTACAAGTACATACAAAAATGTCTGTGTATGATTTACTTTATTATTGTAACATTTTTTTATTTAAAGTGACACAAGATATGGTCCAAACATTCATAAATTGATGTTTATGGTATTTCTATGAGTACGGGTAAATCTTCCGGCTCGAAGGACCAAACGTAGCTTATTCGCTGTCTTCGATAGCTTATTGTGTCCGTTTGTCTTGTTCATTGTTAAGAAGCAAAAAGACATGGCAAGTTAAAATTGACAGGTGTCTTTTTTGATATTTAATTCCATATTCAGATTATAAAAGAGTTAAAAAAATCTATACATATAAATAGATCACGCACTTCATTGTGTGTGTGTTTATTTACAGATAAAACAGCCGGACCTCTCGATGGCGTGGCTCGCAGTGTCCGAGGATGGGGTGACCGTACTAGAACTGGCCTCCATGTCCGTTATAGGCAGATACGCCCTCAACTCTATTGGCCTCTTTGGTGGATTACAGGTATATTGACAATACCACGGCGGGATTCTCGTATTACCTTTGTTCCAGGCGTTAGATTTCATATCTGTTTCTTCGATAATTATTCTTTATGAGTAATCTTTTCGTTTCTTCACCGGGTCATCCTTTAGGCATGTTTATACCTTAAATAGAAAGAAAACACGAGGGTTGGGCCTAGCTACAACCTTTCATTCGAACAATTATTGGACTTTTTAGGGCTTATTTTCCAGAAAATTTGGGTTTATTTTTTGTATTAAGTAATTTCATTTTCCTTTTTAGGACGACCTGATGATGCTGATAGACGCCGAGGATTCTACTAGTCCCGTTCACAAGATGTTGATTAGCCTCAATAAACCTAGAGTAAGTTATTTATATCTACAACAACAACAATCAGTGGCGCTACGTCTTTAGGTCTCGGCCTCAGATTTCTGAATCTATTTCATGATCATTTTTAAATCTTATAGGCAAGTAGGTGATCAGCCTCCTGTGCCTGACACAGGCATTCGACTTTTTGGGTCTAAGGCATGTCGGTTTCCTCACGATGTTTTCCTTCACCTTTCGAGCTAATGTTAATTGCGCACATAGAAAGAAACTAACTAAAGCCCCTAGGCCAATGATGCACATCGATAGTCACAAAACCCATATTCACTTTCAGATGGTAGAGCTGACCCATCTAATAGCAGACTACAAGAACACGCACCGACCCACAGGAACCGGAACGCCCCAAATGAACTCCCTCACCCGAAACGGAAGCCACCGGTCCATACGTAAGCCATCCACATTGCCACACGTCCATCACACCCTCAACTCCAACACCACCATGACCCTGGGGTCGGAGAGGAATGCCACGTTGACCCTATCTTCACACACGTCGACCTTCAATCACCTGGAGAGGGCAGTGTCGCACGGACAACCGGATATTTTAAAATCCACCCCCGATCACAAGAAACGTGCGCACACGCAGGATGGGATTGCGTGATTTTAAGCTCGGACGGATGTTCCGTAATTTTGTATAGGAAGGGTCAATAATCTGTGTGAATGTCTGTCTGCGATGATATATGTCATGGAACAACGTATGGGATTAAAAATTACATACATTAAATATAACTCCATTACGGTATGAAACAAATTGTCAACGAATAATTACATAGTACACGAATAAAAACCGATTATGACGTTAGTGACAAATGTCATTTGTCAAAACCTAGATAGGACACGAGAATGACATTTCTAAGTTCGACATCTTGACAATTACTTACTACAAGTGTCAGCAAAACCTAACAGTACTGATTAGAATTTTTTTCTTGCCAAATACTCAAAAGCTACGCGACTATTATTATGGCAATTTTTTTTAAATATTTTGACATGATTTTAATTGAACTCGACAAACGCCTACAAAATTTCGAAAAAATCGAGAAATACGACGAAAAGCGACATTCACTAAATACCTCATATTACGTAGCCGGCTCTTCGCCTTGTATTATACTCATTATTTTGTATAAGTTTTTCGGCTTAATGCTTAAGATGTGTGTGTCTGATTGTGTGTTAGCTCGTGATTCTACGGCAATATTTAGGTTACTTCGTGTGCACTGTTAATGAAACAATATATATTTGTCAGCCTTTTTCATAACAAAAGAAAATTGAGTAATGTACAAACCATACAAAAGTAACGTTTTTTGCCGTGACAACGTCTAATAAATCTATGAACGCCGGCTGCACGCACGAAAAATCATGACTCATTGTCCCGTTACGCTCATTGTACGCTTGCGCCGCATCTCTCTCTTCCACTCAATTGGCGTATGCGTCCGAGGAAACACTCCTTTGCCTATACCAAATAGTGACAATTCAATCAAAATGATTAAATGTTATTCATAAAATTATACAATTATTTCGGCAATGTTTTGTTATGACGTTGTCACGTTAAAGTATCGTCCGTAAACCGACTTTACAGATATTTTTTTTTATATCACTAATCTTTTATACATAGATATGAGAAAAGATACTTTTTTTTAATTTTCTTATAATTTGCTTCTTAATGTTGCCGTTTAATTACTTCATATTATGTGCAGGGTATAAGCTATAGAGAGCATAGACACTAGATCCAAAGAAATAGTATTGTTTTAGAGAGCTTGAAAATTTACTTCGTACAATGACGCTATTTCTGAAAATTTTCTAGAACATATTTGCCTAAACAGTATTTAAGTCGTAATCAAACTTCACTGCCAAGTGTAAATATATTAATAAGTTGAATAAGGTTTAAATCTATAGTCTAGACTTTCTTGTATAAAATGACTAAAAGTAGTTTTTACATTAGGATCGTTTTAGCACAAACTTCGAATATTCTATAGATTTTACCCTTATGCTTGACGTTCAATAGTTTATGGTCTGGCAAAAAAAAAAACATTTTACAAAGCACTTTTAAATCACCAATGTTTCACTCGTGAGTTTTTGGAAGAGCTGAAAGAAACTTCGTATTTAAAATATCCTTTACAAAAAGGACTTGGAAGTACTTAAATATATTTTCTAACAAAAACGTTTAGAAAATTGAGCTGAAAATCCTTGCTTATTAGGCATTACAATGCTTTACAACTCAAAGTATTAACATTGGACTGAAGTAAAATAAGATCTTCAACGAATCTCATTTAGAAAATGTACGAATTTTACTAACTCAATTCTCGTTTGGATGTCGGAAGTCTCGTCTGTATATGTTTGATCGTAAAAGTGTAGTTTAGTATTAGCGGATTAAGATTATGTACGGAATAATGCTAAAAGTAGAATTTTCGATACATTTAGTCACGATAAAAGTAGTGAAATATCGAATTTCCTATTGACAAAGAAATATCGACCAAATCTGCTTTGTGAGACACGCAATTTTGATTTTAATTATCAAGATTGAGATAACATTGCAACCGATTCGTTAATTTTCTGTTGCAAACTGCAACAGAAAATTATTATAAACAAATAAATTATTAACTAAATCTATATTAAGGTCAAAATCTCGTGTCTAGTTAGTGACCTAGATTTTATTGTATTGCACTTTTTGCATCACACCTGTTAATATTATTGTAAAGAATAATGTATAATACAATTAGTATTAAACCATAAGTTGTATAGAATGGCTATTATAGGTAATTTATTATAATTTTAATTTTCATTGTTGGCCTAAATAATGCCTATAATGTAGAGCCTAAATTTTGTACTACAGAATGAATGCTCGGTAATTTTTGTTTTTACGAATCAATAAACGTGTATTGACTATGACAAGGATTTTTATTATTCTCCTTTAGGGCTCCCACACAAAACTGCGAATTCGCATCGCATCGCAAATATCTGCGAATTCGCACGAACGCACCGCAAGAAGTTCCGATCTGCTGCGCATCGCACATTCTTGCGATATTACGTCATCCTTGGTGACACCATTTTAGTCCGCTCTGAGACAGCTTTAGAGAAAGACGCGCGGCGCCTCCGCCGCCTTCTTGTTTATAAAAAATTACGCAATATGATATGGATTTTTTTATATTTTTAATTGAGTTGCGTCCCGTCCTTTGGGACACAAGTGATGAACATTAAAAAATAAATTTATTAAGCAAGATGCGTGGAAGAGCGTCTGTGAAAGTTTGCATCAGAGTTCATAATCGTAATAAATGGATGAACCCAGAATCTTCTTTTTCTTTTATATCTATTTAACAATAACAGCAGTGCAATAATCTTTTTGCGATCCATCTTACGCTTCCTAAAAACACGTCCAGTACGGCTGACTACGAAGGAATGGTCGCCCTACCAAACGGTGTGCCGCACTAAATCGTATCGCAGAAAATCGCATCGCATCGCAGTTTTGTGTGGGAGTCATTAAAACAATAGAAAGCGGTTTTATAACCATAATGAAATGTCTGAACGGTGTGATATGAAAATAGAGAAAACTTGAATATTGGTTCACAACATCATACATATTGCTATATCTACTGTATGTGTTATAAACTATCTTTATAATAACATAAAACAGCGGATTAGGGATAGGGATTTTTTTAAATCAGGTTAATATAACCACTGTAATAGCGCCTTGTGATCAGGAGACTGGTCCTCAAACCTTGAAGTCCTGCGTTTTGTTATACGACACCCAGAATTTTCCATAAAAAAAAGAAAAGCATAGAATTTATTCAATACAAAATTAATTTTAGAACAACAAGTATCGCGTTTGAGGTATTGAAATGGACTTACTCGTGCCCTACGATATAATTTGGCATAACAATTCCTGTTATGTTGAGGTAGTCCTTTACAAATGGATAGATATCGAATCAACGCTATGCCCCAACGGACTTCTGTAATTTCTGCTCATACATTGTAAAGAAACTGGCAAAAATTACGCTCCTATATTAACTAAAAATATTTTTATTTAGCCAACAAAAAAGGTTATTAATCCTCTAAATTTACGGGCATTTTGCTATGTTATCACTCCAGCGCCATTACATTTAAATACATGGTTTGTCTAGAATAAACTATGTAATGTTAAAGTAAAAAATCACACACACACACACTTTATTATAACTTTTAAGGGAAGGTTTCATTTGGTTAAAACAAGTTCATTAAGATGCACATCTAACGCCTCCAATATCGACTCTGTGTTCCGTGGAAATTCTGAAAAATATAGCTCTCGTAAACACCACACGATTAGGAAGATTTGAGTTCAGGCTGTCCCTGAAATCAACTCATGGAAAATAAAAATATGGATTTATTAGAATTTTAAAAAGGGGTTTGATTACTCGTAGAACCACCTAGTTTATCTTAAAAACATTAAAAAGTCATAAATAATTTTATTAAAAATATTCTTACCAAAATCGAACCACTTAGCAGGATATCCAGATTCTTTTCTTGATTCATTGATACATTTCCTCAATCCATAAGTAATGCCATACGCCACACATATTCCCATTTCCCCAACAGCTGAAAAATTTGTCATTAGAATATATATTATATAAGAAATATTTGTTTTTATTTCGTTTTTTGTATCAAAATAACATTTTGATCCCGAAGCCCGCGTTTCAAATTCAATCAACTATCATACGAAATAAAATTTTGCCTTACTTTTTGATCCCAAAACGCCTTTAGGATTCTTCGAATTGAAGCGTAGCTTAACCCTGAAGTCTACGGGAATGTCCTTTGCCAGATATACTTCGTAATTCAAAGCTCTGTCGTTCAGGAGTTTACCATAAGTATTGTACATAAAGTGTTCCATTGTGTGGTAACTAAGGCCTTGTACGTAGGCGCCTTCCACCTTTAAGACAACAATACAAGACAATACAATAACAATACAACAGATACAAGATACATTTTAACATAAAATTAAACAATCTTAAAGCTGTAAAAACATCGCGCTACGTCCTTAAAAGATTAATATGGCATCGCTTTTAACGGCTACAAAGTTTATTTTTGAAGTGAAACTTCTTTAGGGCGCATGAGGGTAAATTTTTTAAAAACGTCACGAAGATGTGCAGCATTTTTGTTGAAGAAAAGGGAGAGAGCGATTGAGACCGATTGAGAGGGAGTGAGAAGGGTGAATTACCTTATAGAATATATTTTATGCAAAATAATTTATTGAAATCTCAAATGACGAATTGTAAATTAAAATGTCACGTGTTTTTATTATCGAAGAAATAGATTTAAAAAAAATTAAGCTGTATTAATTTTCGACACTTTTAATATTTTAATGACACTTAAATTCCTAACATATCTTCCTTTTTTCCTCCCTCTAAGTCTCGGAAATCTAAAGTTTTAGATTTGTATAAATATGAACATGAGTTAAAATAGTTTGCCAAAGGGGTTTCACACATGTGTACTTTGTACGCACGCACATTTATTTATTTTAGTAATTACATTTATAAAAATCTCTTACTTGGCCAATATCCACAGTTGGATTCGTACTCGTCCCGGCATCTTCCAAAATATCAACTCTATCAATTTGGAATCTCCCCGTCAGTACATCCAATGTCGTCTCACAAATGGCAACACTGAACGCGCTATACCCCGCCAACGTCGGTTCCTTATCGTTCATCATGAACTCCGCACACAAGTCAATCTGCTGATCAGCCGCTGCTTGAACTAGCTGCAGCCATGTTGGATTTGATTTCCTCAAAGACTGTATTCGACCCAGAATCTCGTCACACGCTTTTATTATCGCGAAACAAACACTTTCGCTAACAATACTGGAGCCGGAAAACACGCCATTGGCACACGCGAACGAGTAATTTGGCAGAACTGATACCATATCCACTGGAATTCCCAATTTGTACGCGCACACTTGAGCCGCTTTTGTGTTTACGCCTTGGCCCATCTCAATACCACCCGTGGTGACTGTCACTGTCCCGTCACCTCTATAAATTGAGACAATGGCTGAATAATTCCCGTAGTATATAACTGGGAAGAGCATCACGGCTATATGTATCGATTTCTTCATCCAGCGATTGTCTTTGTTGTATTGAATAATTTTGGAATTTCGCTCCTCGTAGTCCGAGTCTTTTTTTAGCTCGTTTATGAGTTCTGGTATATCGTTGTCGTCTTTTCTCATGTTAACTAAACGGACGGCTGTCGCGTCCAGTTCTAGTTCTTGTGCGATGTGTTCCATTATATTTTCGATACAGGCAATGCCCTCTAACGTGCCTGAAATAATATTAATAATAATATCGTAAATTTGTGGGGATCTGGGCTATTACGGGGAATTCCCCCGTAATAGACGCACACGCGAAAGAATACACCCACCGAAAACAAGTGAGGGCAGACGGGGAATTCTCAGTTCCGTTCGACAGACGCGCATCGCACATGCGTTGATTAATCTCAGGGATTCAAACCTTGATTGGAGTTTTTTAAATCTCAGATATTTTTTTAATTTAAATATCGCCTATTAGTGAGGACTAAGGGCCCTTTGCTTCCACTTGGCCCTGGGCTGCAGCCCAAAAAACCCTTAAGTATACTATGGAAATGCAAAACGTGTTTTCTTTTTAAATCCTAAAGTATCAGAACATTAGTCGCGTCTTTATTTACTAACAGTACTTACATTGAAATAATAATTACATTTACATGATTGTTACATATCCATTGCACTCCCTTTGCCCCGCATACCCAATACCAGTACCCCTCTTACGCAACTACGTTATAAGTATAAGGAAACGGACAACAGAACCAGAAGCTTTTGATCGGATACCTCATATCGGACCGGTCAATTCTCAACTAGTTAAGTTTATAATATATTTTGTCGGCACCTAATATCGGGCCGATTAAATAATTATATTTAGTTAAGTCTTAATTATTGTAAGTGATTAATTAAAGTAATTTCAACACATTTTGTTTTTTTTTGGGATTCACCGCTGGCCCTCACTTAATTTGTTCTTCAAATCTGTTTATTCAAATGAAAATATTGTGTAAAGTTTAATCATTTGCAATAAAATGTTTCTATAAATAAACTTACCAGGTCCTCTAGCAAAGGTATTTGAAGGTAGATCAGTGATGACATAAGCTGTTTTGAGATTGTAGTAATCAGTATTATAGCAATTAGGAAATCCGCCCGCTGCGTAACTTAAAGTGTTTTCATTTCTCGTGCATCCATAATCTTGGATTATGGTAGCGTCGAGATATTGAATTTTACCGACTTCGTCTACACCTACCTATGAATGATATACATGTTTTTATAAAACTTTTAGTTTTTTATCACAAGAAACATTTTATTATTTTAAATAAATATAAAAATATAAAGTTCATAAATTCAAATAATGTCAACGAAAAAAAAATCACACAGTACAGTCGACGCAGGCTATTTATTTCTTTGGGACGAAACGATTTATGGGCCAGAAACATTTGACTGTATCATTAAAAAAAATCATGTGATTTTTTCTGACAGTTATTTTGAGTCTAAAGGCTGATTCACATATATCAGTGAAGCCACAGTTCCGACACAGTACCGGCACAGTGCGAAATATTCTTTCATACATTCTCTATGAACGCATCCCCACTTGTCAGTGTCAGTGCCGACACCGGCAATCACGGACGGATTCGTTGACAACGATATTTTTTGTCGGATTACTGAGGCCGCATTATTATTTGTTACATTTTGTTTATTGCAGGAGAATATTGAAGCAGCTCTCTGACATTTTAAAATATTCCAAGTATTTTCTTTCATCTTTAACTAATTCTTTGTATAATGTGATAAATTCTTCTTCCATCTCTCTTAATTGCCATGCTCCATGCACCCATTTTCTTTTTTTTTCTAAATGCTGCTCTTTCTTTTCGTCTAAAGCAACAGCTATCATAGCTAGCTCCGTAGTATTGACCAGAGACATAATCACGTTACTTGACGACGGACACGTTTTCACTGAAGCTCCGTAAACTGAGTACTGACATGTGTAAATTGAATGACTGACGCAATACTGTATCACTGATACTGAATTGAGCGGACACGTTGACGGAACTGTGGCTTCACTGATATATGTGAATCGGGCTTAACGATGTATTATTCCATTGTACGCTTAAATTTTAACAGCAGTAGTCCACAACAAGCTCAGAATGAAAGCCGCATACCTAACATTTAGGGTATGCTGATGCTGCTCTTCTGCTCCAAAAAAGAACCTTAGAAAAAAATACTACTTTTATTTAAAAAAAATACATAAAAACCCTCACCTCATAGGTACACTGAACTGGTGGCCTTCTCCCAATACTAGCGAGGTTGGTACTAAAGGGCAATATGAACCGACAGGGCCGATTCAAATTCTTAGCGACGACCGCGCCAGCAGCTGCCATCTGAACTGACCTGCTCAATTTGCCTCCAAAACCTCCGCCTAAGCGACGAACTATAACTAAAACGCTGTAAGAAATGAGGTACTTTTAACCAACCTAGTGTGTATCTCGATGCTAACATAGTGAATGTTGGGTGTGGCAAAGGAAGAATGTAAATAAAACAAATGCCGTGGAAATTAGTTCAGAAGTATGTGTGGTGTAACATTACGTGATAAGACAAGCAATAGTGCATAGTTGAGAAGTGTGGGTTAAATGAGGACGAAGTGACAAGGATTCAAGAAGCAATGTTTAGCTGGTTTGGGTATGTAGAACGTAGCTAGTGGAAATGGTGGTGGTTTCTGCCTGTGTGGGAAAAAGGCGTGAATATAATTAAATATTTTTCTGATATTTTGTACTTTTACACAATAACACGTGTGTGATTAGTTTATAGCACGAAAAACGTCACAATTTATATTCAACGAGGTGCTATTAGAAAAAACGTACTTATGTACACGCGTTAGAAGTTATACTTCTTTGGCGTACCTAATAAGATAAAAATCTTTTGAAATTTTTTATATTCCACCTTATTCTACGTTTCTAAAAAAAACGACTCCAACAATAGACAAAAGGTATTTAATACATTGAAAAATAAATATTTTTTCATTATCTAGATTCTAGTTAAATAAATATCACTTTATTTAAATATCACAAAAACAAATATTTCAACATAATTAAAGAAATGGACATTTTTATTTTAAAATTTTGACTATGCTAACTTCAGGGTGTCGGTTTTTTGTGACAATGTGCGGGTGTCGGTTTGTTGTGACGTTGTGCGGATGACGGTTTTTATGTGACGGTGTGCACGCGCATCGCAAAAATTTTCTCCCATCAACGCGCCAAAAGAAGTATATATTCAAAAATATAACAGTTGCAATGGGTGAAATATATCTTCAATAAAAGAATTTCCGAACCCGATTTAAATATAGAACGTCATGAAAACTTTGACAGATAGAGAGACAGGTTTCACACTACACTCACTCGCTTTCCTTAATTCCCAAACAGCGTGCGACACAGATCTGCGTTAAATCGATCCACTGTGTAGCACTGTGTACTTCAAAACCTTTGTCGACCGGTACCACGATGGATGTCTGTGGTTCCAAATAGTAGTGGTATTGAGCACCAATGTAGTATTTACCTGAAGATATTTTAATAATAGAATAACAACAGCAGGGATAAGGTGCCTAAACAAAACTAAACCTTTTAACTCAATAAACCTAGTGTGGTGAATCTAAGTGCAAGTGCGGTATCTCAGACACATAAACATAGTGTCAAAACATTATAGAACACTAAGACTGTTAATGAACATTACTTTAGTTTAAGCTATTCATAAAACATGTCAGAACATTATAGAACATTAAGACCTTAGTTAAAAGTTCACTAGTATTGGAGAAAATTAAGTCAACATAATATTACTTATTAGCCATAACTATTGTATAACTACTCGCACTCACGCAACTCCAAGTTTGACATCAGCGCTACGGATATTGAAATAATATATCACAAATACAAAAACGTCGGGATGGATATTGATATTGGAAGTTTAAGCTTTTGATACCAGAAACACTAATTTTTAAGTCCAATTAGTAACTGGATTGTCTCTCCACTACATTTTAGGTAACATTTAGAGTAGCGGACAAGCGTTAAACATGACTTCTGTGTGTCAAACGTTTTGAACAATAACAAACATTTGAACAATTTCAAGCTCCAACACAAGTGTCATAGGAGAAATAAATGCTATCCCAAAACAATTAATCTAATTACAATAAGTTAAGTATAAATTATAAAGTTTCCTAACTCACCGCTCATGGAGGTTAGGAAACTTACACTTATACACTTTACGGCTGAGGACTAGGTTCTATTCACGAGAAATAAGCTAGGCTAGGCTTCAGTTGAGAGGGTTAGCCATAAATAATATTAATATACCTTTAGCAATACCTACTATCTACGCCTCCTACTTTAATCATGATATAACTTGAAGTGCGCTAACAAAGTTATTGATATATACAACATCTCGCTAGCCACGAGGGCGTTTGGGCCTGTCAGAGGACAGTCTGGAAGTAGGTTCCTTTAGGTCGGAGTAAGTGTAGAACCTTCCTTCCTCAACATTCGGTGGTTCAGGGTATGATGTCATCGCAGTGATTGTGTACATACCTTTAATAACTTTTTTGACATTTTCTCCTCTGCCTTTTGGCACGATCTTCTCAGCATCGGCTGTCCCCTCTTTATACCTATATATAAATATATATATTTTTACTTTTACGAAAATAAACAATGTATTCTAGCATTATTAGCGATGTTATCCGAGTTGTGGACGTGCAGTCGCACAAGGGCGACAATAAATAATTGTAAACGTTTCGGATTCAATAATATAAATATAATGCACGAAATAAAAAGATAATTCTCGCCGCTGAGTTTCATCATCGGACGTCGAGGCAGAATACGAAATTCCACCCGTATCACCTTGACGTCCGTCGTTCCACAACTGAGCGTTTTCTTAGGCAGTTTTTGCCGCGCATTACCACTATGTGGAACCAGCTGCCCACTGAAGTATTTCCGAACCAATTCGACTTAGGGTACTTCAAGAAAAGATCGTACAATCTAAAAGGCCGGTAATGCACTCGTGAGCTCTCTGGTATTGCGAGTGTAGGGGAGCAGTTTCACTTAACGCCGTTGCCCTAAAAAACCAGTGTTGCACGGCAAAGACTGCAAATAACGCTCAGTTGTGGAACAACGCCGTCGTCGACGTCGGGCGTATAGAATTCTACGCTGGAGACGTGCAGATAAAGCTAGGTATCCGAACAATTCCTCTAAACACTCTTCGTGGTAAATGCGGTAGAAGATGCAGAGAGACCTCACATCTCTTACTTACCGCGATTTTATTTCCTTCGCCTGATCAATGGTGATCACGGCTGGTGTTTTCGGGACATTTTTATACTTAACCTCGACTTTCTCAGCCATTTTGACCGCTAGGTACTCGGATGCCGCCACTATGATTGCTATAGGTTGGCCACAATATTGAATATCATCAGTTCCAAGGATGTATTCATCCACTTCTTGTAGAGGTATCCCGGGGAAGCCGAAGGAATTTTTCCCGGGAATATCTTTGGCTGTTAAAAGGGCTATAACGCCGGGGGTTTCCTGTAAATTAAGGCCAGGTTATAACCTCCTATTTAGTTATCGCTTTTTATCACAGCAGCCCTGGGTTCTGTCCCCTTGACCAAAAGGGGGGGGGAAACGCAACTCGGAACAGTCATTTTATGATTTGGCATTCGAGAAGGGGGAGCTTGTAGTTTATTGTTTATTAGAATGTCAAATCATAAAATGACTGCTTCACGACTGATTTCAGAGCGACCGCCGATCCGAAAACCGCTGTGTGAGTTCGAAAAGTGGGTACAGAATCGCGGGGCAGAAACGCAACTCGTCAGACGAAGATGCGCAATACTTTTGTAAAAGAGGGTAATAATGGTCTGTATATTTTACAGTATCAAACTAAACCAGGAAGTGATGCAGAGAGAAATTATTCGTGAATTACAAGTTATCTCGTTTCCTTGATTAGAAGGGTTTGAATTCATTTGTTTTTATGAGAAAACGGGCATTTTAGTAACTTATATATTCATTGTACTTTTACGTAAATACGCATATTACATCCCTTGCATCGTAAAAAAATGCCATAACGTTTTTTCTACGTTGTACGTATATGAAAAATCTATATGAAAATAGCTGTCAAAGTATCGAAACGTGCTAACAGTACCTACCTAAGATACGTTTCAAAACATTTAGAAAAATAATTCTCACCAGAATATCATAATTGATACTATCAACACTTCCCCCATGAACCGTCGACAAAACGAAAGCCGCGAACACATCGTTCAATCCAAGCGGCATATCATTAACATAGGCCGCTTCGCCTGAAGTCTGTATAATCGCTTCCAACTTTTGTACCGGTTCCGTAACTGGGTATAGGTCCCGACTAGTTGGGTAAAGTTGTTTTCCAGATGATAATGGCCGCGTAATATTTGTGGCCCCAGATGCATAAAAGTACGGGTAAAGTTCGGGCGGACATATACTGAGGACGAACTGAAAAAAAATGCTATTTCAAATAATTACGTAAATCAAGGCCTTACAACTGAAGGTACAGACAAAAGACCGCCGAAAATCCAGTAAAAGGAAAACGTGGGAAGATCGCGATGGGGTAACGACATCATAAGGTTTCTGGAGAGAAATGGATGGAGAAAGCAAAGATCAGATCCAAATGGAAAAGTTCAGGCGGTCTTTACCCAAAAGGGGTCCATACTGAAGAAATAAAATAATAAAATAAATCAGTAGCGCTGCAAACATTTTCGGTCTGGGCCTTAGATTTCTGTATCTGCTTCATGCTCATTTGTCAATCTATTAGGCAAGCAGGTGATCAGCCTCCAGTGCCTGACACACGACGTCGACTTTTTGGGTCTAAGACATGCCGGTTTCCTCACGATGTTTTCCTTCACCGTTCGAGCGAATGTTAAATGCGCACATAGAAAGAAAGTCAATGGAAATAACAAATCAAAACTAATCTAGACTAAGTGTATAATAACAATACCAATTTGATTTGTAATGTATAGTATGGAATTAAAGTTGCTTTATAATAATTATTATATTTATTTATCTACAAAATTCTAGAATATGCAACTGTTATGGCGAACACAATAATGTCTAAAAACAATAAAATAACTAAAATCAAAATGGATGAAATAGATTGCAAAATAGAGCGTTTACCTTATAAAATACGCCAATAGCTATTTTTTTTCTGGTCATAGGAGATAATTCTGGCGGCACTTTGTCTGGCTTTATCTCCTGGTTCAAAATTTGTATGGCACTTTGTAATGAGCCATTGCTGAACATGTTGCGTCCTTCCAAGTATTTCTCGCATCGGAATGCGTGAACAAACTTTTCGGTAATATTACCGTAAACGATAGTGGCGTCTTCGATTGCTAAGGTGTCATGGTTGATTTTGAAATTGAATGCAGCGTTCACAATTGCAAGGGCATTTTGGTTTCTTGGTGTAATCTGAAAATTTCCGAAAAATCTCTATGTGCATTTGTGTTTGCTGGTTATTCTAAACGTAGACTGTTTCAACAGAAAAGAAAAACAAAAATGTTTCATTTATTATCGGTAACACTTGTCAACAATATTACGAACTAAAAGAAATTTAATTTTAAAATCAACGGCGTAGAATAGACGAGGATAACTCTCCGTTTAAATTTAAATGAAACCTAAAAACTCGGTTTAAATTACAATTAAAAATTAAATAATGTAAAAAGATAAAATATAAAACATCTAAATTATAAATAATTAAATTACAGTAGTTACTACGTCGCTTAGTGCTTACACACGGAAATGGGATGCAATTCTGAACAATTCTTGGATAGAATGTTATAGATTAGTTAAAAAGGGACTTCTAACTTACCTTATAAGTCCGCACAACGTGAGCACTGCTCAATGGTGGAAGTTTGAAGTTTATAATCAAAAATCCTTTCATGTCCTTATTCAAAAATTCTGAGAGAGTCAATGTTAGTTCAGAATGTTCGGACTCTAAAATCAAACGGCAAATAACAACTCAATTCATTATTGATTTGAAAAAGCAAATAATACATAATTAATGTTTTAAAATTGAAAAAGGGGTCGTCCGTAGTCTTTTTTGTAACCAAGCGTAACACGCAGTAAGCAGTGTTCGCCTAGTGTCTTCAGCGTGCGACTCTCATCCCTCAGGTCGTAGGTTTGATCCCCGGCTGTGCACCAATGGACTATCTTCCTACGTGCGCATTTAACATTCGCGCGAACGGTGAAGGAAAACATAGTGACGAAACCGGCTTGCCTTAGACCCGGCTTAAAAGTCGGCGACGAGTCAGGCCAGACCTATCAAGATTGTAGCGCCACTGATTATTATTATTATGCCTAACACGCGCGAATCGCGATTTAGCGATAGGTATAACTTCCATATGTCAAAATTCATAGTTCGTGGTAAGTCGGCTCAAAATCTTACACCATATTAGGAATAAATCGGCGTTCGAACGCACGACCTTACTAACATTGAATGGTCTCAATCCTCATTATTACCCCACATCTCCCTCATGCGTAGCGTAACTCGTATATCGATCGAAATACTTTCATCAAAATCGATATTATACTTCGAGTATCACGTAAAAATACTTACTTATAGTCACAACTGCGCCTACACATTCAAAAAGCAGGTAAAGATCTGATTGATAATGTCTTTTTATATGTTTTATCATGAAGTTGCCGGCCACTGAGGCAATCTGAAATATTCAATATATTGAGAGTAGGTATCTGTAAATTCATCTGGCCTAATAACTAAATAAAAAATAACAAAAACAATAATTTCGGACACAAAAGCCTGAACACCTATGTACTTAAATAAAAAGAAAATAACCAGCACAGAAATGTGCCTTATCCATATAAAAAGAAAAAGTCAGGTTCGAATACCAGAAAAAAACATATTTTTAACAACAAAAAATAAACGAGCATTACCTTTCTAACCGGTATATGAGCAACAACATCCAAATGTTTAACGAATTCGAGCAAATATGAAAATTCCTCTCTTTCATTACCCTCCTTTTTGAATATTGTAATGCAATCCTCGATCGAAATATTTCCACCAAGAACCAAGTTTTGGTCGAAATAATATTTTTTTAATGAGGTAACTTCGCTTATGTCAATTACTACCGGAGGGTAGTCGCTTAAACTTGGTAAAATACCTGAAAAATTACAATAAGTTTGCATTTGTTCGATTCCATTCTGTATTTCTATAAAAAATCAAGCAATATTATATTGTTTTCTTAGAACCCTGTTTATCTGGGCGTAGCAGTTCTTTTTAACTAATAGTTCTTATTTGCTACGCGTCATTTCATTTATTCACAAGAATACTTACAACTTTTTCATCTGATCAACTATAACTATGTTACAAAATCAAAATATCATTTGTTCATGTAACTTAACTTCTAAATTTACATTTACTGCTAGTTTTCAAATCAAGGGCGTATAACGGACGAGAAAAAACCCTCCGTCACTCTTTTAAATCGCCAACCCCTGTCATACTCCTCCGTTATCACGGTGTACAGTGTTGTCATAACAAAAAAGTCAATTTAGCTACCTAAAATCCGTGACGTTTATCTTTTCGCATACTCTACGGTTTTATTGTTACCATAATAAAAATACCCTTTACTGATTGATATCAAAATTGATTATTACAATACATATGCGTAAGGGATATTACTGTTTCGGTTTACAAAACACCAATTTACAAATTACCGCTTGCGAGTTGTCTGAATTTGTGGGTAATAGAGCGTATAATCATTTACTAGAAAGAGAAAACTATTTACTTATTGTACATGCAGAGCCTATAAGCCTTTACAGTACAGCCTCAGTTCTCAAATCAAACCTTATGTAAATGTAGCTTAAAGAAGTTGTTGGAGATGATTGGGATAAAAATGCTCAAGATATGGAGCCAGTAGGGTATGAGGTCCTTGAAAAAAAAAATTGTGTGACAATTTTAACGGGTTTTCAATATATGTCAAAGCAATGTATGTTAAGGCTTAATTGAATTATTATATTTGAGAATTATTATTTGAGCTCTATAATAAGAAAGGCGAAGGAAGGAGGTTATAAAAATTGCGTTCAAGATCATTGCGAAGATATAACTTTTAACTTTTTTTAAATTTAAAATTGCCAAACTATATGGGTCAAATTGGATATTTTGTCAGTGAAAGACGGCCACATCCAGTTGACAGATAAATTAATAATAAGTTCGCGTTTATATCCGTTTGAATTATTATTTAAATGTGTAGTCGTGTACGTGAGTAAACTAAAGACACCAATAGACCAAAACACTTATTGAGTAAACAATTGAAAATCGCTCAATACCAGTAGCTATTTTTCAATAAAAAAAAATACCTTGAGCAGTGTTCCCATCCACGAATCTATATTCACAAGGCCCTCGGATAACCTCAAATATTTGTTCAACTGTCCATACTTTATAAAACTTCTCACTTCCACAATCGATTTCAATAATTTCGCCATTGTCTTCGAGAACACTCCATTCACTGCTTATAGAGCATTTTCTATCGCATTTGTTCTCACAAATGCTAAGCTCCTCAATATCTTGGATCTTAGGGGCATCTGATCCGAACGATTTAATTGTATCCATAATTGGACGATAACCAGTACATCGGCAAGTGTTACTACCGAACGAGTTTTCTAGTTCTTTCATTTCGAGCTTCTTGGGTAGGAGACTGAAATAGAAGATAGCATTATTAAGTATTACGTATTTTTCTTATTTACAATATAATACAGCCAGATTGTTTAGAGATTTATACATATTTCAACTTATGTTTACAAGTTACAACAATAGTATACAAACGACTGTAAGTGATGAAGCAGACATTTATTTATATATTAAAGTCATCACATCATATACATTTTCTACAGTTTAATTTATCCATTCCAAAAAAGACAATTAAAAAATTTAATTCGTTAAAAAAAACAGTATAATTCTTTATGAGTACTTTGTTTGACCCGAAAAAAAGCGGCGTGCAACATAGGTAATCTTAACACAGCCCTATTGTTAAAATATCTCCTTATTTAAACTAAGTAAATGTGTTGAATTTTGTCATACGGGTCCCATCCTAGGTCAAGTTGGTTTCCTCGCAACATTTTCCAATTTGACAATTGAGTGTTAATTGCGCACATACAAAGAATAATCCATAGGCCAGGGTTCGAACGTACGTCAAGGATTACGTTCCCCTCACACTTTAAAATCGATTTTTTGTCATTTTAATTATTTTGATTAGTAATTGTTTTTTTTTTGTAATGTTTGTTTTGTTTAATAATTATTTTGATTGATATTTGTATGATCTCGAAATGTATACAGTCATGTTTGCCTTTAAGTGCTTGTCACATTAAAAACTATATTTTATGTTTGTTTTACCAATGTATCAGTGTGCCGAGCGTTGGCAAGCTGTATCAATAAAAAAAAATCACGTTTAAGCTCTGCTATACAACTATGTACTAAATATGCCATTATATAAAAGCTACCTATGTAAATGCATGACAAACCCAGGGGAGCAATACCCACACTGGGTGCCATAATTTTTTGCAAGTCGTTTTTGGACAGTATCATATCCTTTGCGTCGGTTTCCAATCTCCTCGATCGTGGTAATCTCCCACCCGTGACATGATAATGCGAGCACCAGGCACTGAAAAATTAAACAATATTTGTGGCATTGAATTATATATTCCTCTCCTTATTCAGAAAAAAATCTAATGCCATTACATTTTAGAATCACAAAGATACTTTGATCAGTCTGTAAGATATTGTTCACGCTGTGATTCTTTACTTTGGTTAAAAGGGTTTGTAGTTCTGGAAACGCTGGTCCTAGCCAGTGTTTACGGAAACTAGAAGATTATAAAAAATGTTATTTAAAAACGACAATCTTTAACTAATACATATTATTTTATTAGTTCTTAGTGTCAATTTTAAAATAAGCCAAAAAAAAAATACATTAAATGCTTCAAGTGTATACTGCATTATGCCAGTCGATATTATCTTACTGCATATCGGTTTGGGGTGGAGCGGCATTGTCTTCAATACTGAAAATTTAGCCAACGTGCCATTCTTAAGATACGAAACCTTTCTGCTACTCAACTTCAAAAGTGTACAATAAAACAAAACTTTTAACTGTGAGACAATTATAGGTACTTAATAGCAATATGCAGACTTTTTTGGAAACAAACACCCACCGCACCGCATCAAACAAAACGCAAACCCAGCAGCCCAAAACTCGCACTTTCTTCGCCCAACGCTTTTTCTCCTTCCGATGCCCTTTCATCTTTAACCGCTTCATTAAAAACAAAATTATCACTAATATATATATATATATATATACATTTACTATCTTGTTAACCTGTCCTATTCTGATACTGAAAATATTCTTATTGTGCAAAAATAGTTTTAATATAAATGTGTGAAATCATTAATATAATTTTTTAAATACTGTTTTCGTGTCAAAAGGAAGAGACTGGCTGCCCACACCACAGGGAATCCTAATGTGAGGGCCGGTGCACTTTACTTTATCTAAATATCTTGTATATTGTGTATAATAAAGTTTTTTCTTTCTTTCTTTCTAATTTAAATATAAATAGGGTTTTCATAATATATTTTTTGTATTGTATTACACTTTATCGTTACGTTAACTTTATAACAATAGATTTAATTTCCATGCTAAAAAAATATAGAAACAACTGTGCAAACAAGAAATACTGCGCATATTTGGAAATATTGAGTAAACAATAAAGTGACTTATGCTTGACTATTTATTACGGCTAGAAATGGCTTTTAACGATGTTCACATATACGTGAACTACTTTAATTGAAAGAGAGGTCGAAATAATGGATACCCGCATTACTTGCTAAAGGGATATTTTAGCGTGATAAGCAAATTCTTTAGTTAATTCTTATCACTAGAACTTAATATATTCTCAAAACTAATCGATGCACATGAAATGGAAAAATATAACGAAAAGCTGTACAAACATTGTGACGAATAACCAATAGTTTTTGAGTACTAATAATGATAACGTCCTTCGGTTTTGTTTTTTGAAGTCTGTTTAAAGAAAGAAGTATGTTGATAGAAAATCATAAAAATAATATTAATACGTACGTAAATTCATTTTAATAACTGGAAAATGGGCAATTATAAGTACCAAACGACTAATTGTCGAATTTTATGAATTAATGCGTGGGAGTTGTTCCACAATGCATCAATTTTGCAACACACATTTAAATTCATAATTAGCCGTAATATTGCAGGTTTTTCAGTGTTTTTTTGGACCAATTAAATGATACACCACAATAAAAGTTAACGTCTAGTTAAAATCGTTAGCAAGACAAAACCTAGTCTAGGTTCATTTTGTTAATAGGATTTAGGTCTCGTTATCAGCTTTTGCACGGGTCTAAGACATGACAGTTACCTCACTATATTTCCCTTATGAGCAAGTGATAGCGTACAAAGAAAAATAAACTCAGGGTTATATCGCGCTCGAGCCAACCTATATAAATAAAATGCGGGTACAGATACCGGCAAACTTCTTGAGCATTAAACAAGCGAGTGGGAGAAAGTTTGCGCATTGCGGGACACAAACGTCAACTGATTTACCAATCACGCAATCGACACGTCACTCTCCCGCCGCCCCCAAATGATACCTAAAAATCTCTTCTGCGCAGGCAAGGACATTTCTTCAAGACGTTTGCCGGTATCTGTACTATACAGTAATTAAAGTTTAGTTTCCCACACTTAATCAGCTTTAAAACTCATAAAATTGTTTGATTGCTTGCATTTTAATTAAAAGTTTTAAACTTACAGAATTAACAGAAAAGGTTTCATATTTCCCAGAAGTGGCCCTGAAGGCGTGGACCATCACTATGCAAGCCCCACACACGCCTTGGTGACACATCGCTTTGGTACCGGGCAAACCCAGGTAATAGCGTATGTATGCATTGAGTGTCGTGTACCGGGGAATGGTACTGTCCACTGAAATCAATGTATGAGGTTCGATTATACACAAAATTGCAGAAACTGCCGTCTCATCATTGTAATTTGGTTATAAACTCTCTTGCCAAAAAATCGGGCACCTAAGGAAATTTACATTCGTTTTCAGTTATTTAAATGAAATTTAACGATTCTGACAATATTTTATTATTTTTTTACGAATTCATTAAAACCGATATACGCGGCCAAACAATAAGAAGTGGTCGGCAATAAAGATAAATGAAAAAATAGTTAAAATGTATAAACCTAATAACTAGTGAGATAATCTTTCCTTTTTCATGAAATACCTCATAAACATAACTAATAAAGCTATAACGGCCGATAAAATTGTAGCCCTTGAAGAACAATTCGCAAACTTACGCGGTGGCTAAGAGGACTTGGCAACGGTATCAAGAGACCGGTTCGTTCAAAAGAAGACCTGTTTCAGGAAGAAAATGATACACAGAACCAAGAGATGACCGCTTTGTGGTGAGACAGTCGTTGCGGAACCGTAAGGCGTCAAGTGCGGATCAAGAGCCTTGAAGAAGTAGGAGGAGTAGAAGTCAGCTTGTGCACGGGTCAGATGGCTTTTGGATGCAAATTTTAGGAAACGCCGGGCCCGAAGCCCTAAATTATTCCGTGAGCACCGTGTTGCTGGAAGTCAGTTTCCTAGAAACTGAAGAACAGGAATTAAGTAATGTTTTCTGATGAAGCTAGAATCTCTTTGTGTGGAGAGGACCGACGCCGGCGAGTGCTGCAAAGACCACGGGAACGCTATGTGGACGTGTGTTTCGAATAAATAACTCCTTATGGCAGAGGCTCGAATTTGCGTACGGAACTAGGAACATTAAATGCGATGTGCCAATGTTGTATCATATGCATAACGTTTTGGTGACGTGGAAGCGTATATGCAAGAAGTTGGTATCCATCGTTTAGATTGGCCAGCTCGAAGTTCTAACCTCAATCCAAATGAGCATGTCTGGGATGTTGTTGACAGACGAGTACGTAAGATCAGTGCAACCTGCTCCACAAAACAACCGGGAGCTAAAAAGAGTAATTGCAGTAGGGACGTATTCCTCAAAAGCATGTCCAGAAGTATTCAAGTTATGGCTCGTTATTAGGTTACATTTATATCTTTATTTAATTTAAAAAAAGTCTAAAAGTGTTCATGTTTTTATCGCCGATCACTTCTTGTTTGGCCTTGTACATCGGCTTTAAACAATTCATCAAAAATTACTTTAAAAATGCCAGAATTCACTTCACACGTATAAATTTACATGATTATACAGACTACGACAGACCATTAAATTTCATTTAATTAACTGACTGACCTTATAACATAAATTCCCCTAGGTGCCCGATTTTGTTGCAAGTGTACGTAGTCTTATTAACAGTTAGCATACTTCGACCCAGTGGATTAAATATTTTGATTGTTTGAATTATTTTAACTTACATTTAAAAACATTATAACGTTCGCTTGGGATGTAATCCAAGCTCAATATTATTAATAAATAGTTTACAAGCTGGGTGGACTTTAATAGAGGCAAATTACATATTATGTATATTAAATAGTTTAAAAGTTGTGAAGGAGTCAAAAGTGTAACTAACATACGGCGCGTTTCCAATTCCTACTTGGAACTCGTTGCCGCGTATCTAGATGAGTTCAAATAAAAATTACTAAAATATTCACTAAAATTGTAATTAGTTTATTATTCAAATGCGTTTATTATTCACACTTAATACTTGAATTGCTTATCGTGCATAATGATGATGTCTCCTACCTCAAAGTTTTGTTAAATAAAATTTTAATCGAGGTTAAATTAAATAATTTTCTTATAAAAAACATTGTTACCAGTTACAAAGATGCCGCTGGGTGTATACGAACGGCGTTTGCTGAGGATTTTACTGATCATTTCTCTTCTTTAAGATTACAAAATTAAAAAATAAACCAAAAGCCGATGTTTATGTTTAAACTAATAATAATGACGATATGTCAATTTTACATTATTATATAATTATTTACACAAGGACTAGATAAATAGATATAATTAATGAAAATAGTTTCAAAGTGATGTCTAATACGCTGTCCCCCAGCCTTGCGATTCTGTAACTCACTTTTCGAACTCACACAGCGGTTTTCGCATCGGCGGTCGCTCTCAAATCAGTCGTGAAGCAGTCATTTTATGATTTGGCATTCTGATAAACAATAAACTACAAGCTCGCACCTGTGTGAGTTCGAAAAGTGAGTTACAGAATCACAAGGCAGCTCTGGTGATACTTTTATTGATTTACATATAAAATTTCTTATATTACGTAATATTTTTCAAAAAAGAGACGTGAGTCATAAAATCCACACACATGGTTGTAGAATGTCTGTTTGTGAATTTCAAGAAATTATGTGGTTATTGTAATGATGGTAATATTCGGTAATATAGCATATTATTGTAAACTACCATACGGTATCACGATTCTCAAGGTAATGTCAGTTTAATAACACTTCTTTATATTAGCATGAATACGAATCTAAGGAACTATTAATGCAAATCAAATTCCTATTTCACGTAAAAATGCTTTTTGTTATATTTAATTTATTATTATCTACAACAACAACTCCGTCATACAATTAGGTACACTTAGTTTAAAGCATATTGCCGAAAAGAACGAATAAATAATCAATGGAAAATTCCTCTCATAATTACTAAGTGAGTTTTGTATGTTTATGTCGCAGCCAACTAGACTAATTAGCCGTTCAATTATCAGCCTAGCCTTTTAACTAAACGGCGCCGTTTAACCAGCGGCCTGCGATATTGCCGTTAGTACGCTCTTTTCTTGAAGGACCCTAAGTCGAATTGGTTCGGAATTACTTCAGTGGGCATTCACATAGTAGTAGTGCCTTAGGAAACGCTCAGTTGTGGAACGACGGACGTCGAGGGTATTCCAGGTTGATCAGTTACAAAGCTGGCCAATTAGCAGGGATCCAAATTAAATTAGTGCACCAAAAAGGTGGTGTGACGATATAAGTAAGCACATTAGGTAGTAAAATGGATCCGCAAAAGTTCATAGTGGAAGATGGAGATGACCCGGGGAGGCCCAATCTAATGTAACTATTTTGTAAAAAAAATTTTTTTGTGAATAATGTAATTTATGAATAATAATAATTAATTAAACCTGTTTAAGAACTGCATATTTATATACTTACAACAACGCAATCGCTGTATTTAAATAGCTATTTACTTTAAGAGAGCAATTGTTAATATAATTTAAATCAACTTACCGCGGCATATTTTTCCGTTTATTGTGAATTCTATACATGGCATGTCTGTTAGGATGTAAACTGTTAGCTCGACTGAAACTCGCAAATAACGCACGTCAAGACGTTACTTGTATTTTAGTGCTTTTGGATTTTCTTTCACCCACTAACAAGTCGTATACATACTAATATAGATAATAATTCGCCGTATAGGTATACCAATTTTGGTTTATAATGCATTTTACTAAAATAAATTTAAAAGTTTGAGAAGGGACGATACTGAATATAATAAGGAGTTTGTGTGTTTCTGACATCATATTATTTTAAAACAAATAATAATAGGCCATTTATTTAATTGTTATTTTTTTATAGGTGATTCTTCTTATTTTATCTTCTTATGTTTAAATAATGAGGGATTACGGTCATTACACGCTTTTTCAAGTGTAGACATGGCGACTTGTTTTTGTAACTGGACAACATTTTGGAAAGAAAAATCATCCTTATAGAATAATTAAAGTATCAAGAGGACGAAATGAAATTATTATTAAGAGCGGCCTATCACTTCTTAAATTTTTTATAAAATATTTTGGCTATTTATTTTTTATGTAACAAGAGGCAAACGGGCAGGAGGCTCACCTGATTTTAAGTGATACTGCCCATGGACACTCATATTGCCAGGAGGCATGTGCGTTGTAGGCTTTTTAAGAAATGGTACGCTCTTTTCTTGAAGGTCCCTAAGTCACATAGCTCAGATGTGGAATGATGGACGCTGCTATCATGCGCATAGCAATGAATGTTGCTAAGTTGCAACATTCATTGCAAGCTGCACGTAATCGCAGTGATTTGTCAGGGTAGTGGTGTCGCTACACATGCTATGCACGCGTAGAGCCGCGGATGGTCATGGCAGTCCACGGGTAGCCAGAGGATAGATAGGCGGCGAGAACAAATATACGTGAGGGATCACGTAGCCGCTGAATCTCGAACGCGGCACAAAGTAGTGTTCCAATTTCTACCCCAGATAGGAAGTAGCCGGGGAGGATATCAGTCTCTTTAAGGAATAAGGCCGGCTTCGCAGTTTCAAGATGGTAGCACCGCGTTGATGTTAGAATTGAGCTAACATACTTTGGTATGGCAGCAGTGTTGGTCTAGTGGCTTCAGCGTGCGACTCTCATACCTGAGGTCGTAGGTTCGATCCCCGGCTGTGTACCAATAGACTTTCTATGTGCGCATTTAACATTTGCTCGAACGGTAAAGGAAAACATCATGAGGAAACATGTCTTAGACCCAAAAATTAGATTTCAAAAATGATCATGAAACAGATTCATAAATCTGAGGCCAAGACCTATAGAGGTTGTAGCGCCACTGATGTATTTATTTATTTTAACTTTGATACAGTGAGCGTAGAAGGGGTTGCCTTTAGTAAATTAAACCCCGATTTCGAAACCTGTTTTTCTAAGTTTTTGAGCGCTCTGGGAATTTCACACACCGCAGAAAATAGAAGTACAATAAGATGAACCTATTGCATCATTTCACACTGGTTTTCTGAGACAGTAGTACTGCCCCGGTCGGGCCTGCCCATTTGGCTGAAGCCAGAAAGCAACAGCATGGCACTCCCACAAGAAATTTATTATGGAACAGTTAAAAAAAATATCTATTCAAACACAATTTTTATTATAAACCACAACATTATTATTCTACATAATATCATCTGATATTTGGTCACTTGGGAGGCACTCACTTAAGGCACTAATTTGAAACCAGTAATGCTAAAGTCACTAACAATCCATTTTTAAATTGGTTTACTTTGACATTTATAAAAGGCATATCATAAAATTAAGTATTAAATTTAACTAATTATTTCTAGTTTTACTTACAATAAGCAATACAATAGAAGCATTAATCTATATTTAAAAAATTAAACTACTTTATGTTTATGACATTACACAAAGCAACTTCATTTCTGTTTTAAAAATTATTAAATACAAAAATCTTTACTTACAAACGCATGTAAAGCAATCAAAAACAGCATTTAATATTGAGGTACAAGGTAACTTTATGTATCATTAAGTAAACTTTCAACATACTTAACACTCGACTTAACATCTTCGCTGTCAGCCTCCATGGACTGCAATTTGTCCTGAAGATTCAAAAGTACATCTGATGTGAACACACCCTTTTTCAAGGCCGTCATACAAAAGTTTGACAAAGCCCTAAAACACTGCTTCCTTTGAACATTATGTGGCTGATTGTCCCACACCGGGGTGGCCCTAACATAACTCCACGCTAAAAAGACATATTGAAGAACCGATTCCCAGTGCTGGGACTCTATCAACATTTTCCCCTGATCAACCAAACACTTTTTGAACGCGGCAAGATGCGTTGCGACCCTAGAGAATGCAGGTGAATCCGTTTTAGAAGTCAGTCTTGATGTTGGGAGACTCTTAAATATGTTCGATTTTAAATAGTTCAGTCTTTCTTCTAATGGCGAGAGATCGGGAAGGGGCAGTTCACTCCGAATCTCGTCGTCGAGCTCGGGATGTTTGTGTGCAATTTTTTTGATAATGTTTATTAATTGTGTGGGACTGAGACCTTTGAGGGGTGTATCAATCGGACCTTTGTAATCGGGATCGAGGAGTTTTTCCAACCGGCAGCGTTTTATTGGTGGAGTAGATTTAACTGGGGAGGTGATTTTGAACTTTTGCGGCGTACTTAGGTCACTGAAGTCTATTTTCTCGGGAGTTATAGGAACGCGTTCTTCGTCCAGTAATAAACGCTTACGTGGGGTTGAACGTAATGTCACGCCAAGTTTTGGGGGAGAACTGCGACTGGAGCCTTCTCTTGGAGGCGTACGAACCGCTGAATGAAAAGTGGAGTTGCGCTTTGAGTCAATGTCGGGGGACCAACTGACTGGAGCACGCTTTCTACCTGAAATTAAAATGGAAAGTTGCAGTTGGTCATATTGTGAAGTATGAGACAGGACGGACACATTTCTGTTATATTATTAATCTTGATCATATCCAGGGTGTGCAGGATTTTGACCTTGAAACTTGTATAATGTAAACAAATCTTTAATTAAAACATTAGAATAGATAGTCCAATAATATTTTTTTAGAATCAAATAATAATGTCTCTCATTGCTTTCAATAAGCCAAACCAATTTTGCAGTAAAGTAAAACCTAGTCTTTTTACCTAATGGAGACTAAATCCAGGGTGTGAGAAACATAACATAATATACTACTGTTAGTAAGCATGAAATTGTAGATTTTCTAGTATTATTTTATTTAATACATTATAAATCTTTAGGTTTATATGTAAAAGTAGACAATATTTCTCATATTTTAAGGCAATTAACAGACATTGTTGTTTATGAAACATAAATAATCAGATTGTTGTCTACCTGTTCTTCTTACCAATAAGCACCTCTTAGCTATAAGAGATCTATTAAATAATATTGAAAGTTTTCAATTCTAATCCAAGAGATTTGTTAAAATTTGTCAAAATTCATCTCTACACATGGGACTGTAAACCTACGGAACTACATGATGGCAGATACTTTTGATCAATAGTGTATTGTTTGTCAATCCTTTAATTATTGGAAATTAATATGATTAAAAATGCAACAGCTTTCTCTGAATTGGATTCTAAGACAAATTTTACATATTTGATAGAGAAAGGGGTTTTTATCAGCCATGAAGTAAATCATCATAGTGGTAGAATAATGACGATCTGACAAAAAGTAAACTTTACAGGGCAGCCGTTTCAAATAAATATAATCATGTTAGTTTTTATCATAACTATTTTAATTCATATTCTGTTAATATGAAAATTGGCATACAAGCAAACAAAGGGGTTTGTTTTGAAACAAAATAATAAAAAAAAAATTTAATTACAGTTTTCTAGAAAAATCACATGTTTCTATCAAATCCGTCACTTCGCCGACTGATTAATTTGAAATTTAAAACACATGGTTTTTTTTAATGTAGCCGTAATATTTAGTCAATGTAGTATCCAAATTAGGTAAAAATTGGATTTTGGATTTATTTCAAATGATCATGACGAAATGTCTTTTAAGCCAAAACTTTTTTATGCATACCCGGATTTTGAATAGAAAAATTTAAGGTTTATGCATAATTTCAGAAATCAACTCTGCTGACAATACAGTAAAGATCTTAATACCTCTTTGTTGTATGAGCTGTTCATCAGGAGATGGTGCTGGACTCAAGTACCCAGTAGGTAGGCCAGGTGACACCTCCCTGGTGTTTATAGCGATGGCTTGAAGAGGAGTCATCCGAAGACGATCCATTCGAGCAGGGATTTCAGCGAGAGCAGCACGCGTCCGACGAGGAATGTCGGGGGTGGCCCCTCCATGACTTAACTGTTTTAGTAGAAATTCATTTAAATATATATGAATAATACAAGGTTTATTGAATCTGTTGCGCTTTTATTAAAAGTATAAATGATGAGAGTAATGAGAGCTACTTGAATAGAGCAACTTCATTACGCGTGTTGATGTTACACATCACACGATACAGCTATTGCAGTACATCGTAAAAGGACCCGCAGAATTTTGGTAATTAAGAATTAATCTAAATATTGTGTAAATTATCTATGAAGGTTCTGTTACGTTCAAACTGCAATAAAAAAGATCTATCAACGATGCACAAAAGTTTGTCGTAACTGTTTTTAATTACATAAAAATTATAACTTATTGCAATGGACGAATATAAATATAATAGTTAAAGAACTTACGAAAATGAGAACTCAAAGTATCGCGAAATAATATTCTTTTGCAACTTCACAATACAAATAATTGCAATGTGTTTTCAAAGGTAGATAACAAACACAGAATTTAGCGCGAAAAATTGACAGAATAGTAAAAAAACGAAAATCAAAACTGACGTTCTTATACTTTATATCTGAACCAATCAGCCATGATCACAGATATATATGAAAAGCGTTTCGTGCTTTGCACAGATTGTAAAGTTTTAATTTATTTTGCATTTACACTTTGTGCTTGTGTAGTGTCTGTGAATAAGCGCGAGGCGTGATGTCACACTGAATAATCAATATGCACCATGAAAAGACTGTCCGTCTCTCTCGCGCTCGGTCAAGCTTATGAGTATAAAAGAGATTGTTATTGTTTTGCTTTTGCTACTGTTTATGTTGATCTTTTTTCTCATTATTATTTTGTTTACTTATTTGGTTGGAGGTTAGAATACTTTGAAAAAAATGTCTTATGAAATATATTCCGTCTAAACATCACCAGGACAATCTCGTGAAATGGTGCACAATGTTTTTAATTATTTTAAGCATCTTAATAAAAACAGTTTAATGAAAAAATGTAATTTTTAATTTGACATCAGATTCGACTGGTGTTTCTAAGAGGAGTATTGAAAGAATTGTTAGTGAAGTAAAAGTGAAGTGTGTTGAGCTAGATGGAGCTTATGTCGAAAAATGAAAAATTATTTACACAAACTACTCTTTTACGTTTTTGGTCGGGCTTAGAACTTTTGTATCCACCCTCGTATGCACATAATATTTATATGTATTTGACACATTTTTATTTATTCACAACCCACCCAACCTTATTAAAACCAGAGTTGACTAAAATATATAGCTTGGCAAAAAAAGTAATATTTTTAAACATACTGTATAGTGAAATTGCATTAGTGTGAGTACTGTGAACGCGCCAGCTTTTGATAACCGACCTATAACCCACGATCATAAATTTTAAAATAAATAACAATTATAAACTTCTATAAATGATAGAATAAACGAACCTTTTACTTTTTACTAAGATTTTATAATATCCCTTGATGCTGTCGACTAAATCAACACCAAACATATTATTATATTGATTGTATTCAGAAACTGGGCTGATCAATGTTGAGGTATTTTTTATTACACTTGTCATAACATTGAACCTTATTATCTTTTCAATCAACATTTGATATCCCAATACCCTCAAAATCCGTCACGAATTCTGTGAAATAACCTCGCTCTTTTTTTTTAAATTCTTTATCAGCAGATAAGTTGGAGTTAGGATTATATTACGACTTTATAAGATTAATTTATTTTATTAATTTTGATATTTTTGATTCTTGGGTATATGGCGTGCCATCCTCATAACTATTATACATTAGACGCAGGTCTTAAATTAGGTTTTCCAGTGAGTATAGTATTTTCAGCTCCAGTTTCTACTTCGATTGTATAAGCATTATTTTTTTAGATTTGACGAATGTTTGGACACGATGACTTTTATAATACGTAATTGCAAGTATATTTTTTTTTAATTTACTGAAATTTTCATTTCAATTGGGTAGTTATCTGGTATAATAGATACCAAAAACGAAATGGCTGATTGTTTTTTAAATATATGAACGAATAAATTATAATTTTTTGTACGACAAGGTGGTATGGCCTACCTCATACCTCGTACCTCATTTGGATCTAAAATAAACTACAGATTTGAGGTTGTTTTCTTTTAGTCTATATAATATAGTTGTTAGTCGTCAGCTGTCAGGTGACAGATCTGAAAAGTAATGCTACACAGTACACAGCTAGAATGACTGTAAAGTGTAAAGACTAAAGTATGACACTAGTCAGTTAGTCACTAAATTTTATTAAATAGATTTTAAATGTAAATTGTATTAGTTCCATAATAATATAGTTTGGATTTCTTTTCGTCTTTGTAACTTTTGTAATCGTAATGTATTTCGGAATTCGGATGTCTAATTTATAATTCTGTATCATTACAGTACTAAATACTATTAACTATTTTCTATATTGAATATGTTGCAAGACTTCGATTTTCATACAAGTGTATAAGTTATGGTTAATTTTCTTTAATATAAAAGTAAACTTGATCAACTGATTAACTTATTTTCTAAAATATATAACTAAGTCGTTTTGTGAAAGGCTACAAGTAGGACAGTAAGCTGTAAACAAACAAGGCCGGGTATCGTATGTTCTAGATGTAGCGAACTGCGCGATCATGATATTTTTATGTTGAGCGATTCTAACATGGAACGATTATCGCATGACTTAAATCTGGCGTTAGAGGAAAGTAACTGCGGTAGGCAAGAACGTAGAAAACTGGGATTTCGGCGGAGAACCAGATCTGCAGGAAACTTGCGTGAGTTTGTTTATGTTTTTATCACAAATCTAATTTGACCTTGGGCTACTAAGTAATTTATCAGTATAACTAAATTTGCACTTCACATAAATTATGATTCAAATAGTTTCCGAATGTAATGTGAATAATTTTATTAAGATTTGTAGTAGTTAACGTAATGTAATAGGTACCATCTGTACATATTAATCTAAGTTACTATTATCCTTTAGTGCTAATAAAATTAAGGGCTCTGAGGTAGAATGGGTAGATGTACTATAAACACACCAATATACCCCATTACTTATATGTTATTATGCTAATATTAATTATCATTCACAAGAAAAAATATTTTTATTTATTTTATAATATATTTTGTATAAATTATGCTACTAAAGCCGACAAAGTACTTCTTTAAAATGTTTTTAGATACAGCTTCCTTCTATTACAGCTGCCGCAGTAACTGTGAGCTTAGTTGATGATGGCAGTTCTAGTAGTCCACCTCAGGCACCTGTTATCACACAACCTCTTTCTGACTCTGATGACCCCCATGTCAACATACATACTTCAATGAAATCCCGTCATTACTGCCAAATTGGCAATTTTGAGTCAGACTCATTTAATGAGAACTTCTCGCCGAGTCGACCAGCAAATACAAGACGGAAGCGTAAACTAAAAAAGATGCCAGTAGACTATGTAGATGGTAAACATTCACCACCCATTGAAATATTGAGCATCTTAGCAGAGGTAAGATGGAGAGGAATGTATTGTTTTCATAATTATGAATGTTAAGAGCCTGTATCTGTTTAGTTTTTTACCTTGTACAATAAAATAAATTTGATGTAAAAACATACTGAATATTTTAATAATATTTGTCAATTTTATTTCATAAAATGTAATGTTTTTATTTTCAGCCAAGTATATTAGTACCTTCAGCATTAAATCATAAAACAGCAGGACTCTCACCACTTATCCATGTTACAAAATATAAACCGGAGAGGTTAGTTCGTAATGCAAATAACCAAAGCATTTAACAAAGCATGCTATAAACACTTTAATATATACCTATTCTACGTAACTGTCAAAATGAATTTTTAAAGATAAAAAAGAGAAATAAATAATATTTTATTTAAATCTTTACAAATAAAATAATTGATTTTATATCTTTACAGAAATGCTTTTTGTGGTAAAAGAAAATGGTCTCATAGAGATAAAGGTGATGCTTGTGAAATGCGTGAGAGATCATTCAGTGGGGGATGTTCATCAAAGTCTATTTATTTCAAAAACGATATCAAATCAAAAAAACATGATTTGGAGAAAAAGAGGAAAGAGTCAGTGCTACAACCAGGAAAGATAATTCTCAAACCGCAGACATCGAATGATTCAACACCATCTCCTTTTACAAACACATCGTTATCTCCTGGCAGTTCAAGTTTTAACTTTGTCTACAAAAATTCATCCAAAAATGGTACACCTACGCTAACAAAAATGACTGGGTATACCATAGCAACAGACTTGCCTCCTTTCTTTAGTCCATCATACTCCATCAACAATATGAATGAAAAATATAACAGGAAAATGAAACTGTTAAGCAAATACTCTCCTAATTCTTTACGTAAGCCCTTGCAATTCGAAGACATTGGTGGAATGGATTGTGGTAATGAAAGTAGCTCTCTAAGCAGCAGTGATTCTGATGGAGCAGGAAATGGAGACAGTGACGGAGAAGGTGATGATGAACTAACAGATTGGCCTGGGATAGAAGAACTCAAAGTTTTTAATAAAAGTCTGACATTTAAATCTTCAAAATCAGTCAATAATAACTGCACAAAATCTATTAGCAACATGCCACCTCCAAAACGTTTAAAAAAAGAAAACTCACAAACGAAAAGCCTATGGACGTCAAAGAACAGATGTAAAAAGAAGAGGGCAAAAGTGGACTCTGGTAATGATGAAGATGCTCTGATGTCAGACACTAAAACAATTGTGGATGTAAATGAAGAGGATGATAAAGCTAATGTAGTACTGCAATCATCATTTGCAACATTTAGTGATATCAAAAATGCTGGTCCTTCGGGACAGAACGCTGATAAGACGTTTTTTCAGTCCTTTCAGACATATCAAGAAAAAACTGACGGAAAGGAAGAATTTGTTACGACGCCGCGCACAAATTTTACGTTACAGAAAACGTCGTCGAGCGATCTTAACTTGAGCGAAAAGTCGCCTCAAAGTGATCACTACTGTAGTGAGAATTCCCTAAACTTAGGTATAAATGAAGTGAGGGAAATAAGGGCTGGATGTAGACGAATACGTGAAGAAAGGCCTGGCCTCTTGATATTGAGTGCGGCAAATGAGCAGCTGTCAAAATTCTTACAAGACTCCTGTCAGGCCGAGTTAAAACTTCCAAATTTGCAAGATCCAGGAGAAAAAGAAAAGCTAGAGTCACTTGCAAAGCTTTATTCATTGGAGTTGCAAGTGGAGTTGGGGAGACCCGTACTAAGGAAAACCAGGTAAATCAATAATAACAACAATAATAGCTGCTTTTATGGCAGTAAAATACTTATCCTAGTACATAAAAATGTGAAGTACTATAAACACTAATAATTAATTGGCAAGCCGTTTAATTTCTGTTTTAAAGCTTAGCTTATACTCTAAGAGGTTCCACTCTTCTAGCTTTACGTAGCCAGCTGCTCTTCTTATATCTTATTTGTCTATTTTTATTTTTTTATTTGACTATGTCCGTCGATTTTTTACGTCCATTTAACGTAATTTTCTCATAACGTGTCCTGGCGATTTCCATTTCAATATTTTACTAGAAGTAACATAATTTCTAAACGTTGTCATTATTTCTTCTAGTTTTACTCTATCTTTTAATTTCAGACCTAGAACACTCCTTTCTATACTTTTTTGACATACTCTTAGTATGTTTTCTTGTTTATCAGTGAGTAACCAGGTTTGACATGCACGGTAATCTAAGACTTTTTCTCTTGTGAAACAAAGTTTCAGTTTTTCATTACTTCTGAATCAATACTGCAGCAATGTTTAATTCTTAGTCAAAATTGTACATGCAAATTAACCTAAAATTAAAGATCAAAAAATTTCTACAAAATCTAATTAAATTAATATTTATCTTAATAAATAGAAAATAATTAGGAACCTGTTATTGACGCCCGACCAAAGAGTACAAATTAAGCAGCTTTAAAAAAACATTACGAGAAATAATTAAAATGATTTTCAGTAACACAATGCAAGCCGTACGAGTGGAGCATTCCTATCACAATTTCCCGTCAGACCACAAACGCCGTTGCTATGGTGACGACGTGGACTCGAGCTTCAGTCTTAGCGATCATTCTGCCAACTCCAACGATCTCGAAGACACAAAACCTAAAGAAGATACGAGCGAAATAATACAGATAAGTGATGCCTTTAGCGATGCGTTGATTGACAAGAATTTGTTGCGTCATCCTGGTGATTTGGATTAATGAAAGGGAGAATTATTTTGTGACCTTATTTGATACGGTAATACACAGGTGGGTAACAAGCAAGACAATTTCTAACTGTTTTAAAACTAGATTTTTGTTAAATATTTAATTGTCTGTTAAAATCTGTCGTATGAGGTTTTTTATTCCGTAGAATTCTGACATTTCATATGTGTTGCTACTAAAAAAGTTTTCCACCGAAAAAGGGACAAATTTGACTTATTTGAGGGCAATAAAAAATGCTACGTATTTTTTATGTTTTACCTACAAAAGGTAAATCTAAATATTTACTTACTCATGTGATCTAATACAAAAATATTTTAATATCACAAACAATATATTGAATTAACTTTAATTACTTTATTTTTTTCTTTAGCTGGCATCACTGCCTACTGATTCCAGGTGTAGTAAACATTTTAAAAAATGTTATCTTTACTTGTGCGTTTTTTACTGTTTGTGATGAAAAGGGCCGCCTCTAGGCCGCCATTATCACTCGCCGTTAAATCACTTATAATGTGGAGCACCGCACTTAATAAAATCGATAAATTCACTAACAAATAAAATGTATGTATAGACTCAGACTAGTATTGAAATTGAAAAATGTTCCCGGCCAAAAAGGTTTGCCATCTCTGACATGTCAAAAAATGATAGCTGTTAGAATTCTACGGAATTAAAAATCTGAGTATAGGCAACGATTTATTCACAGTTGAGTCTTAGAGTGAACTCACTCACTTGTGTCAAAATCTAATATGGTTTTGACATATTGAAGTCATACTTAACTATAAAATCAGGTAACAAAGAAATTTGATAAAATATATATGAAATCTATTGATAAGCAAAATATTTTAGAACTTAATTAGGTCAGATCGTCATTATTTCTCATAAAAGTGTATACAATGAGCAAAAGTAGTAGGAACTTAAGAATTTTATATCGTTATTGTACCTATAAATGCTTCAACTTTATTCTTGTAATATGTTTATATTATTTACTAACAATAAAAGTATGCGTAAATTGTGTGAAAGGTTTAAAAAAAGGGTGCGTGTACTTATGTACGCGCGTAAGAAGTTATACTTCTTTGGCATTATTAAAAATAGTTTTTGATTGCATGCAAATAATTAATTACAATTAAATAATCAAAGACTGGAAAGGTCATTATAGTCAATAAAGTTCAGTTTACATTTGAAAAATTAAATAAATAAATATTTATTATTATTCTCTTACATTAAGTGTAACATAAATTCTATTATTATTCGAATGTTGTTTTTAAATTATGTCCAATGCCGTAGCATCTTCCGTGGGCAACTTCATTCTGTTAATTTTGTCACGGTGCGCGCGCATTATAAAATTTTACTCTCATCAATTTTTCATAACGCGCCTAAAGAAGTATAACTTTAAAAAGTAATGAAAAATGTTACGTTTCACGTTCGGGTTCTATTAATTATATATGATGATGTACGCAAGATACTAACTGATGGTAATCGGTACTTCGTATGAAATTTAGTACATTTTTCATGATTTATATCGGTTAAAAAAACGTTGTTATACATTTAAAATCTTTTAATCGATATTAAATTAGTCCCGAGCCATCAGTGAATCTACGATTGATAATAAAAATGTTTCTTAAAAATCCATGGTAGGTAGGTACTTTTGTATAGAACCCGGGCGGTTGAAAGGAAATCGAGTTTTAATATCCACTACAAGATAATAAATAATAATTTTAGAGACTGGCAAATGTTTTAAAAGCGGCTTTAGATTAAGAAGTTTAAAGTATCTTTATCTAGTATAATGATAGTTATAATGAATACATTTTTATATAACCCCATTTTATTATGAACGGATATTCATTTGTTATTAATGTAAGTTCTTCTATTGGCAAAAAGTTGAGTTTCATAGAAACGTGATCTCATTAAAAATTTAAGATATCTGATATCCTGATACTGCGAGCGCTCACTTTAATTCGGTTTTAGTTCATGGACCAAGTTTAAGAAGTATTTTTTCATACATTACAGCTAAAAGAATTAACGAACCGAAGTAGGAATTCCTACCTAATTGGTCGATAAATCCATTATTAAGGAGAGTCTAAATGTAATCTACACTTCAAAAGTTAGGGAATTTCATTGCTTGTTTGAAAGTGTTAAGTTTATATTAAGTTAAAATTAACGGCGGGTTTTAACTGCTATGCCCAGTTTTTATAAAACAGTTTCGTTTTATTGCTCTCGAAGCTCAGAAAATAAATGCTTCATAAAATATGTAGATAATTTTTATTTCTACTATCTGTATTTAAAAAGGGGGGGGGGGTGGTTTAAAAATTAATAAAAAGGAAAAAAAAAAAAAGGGGGTTTTTCAAGGGGGGGGGGGGGGGGAACCGGGGGGGGAAAGGGGGGGGGGGGGGGGGGGGGGGGGGGGGGGGGCTGTATTTAATTTAAAACAGTATATTAAACTTCTTTTAAGTTTCGAGGCCTAACGTTTATTGTCCATTCTCTTTATTTTAGAGTTATCTATGACCATTTCCCAAAGCACATTGATATTTTGACAACGAAGGACATACAAAAATACGGTTAAAAATATACAGTTTAAAAAGAAAATGGACCACATGTGTCCCTTGATTTACCTAGAAAGGGTTGGTTTGAAAAAAAAACAATTTTCTTTGATATTAATTAAATCTACCAGACTAACACGCCTATATAGTCTGTCTCACTCTAACGCGTACCGGCTGCGCTTACGCTACGCCACCGATCTCGTCAGAGAGATGTGAATACGCAGTATGCGTTCTGTCCCACTCTAACGCACCTGCGCTACGTTACTGATCACGCCAGACCGATGTGAGACGCAGTATGCGTTCTGTCCCGCTTTAACGCGTATTGGCCGCTCCTATATTACGTCTTCGTGTGATAGGTTTATTTTCGTTACGGAATTTCATGGGTCGGTCGCCGTGCTCAAAGCCCGCGATAAAATCTATGCAATAGCTTAATACGTCCACTTTATAAAAACAAGGTTTATTACGTATGCAATGATATAACGAAGTGATAGATCGCGTTACTTGATTATCATTGATTAACGACACGTCGTTTATCAATAGTTTAAATCCCTATAGACATTGTCTATGACCTTTTTGTAAAACGTTAGCTAATAATAACGTTCAATAACATACGTTGCTATAATCTGTTATAAGACAACAAATTTTTAGAAAGCTTTGTATAACATTTATGTTCCTGAATTGTTATGTATCCAAAACTGCCATAATCTTTAGTTTATTCCTCTTGTAAATAATGTTAAGTACCTGTGGTCAATGAAGTACAATCGTCAGATTTAATTTTTCTGAGATAGTCATTGACAATTAATACTTAATCATAGATTATGTTGTCTATATTGAAGTCTATTATTCAAAACTAGGAAAGTTTAGGATCATTTCCCGTTTATATAGTTTTATATTATGATATTAAACACGAAATAATTAAATATAATTTTTTAAATCTAGGTGTTGTTTTATTTGTACTGTCAACGTTCCTTAAAAATTTGTAAAATATACTAATTTTATAAAGGTAAGGTGTTTGTATTCCTAAACACATTAATATCATAAACTACTGATTCGAATTGAACTATTATTTTTGTGTTGCATAGTCAATTGAGGAAGGTTTTAAGCACGATACGATCGCGTTCACGGACTAAGAAAGTGCAAAGCTCAGATAGTGGTATATTTGAATACACAACATTCGGGTCCGGATGACTCAAATCGCTTTATTTTCACATCTTTAATTTACGTTATACTAATCCTAGCAGACTCGGCCAAGCGTTGCTGTGGCTATGGTCTATGTTATATATACATAGTAGTAAACTATTCATGAGAAACGGTAGGTGATCACCAGTCATGGGGACCACCATGCTTTTTTGGTGGTTATGCCATTAAATTGTAGCCGTAGGCCCAAAATTAATAATGTATCCTCATTCTAAGATTATAACCAACCTTGGACTGATTCATATCTAAAGACCGATCTCCAATCTGCATGCCAATAAACATTTCTGCTATCCGATTGTTTATTTGACAAAAGATTGACAGCAATCTTTTGCGTGATCCTTCCCTCTCGACCGCGTTTCGTTCAATGCAATATGTTTGTGTTCAAGCATACCAAAAGTTTGCCGTTTTTGGAACGAAATAAAAGTAAGACTTAGGGTCTGTTTCACAATGTATGTTTTTGTTACGAACAAATAAAGTTACAAAATTCTATAGAAAAACATAGAACCTTAACCTTTTTGTTGGTCATTTAATATTACTTGTAACGAAACGGGCTGTCATATTATATTGAGTATTTTAGTTCGGTGCCTTAGGCTTGACCTTTCAAATATAAATTTTCTCTGAGTAGTTTGTGTATGTTGTTTTTGTGATTCGAGGTTGGTTCTTTAACTTAAAAATGTCTACGCAAAAACGTGAAAGAAGCGTCAATTTCAGCTACGAAGAAGTTGACCTAACTTCGCTTGTTGCTGACCATAAAAATATATTAGAAAATAAAAAGAGTGACTCACCTGGCAGGAGAAGGAGCAGTGCTGGAAGACGCTGGAGGCGCTGTTTAATAGCACAAGTGGGGTAAACTTTCGCAGTGCTAAAACTTTGAAAGCTAAATACGAAGGCTTAAAGAGGGCTACAAGAAAAAAGTCTGCCTTGATACATGCTGAAACATATCGTACAGGAGGTGGCCCTAGTGCTGCTACTCCTCTTACCCCTATCGAGGAAAAAGTCAAAGACATGATATTGTTGTCTGTCGAAGGAATTGAAAGGAAGAGCTTCTAAATAAGAGATAGCAATGGGCATTTAAAGAGGAAGAAAGAGAGAATAAAAGAGAATTATGGGCCATAGGAAAAAATATATTGTTAAATAAATTAGAAAAATAATAGATTTTGTGCCTGGAGCGAGGATGTATTGAAATAAAAATTTGTATTTTTATTTAAATAAAAGCATTGAATTTTTATTTAATTTATCTCAAAAATTTTGTAATTTATAAAATATTATAGTAATAAAGCAAAATAATCACTTATAAGATTACTTCGCACACTTGCATTTCCCACGTTGTCAATTGCGCTTTGATCAATATCATCAGCTGGTTCATCTACTTGTTGCAGTAGTTCAAATTGTTCATCTCGCATATCAATAGCAATATTGTGCAACACTGCACATGCCACTATCACGGCTTGTACACGAGATACTTGAAGCAAAACCTTTTTTGACAAACCGATTTTGGGGAACCGATTTTTCCAAACACCATATGTCCTTTCCACCACATTTCTGCTTCGTATTTGAGATTCTTTATAAAGATGTTCTGCTGGAGTCTTGGGGTTTTGAAGTGGAGTTAGTAGGTAGTATCTATAGTAACAAATATTTTTGGTTGTAGCTAATATTTAAAAACAAGTTACAAAAGTTGATGAAAAGATGAAACCTGCAAGAAGTCATATATGATAGACATCACTTTGTGTAAAAGTGACTCCAAAGCTTCTTTTGTTAACCTAAATCTAAATGTGAATTCGGCGTCATTCAGGCTCTGGATATAATTAATTCTTGTCTTCTTATTATGTCTTCGCACAGAAGTACGTTGTCTTCTTCCAGCGTCAGAATTACTATCCCAATCGGATAATTGCATTTAAACTTCCAAATCACTATCACTAGAACTGGAAGATGACGATGAATGAATATTAAGTTAGATCGCAATCCCAAACCCAAATCATTCGAGTTTCACCGATAGCAATCCGAGATTGATTTGGCCAATCGAAGCAACTGTCAAAATGGACAGATAGGTTGTTGGCATGAGTAAACATTCATTTTCATACAGAGGGCAATCTTCAATCTCTTATCCGCTCTCTGAACGATTGGTTGAATAATTAGATTGGTATCTCAATCCATGGATTGAATATTGGCATACTTTTCTTTAGAAATGTATTTAATTGTCAGTGTATGACAGCTAAAATTGGAATGAGATTGCATATTAGTTTTGGCCGTAAGTGAGACGTTGGTACTTTCAACACAGCGCCAGTGTTAGAATTGTCACTGTCAAATAATAAACAAATCATTTGCAATAAAATAATATTGCGGGTATAAATTGAGAAGTGAGCTATCCTTTCTTTTAAGTTAGATCAAACTTCACACGGTGTGCGGACAAACAACGTGACGCGTAATTTATATACATTAAGATTAAAAAGAAGTAAAGTTTGTTAGGGGATAATCTTGTTTTCATTATTATTGATAATATTTTTACCAATTGAAAGCCACGTAATTTTTGTACAGCTAAGCGAGTGTCATATAGATACTAACCCGAAACCGTTTCTTACGGACACATCGCCTTAACGCCTTTAATTTAATTTCCTAATTATTTTGCAAGAACCCTTTCCGCAGGTGAAGGCTTCCTCCAAAAACTTGAGGTATCTTGCTCTTGGGTGAGTTGCATCCAGCTCGAGCCAGCCGTTTTAGTATTGTTTAATACTTTGTATATACTACGTGTAATAGGATTATATAGGGTAAGAAAAATCAAGAATAAATAATAATAACATTTATTAATAAAATTGCAAAAAAAATTAACAATGAGCACCAGTCGATACCGAATCGTTTTACGATAAAACAGTTATTTTAAATGTCTTTTGTTTAATTCTTGGAATAATTTTGTGCATCGAGTACATTAGTATATTAATAAACATTCTTGTAAATAAATTTTATAACAAACACACACGCAATGATATCAAATAACTTATATAAAAAAAATACACGTTAAATATAAAAAAAATATGAATAAAAACATTGTGATGCTACTAAACGTAATTTTTAAAAAACATACACTTCAATCACACTTTGAGTACATCATAGATTAAAAATAAAAAACATATTGTAAATTGTTAAAATTCGCGCCTAAAATATCTACTACAGTCTATGGCTCCACAGATTCAATATTGCTCTATGAAAATTAACACAGATTTTGCTTATTTGACTTATTTAAAAAAAGTATTTAAATATGATTAAGTATTCTATCACATCAAAGTTAACATTACTTAGTTAAATTATAATTGAAAATTTCATGACACATCCATCTTTTGTACTCTGTTAATTTGCCTACAGTACAAGTAATTTATAGAGAATAGAATCTCGCTGTTTCTTTCCAACAGCTAACCCAAGAAAGAGACGGATTTTATTACAAATTCTTACCTATTGCAAAATTCACTCATTATTTGTAATTTATCCCTCAATAGTACAGATAAGATCATCGCCTTCCAGTTTTTGTCCATTTGTGATGGCAACACTTTTGATGATACCAGCTTGCGGTGCCTGAACTATCATTTCCATTTTCATAGCTGAGAGGACAGCGATCGCTTGACCCTTGTCTACTTTGTCGCCCTCTTTAACTTTAATAGCTGAAAAAATGATTTAAGGTAAGTTTCAGTCCTTAAAAATCTTCGACCATACGTTTAAGGGCGATTGGTATTTAGTATATTGACTTTACATAAGCAACAAACAACTGATTTCTTTATCCTCTGTATAATTTGATACACGTTTGAATCTCTGGATAATTAGATTTTTTTCCCGATCTTATAAAAATTACTCGATACATTGAATAAATTTACTGTTAATTGATCCCCTCGGCACTTCTTCAAATAAGTTGAAGGAATAGTATATTGCGTGTCGGGCTTTCCTACTCTCTATAATTTGAAGTGTTTATCATTCAGCGACCTGTCAATTGTTTTTTGAAATTCTTTAGACAATGACAGTCTCAACTGGACTAGGTTTTTTTTTTAATCCGCACAATCAGCCATATTTAAAAGGCATGCAAATGTCATAATAAGAAGTCAAGTCATTTATAAGTAATTGTTAAACTTTTGTTCTAAATATTCTTTTTTTCGAAATAAAAATTTGTGAATAATTGTAATTAATTGTAAGTCATTCATTATAAAGTATAAATAATCACGACATTTGACCAAACTATTATTTACTTGAGTCCCCCCTCCCCTCGAGGTTATTTAAACACATGTTATTTTGAAGTCTTGGTAGTTTTTCTCTGGTCCCTTGAGTTATATTATCGATAGTCGACTGAATATAGCTTAAACTATTATATTATGACCAGATCACAAAATCACCAATGTATGCAGTTTTATACAGGGGGACCAGAAAATTCTGCACTATTATTACGAAGTGCGGACCTGGGCACGATAGTATTAAGAAAAAATATATATCTTAGGAGGATATAGTTCATATTTAACTTGGTAAATATTGCATTTTATTTTGCATATCTAACCAGTATTAAAATCGCTAAATAATGAAAAATCCAGCCTAACCTCAACTTTATACGAAGTATTAAATTACAATAAAAATAATCTAGACTTTATAACTCACTTAGAACGGTTCCAGGCATGGGAGCTCCAACTTGGCCCTTGTCACCTTTCACGGCTTTTGGATGGATCTTCATTTCCTGCAAATAGCAAAACAGATGTTCAGAAGTGAAAGCTGACTAATCTAAGAGTACGACCAACCGGGCTTCAAAAGATAAACCACTCCTTATATGGAAATTGTATTCGTTTTTACAATAAACTCTCAAGCGAAATTAAATAATTACACTGAAAATTAATCAATAAAGCTTTTTATAAATTTTACGAGTATTTTAAAGACCCTAATACTTGGGATTGATTTGCTCTAGTTCAAATAATTTGTATGACTAAAAACTTGGTGATTACAGAGTGGCGGAGAGTTTCTTGTCAGTTCTTCTTGCCTGCTCGTACCTTGACTTGCGCACTGGTAGTTAATGTAAATTTACAATCAATTTAACAATTCTGTTGACGCTCATAGGAGTACTTGTTTACCTATATGAATTTTAATTATTATTCCTATGTATATTTTCTATTTTTATGAGTTAATCAGATCCTTTACCTGGCTAGCCTTCTCGTCCCGTATGAAGACGGACCGTAGCTGTCCATTGAGTTCGAAGAACACTTCCCTCTCTCCAGCCGCTGTCATCTCATCAGACACAGCCAATGTCTTGATGTCCAGCGTCTTTCCGCGTTCGATCTTAACTTCGATAGTATCTCCCACCTTTTGAGTTTGAGAATTTGTTAAAATCAAAAATAAATTTCAAAAATTAAGTACAGTTTAAACTCTTTATAACGAATTTCAAGGGACCGAGCAATATTATTATATTGCATTATTCGTTATAGAGAGATTCCGTTATGGGAAGAATAAATGTATGGGTATTGGGTTAAATCAAATAAATTTTACTCCGTTTTACATTATAGAGAATCGTTATAAAGAGTTTTCACTGTATACTAAGTTTATGATAGGATATGTAATTTTTTCTAAAAATAATGTTACAATATTCGGAAACTTTTAATCAACGTTAGCGGCTAACGTTCAAGTATTCCGTAAGGAGATTTACTGCAATTTATCCCTCCCCCTCCCTTCTTCTTGCAAGCAAAAGTAAGCACAGCTCTCAAAAATAGTACATAAATTAATTTTTTGTAGGAATCGTCGAAAATGCATTTCGTTTTTAAGCATAGACAATGTGTGGGTAATATGTGTAAAAAAGTAAATAATTTATGTTGACGTAATCACCAAATAAGGAAATCAAAGACAACCACAACCCCCGTCCCTCCCCCCTATATTGCTTACGTAACTTGAACGGCGCCACACCCATTACCAAATCGAAAAAGTAAAATTTCTTATAGAAATTGAAGTTACTAAGCGGTTTTTAAATACTTATTTATTTATGGGTACCAAAATTTTATTTTATTTTGGCCTCTTGGCCTTAAAATATACTTACATCGGGTCCAACGAGGAACGTCTTAGTATCGAGATGTTTGACAGGCCCGTACTTGTCGCGTATACGGAAGTAGTCGTTCGCGACTTGCGGGTACATGGCGGCGGACATCACGTCCTGATCGCTGACATCCGAGTACGTCTCTTGTATGTCCTTCTTCAGTTTGTCGAAGTCCAGCGAAGGCAACTCTTGGCCCGGGCGACCTTCGATTCTTGGCATGTCTTTGAGGATTTTAGATCTGTACAATACGTAAAATAGATAAGATCCTCTATTAGTTTTGCGTCGGTTAAAATTGAAAGAAATAGATACATATTTTCTCCTACATGAGTAATCACAGATAATTTCATAGAATAAAATATTTTTTTAATGAAATAATATCAATAAAATGATGATAATAATGACGTATGTCATATTTATAATCTTTGGAAATATAGGAAATAAAATTATTTATGACTTATTGATACAAAGGATTTTGTCACTCATTAACTTAAATAACGTAATATATATGTCGCAGATTCCACGCGATTAATAATTGCAAAATTGGTGTCACTACCGTCGTCCGACATTATTACTTAATATTTAACGCAGTCAGTGCGCACGTCCCGCGCAGGCGCCGATCAGAGAGCAACTCTACTCAAGTGTTCAACAATCGATTCTACGCACTACTGACAAATTGACTTTGACACATTGACATTTTACGAGCTGTAAGATGTCTATGATATTGCGTGGTGTTGCCATTCCAATAAATATCTCTGACATATTAAATTGATATTGAATTAACCTCAAGGGTTCAGGGAATCCACCATATGGTATTCCAATGGCTCCTTGGAAGAACTCCACCACAGACTTGGGGAACGAGAGGTCCTCGGCTCTTGAGAGGATTTCATCGGCCGTCAGTTTATTTTGCACCATGAATTGGGCGAAGTCTCCCACCACTTTGGACGATGGCGTCACTTTTATTATGTCTCCGAGGAGGAGGTTTGCCTCTCTGAAAATTAAAAATATAAATTTTTTATGTTGATATGAATTTAAGTAACCAATGACGGTGTAACCTTTGGCCTCAGCCTCAGAATTTTTATTTACTTACTTTTGGAAAAATATTATTATTCAATAAATCATTATTTGCGTGAGAAACTGTAATTGATATAAATTTAATAACGTATGATATGATACGTACGATACAAATAATATAAGCCCAATAATTCATATGACTAATAATGTAAAATTCCTTAAGACAAATTTGCGCGCCATTGTGTGTGACAGAATATGCGAACTTAAGATTGTACCACCTTACACATTTTTGTACCATATTCTTGCAATAAATAAATAAATTATTATTATTCTAACTTATGACCTAAGAGGGTTAAACGCGAGTAACCACTAGTCACCGCTGCTCAATTATAGAAAAGTATTAGTTTTATTAATTTAGGAGGAAATCTGGAGGATCCCACCAGAACCGGAAAATTGTCGCGAGGAATAGAGACAAGTGAAGAAATTTGGAGGAGTCCTTCATCCCGTCGGAGGTCGATTACTAATGTTAAACATAATGACATGGACATTTTTTTTATTGCTTTTATATAACTAAGAATTAAAAAGAGTTCTTAAATAAATTACTGAAACCTTAATGTTTAAATAACAACAAGGCAACAGGATAAAAATATTAATACTTAATTAATATATCTTTTTATAATTATTATTTATTTATTAAACTAATTTAAGTGACTTTTTATATATAAATTGTACACAAAAAAGTTCAAATTCAAATAATGAGATCTTTAATTACCTGTAAGCTTTCTTAACTTCTTCAAACTGACTCCCCAATCCCAAAGAAAAGGCTTGGAACTGGAGATTAGTGTACTGTCCTCCGGGGATCTCGTTGAGGTATACGTCGGCGTTCCCTGACTTCATTGTAGCCGTACATTCGAACGGGCCGTACAACGTACGCGCTTGTTCCCAGTACGCGGAGTATTCAGATACAGTTTGTAAGGGGATACCTAGAATTTTGAAAATAAAGAATTTTAATTTTGAAAATGTATTTATTTATTCTTTTGCTGAAAGCCAGGAATTGACAGGAGGTAGCACAGGATAGCGCTGGAAGTTTCTCATTTCGGTGGCTCACTTTTTGGGTAGTAGAGCCAGCGGAGTAAATAAGTATTTATTTTCCAAAACACAAAATGAAATCGAAAAAACTAATAAAAACAAGCTAAAGAATTTACAAATGAAAAAATTAAATAACGAATAGTATAACTTTTGTCAGTTCACTCAACAGATAATAATGGTCCGTTAACCTGTGCAGTTCGTTAACTGAACGATTAATTAGCTTTGCGTAGAATATTACTTATTAAAGTTAGTATAAGACGGATTCATCAATAAAAATTTCAGAAGTCTACCAAATTTCTAATGGAGGCTTTACTGCTCTATGGTTTAACCTAACATTTCGTATCAAAGTTGTACTGTGTATAATGTACCATAGATATAATAAAAGTCGTAGATTCGTTCATTATCTGTGTGTCGTTTGTGATTGTTTTGATAAAACACTTTATTGATGTCATTTTAAAAAGTGATTGTTAAAAACATTTTAAAATTTATTATTATCTTGCATTTATTATGCAAGACGAAACTCGATAAAGGCCGGCGAAATATGTATTCAATATTTTCTTTTCTATACACAAACTATTTGAAACGAATAACCAGCCATTAGAACAAAATTTACTGATGTTCAAGTATCAACATCTCAAGCTGTGATGTGTCAGTGAAAAAAACTGGTTCTAGTATTGATGAATCGTAAAAATATTTTTTTTTTTCAAGTTTCCAAGCGATAAAAAATATTTCTGGCTTAAGCCAGGGATAACTAAAAGCGTAAAATATTTGATGGTGCTTCATAGCCGGCCACGCCACTTATCCAATATTCTTTCAACATTTACAGGTAAGAGGCAGTACGGACTTCCGCGGATCTCACCTCACCTTCCGTCCTATAATATTATTACGTTTTACAAACCTAACTATCATCCAGATCTACTTCTATTAATTTCTTGCTCCAGGTCACACTTGGCAGTGGAATCGAAAAATAAATGTTTGGAAGTCGGAAAACGTATGGAAATTTCTTGACCCGAGATTCACGTATGAAATAAAACGCTTTATCCTATTAAGGCGAAACTCACCCGTATCCAGTTTAGTGGACTGCAGGGAAGCGACCAACGCTCCCATGCTGGGCTGGCTCGTGAGTCCAGACATAGAGTCGACGGCCACGTCCACCACATCGGCGCCGGCCTCTGCGCAAGCCAACATGGCGGCCACTCCGGCTCCGGCCGTGTCGTGCGTGTGCACGTGGATTGGGACGGACGGGTGACGTTCGCGGATCGCCGATATTAGGAGTCTGGAATTATATTAGTATATAGTGTCTGCACTACCACCTCCTCTAATTAATTATAATGGGTAAAATCCAGGGTAAACGACGTGTTAGTAGAAGGAACAAATCATGGCTTAGCAACGTTAGGGAGTGGACGGGTATTAGGACTACGGAAGAGCTCCTGCATCTGGCACAGGATAAGTCACGCTTCAAGAGACTGACGGACAACCTCCAGTAATAGAGAGGCACTAAAAGAAGAAGTGTCTTCGAAATTCAGGGCGTTTAGGCCCTTGCCTGTTCACCAATGCGACTTTCTTTCGATGTATATAACGAATCTTAGTCTATGTAAGCATAAATACAATTAAATAAATATATAACCAGTGGATATGCAAACACACAAACAAACAAAACAAAAATAAAAAACCTTTAGTGAATTTATTTAGAAGAGAAGGAAAATTTCCATTCCATATCTTAGGTTAAATTTTACCTCACACTACCGTGAGGTAACTCGAGCTCCAGATATAGTCGAACACGATACCAATAGAGGCTGTGAAAACCACTTACTTAGCAGCCTGAGGCTTCAGCAATCCAGCCATATCTTTGATTCCCAGGACGTGTGTTCCAGCTTTCACCAGTTCATCGGCCAAGTTGACGTAGTACTTAAGGTCATATTTGGATTTCTCGGGATTGGATACGTCCCCCGTGTAAGAAATTGCTGCTTCGACCACTCCACCAGCTTTCCCAGCCGCTTCCATGCCAAGTATGAGATTCGGAAGGTAATTGAGGGAGTCAAAGACTCGGAAAATGTCCATACCGGTTTTCACCTGAAAACAAAATGTTTAGAAATAAAACGTTTACTCCAAGGGTTTGAATCATAGATTTTTATTTCAAATACGATCTCTAAATGCTTCATCATTGTCACTCGGTGATGACAAACATAAACAAGTTCAATCTAACTATATATAATATGTCACCGTAAAATTGTAAACACCGTTAGATTGTAGTCTATCTCGCGAGATTGTAAACTGTCGAAAGATTGTGAACCTCAACGAACTGCTTACAATTTAACGTATTATTATTCGGTAGATTGTAATCTATCGAAGTGAAACCGTCAAATTGTGAAACGGATCGCGCCTCGCGCGCTGATTGGTTGAACGGAATATGCCCCGCGCCACACGTAATGAAATTTTCTTTCATTTCATTTCCAAGACTAACTTAGTTATCATTCAAACTTCTTTGGTCAATCACAGATTAATTTTACTTCCCAACAATTTCATATAACTAATTCTAAAGCTGTGAGTTACTTTCAACACGACATCAATTTACATTCATCAAAACAATCAAGTTACATTCGACAACAAACAAATATGGTGGCGCGGGGCATATTCCGTTCAACCAATCAGCGCGCGAGTTGCGATCCGGTTTCACAATTTGACGGTTTCACTTCGATAGATTACAATCTAACGGTGTTTACAATTTTACTTTAACACATATATATATATATATATATATAATATATATATAGATAGATAGATTGTGGGTTGACTTCTCAGAGTCGAATATCTGGAGCGAACGGCAGGTATATAATTTAAATTAAATTAACGTTTCAGTCAAGCAAAATGATTAATACATTACTAATGTTGAGGACAGATTTTCTGCGAATATATTATTATCACACAAAATTTATTATTTATTTATTTACTAAAATAGATACACTATCTTTACAGTAGTACTTAGCCAATACAATTATGTCGAAAAAAAAAACAAGATAGTCTAGTCTTACTCTTACTTGTCTTGTGTCATTTCATTTAATCACAAAAGTTTTAAAAACCTATCAGCCACGGGAATAGTCACATCTGTGGCCGAGTAGCTATGCAGCAGTGGAGTATCAAATCTCCCCTTTCCTAAACGGGACTTTATTTACCTTAACTGGGTCTGGTGGGCTTGGCGTCGCCTGTCGGACCCGGACCTACTTTTCAGGTACGACATCCGAAAATATTCTTAAGATATTTATGGGCGAGTCGGAGCTCTTTGAGACCCGCGTTATCAAGATGATTACTGTCGAACTATAATGACGTAACAGTGTTGTCAACATAAAATAAATTACCGCAAATCCCACGACGGTTTTTTCCTCACAGACCATGATTGTTGATTAGAAGAGGGACACACCAAAGCAAGATAACACGTTTAATAAAGCTTTAAAAACTACTCACAGCCATATCACAGAATTTATAGACCACGTTGTCCGGGTAATTGGTGTAGCCGACCGCGTTGGCTCCTCTTAATAACATTTGGAAGGGAATGTTGGGTATCTGACGACGCATGTCTTCTAAACGCTCCCAGGGACATTCGTGAAGGAACCTGAATTGTTAAATTAATTGTAAAACTTTGAATGGTTAGTTGGAGAGTACACATTTCAAAGAAAATCAAAGTTAATCTAATGTTTTTATGTTAAATGACGTATATATATTGTACAAGGCTTTTTATGTGGTTAAATATATAATATGATTTATGAAAACTATATTATGTTATTTCAACAGATCAATTATATTAACGAACAAATAGAATAAGTGTAATAATTAAAATATCAACTTTTACAATCTAATTTTTCCGATGCGATTCAGCATATATATTAAGCATAATTTTAAGCAAATCTTATCTTAATGATTACAGATCTTACCGTAAAGCAACATCGAAAGTGGCTCCACCCCAGTTCTCCAAAGAATATAACCCGCTGAAGTTGTGCGCTACGTACGGAGACACGGCCAACAAGTCGTGCGAACGTACACGCGTCGCTAACAACGATTGGTGCGCGTCACGGAACGTCGTATCCATCAACAATAGACCTTTGTGATTGCGTACGGCCTTTGCGAAAGCGTCAGGACCGCCCTCTTGGAGAATTTGTTTGAAACCCCTAGGTGGTTTCACAGCTGGAAATTCGACATTTAGGTGTAAGACCAACGGAGCTGTGTGAAGCTTGTGCGTGTAAATCTTAACAGCTGGTTATGCTGTATTCTCATATATATATACTCAAACTAACTTGTCAGGCACAGAATGTTAACCTAAACGTATATCACACCCTCTGTCTTCTTTGCCGATGATTAGGGATGTCTATTGATCCAAATTTAATGACGTGGAATGAGTGATACCTGTATCTTATATGCCATAATAAACATATTTTATTCTTACAAAAAAAGACAATACTATATTTTATTTTATAAAGAAAAATAACAAGTGAATCATACGCAGACCTGAAGCTATAAGGGTTTATAAGTTTTTACAAAAATAGCGGACGCTAGAATACTTAGATTACAATAGACTAATAGTTTTGATGTTCATGGTTTGTTTATAGGAATTGTAAATATGTATTACCATGATTTTATTAGTTTTACAATGTATTTAATAGTTTTGTTAAATTGTATTAAGGACACGACAACACAAATAATGGCATTTTTGTAATTTCCCATTTAAATAGGCATGCCTTTAGACGTTATAAATGAGAAACGGTGATTTATTAAAAAAAATGTCGTTGGCTTACTGTCCCTGTGTTATTTAAACTGGACAATCCTACAACAAAATTATTTTTATAATCTTTCGTATTCACACTTTACCAGAATAAAAAAATAAATAAATTCCTCACGATGTTTTCCTTCACCGTTCGAGCGAATGTTAAATGCGCACATAGAAATAAAGTCCATTGGTGGGAATCGAACCTACGACCTCAGGTACACTGCCACAGAGACTAAACATTGTGAACTTGTTTTACTTTTGTAGGTTTTCCTAACCTATATTAAATGCGTAAATTTTTTAATAGAAATCTGATGAATATAAAGTAGAACGTTTATTTTTAATAAATCACCGTACAACAATCGTAACATCACTTACCTGTATTTTCGCCAGTCAGTTCCTGATTTCTAATTGCCTCTGGCGAAAGGTCTGTAGTAGAAAAAAAAAAAACAGTGCAATGCTCGTGTTGTGCACATAAAACTAAGACCATGATATTACGAATTGTTAAAAGATAAATTTAGTACACAAACACAACCCGAGTTAACAGAAGTTATAGAAATTATGATTTGCCATGGAATTAGAACGGAAAATCTATTTTAGTTTCTAGAACCTTCAGTTATGAAGAAAAATAAGGATTAATTTATCTGTTTCTATGAATTAAAACACTTCTTTATTTGGAATATTTTTAAAATATTCTTTTTTGTTTAGCGTAAAATTCATAAAGAAGTCTGAGTCATACTTTACGCTAAGTTGTGAATGTTTTAAATTATAACACACCGTTAGTTGTAGCATATTTTTTAATGCAGATAAAAACTAAAAGATTGACACGTGAATATTGTAAAGCATTAATCTGTGGCAAATGCATAAAATTCTAAAATTAAAAACTATAGAGACGGTTAAAAGCCTTTAGACATTTGACATTTCGTAAGCGTGAGTTCATAGAAAATAGAATATATCAACATCGAAACACGTAAATGCTTTTTAAACTGATTTAAATTGATACCACCCATGGCCCGCAATACCAGAGGGCTAACGAGTGCGTTGTTGGAATAAGAATTGGTACTCTCTTTTCTTGAAGTCGAATTGATTCGGTAATACTTCAGTGGCTAGCTAGTTCCACATATTGATGACTAAAAAATGTTAACACAAGTATTGTCACAGTGGTACAACAGTGGTTTTTGAAAAGACCATTTACTGTAATTTAGAACCATTTTTATTTGAATTTTCTAGTATCGACAGTCTTGTCTTCGAATTTTCTAGTCTCGACAGTTTACTCTTTGAATTTTCTTGTCTCGACAGTTTACTCTTTGAATTTTCTTGTCTCGACAGTTTACTCTTTGAATTTTCTTGTCTCGACAGATTTGTTTTTGAAATTATTGTTGATACGAAAGTCTTGTCTTTGAATTTTCTTTGTCTTGACAGTTTACTCTTTGAATTTTCTTGTCTCGACAGATTTGTTTTTGAAATTATTGTTGATACGACAGTCTTGTCTTTGAATTTTCTAGTCTCGACAGTCTTGTCTTTGAATTTTCTAGTCTCGACAGTCTTGTCTTCGAATTTTCTAGTCTCGACAGTTTACTCTTTGAATTTTCTTGTCTCGACAGTTTACTCTTTGAATTTTCATGTCTCGACAGATTTGTTTTTGAAATTATTGTTGATACGAAAGTCTTGTCTTTGAATTTTCTAGTCTCGACATTCTTGTCTTTGAATTTTCTTTGTCTTGACAGTTTACTCTTTGAATTTTCTTGTCTCGACAGATTTGTTTTTGAAATTATTGTTGATACGAAAGTCTTGTCTTTGAATTTTCTAGTCTCGACATTCTTGTCTTTGAATTTTCTTTGTCTTGACAGTTTACTCTTTGAATTTTCTTGTCTCGACAGATTTGTTTTTGAAATTATTGTTGATACGACAGTCTTGTCTTTGAATTTTCTAGTCTCGACAGTCTTGTCTTTGAATTTTCTTTGTCTCGAGAGTTTACTCTTTGAATTTTCTTGTCTCGACAGACTTGTTTTTGAAATTATTGTTGATACGACAGTCTTGTCTTTGAATTTTCTTGTTTCTACAGTCTTGTCTTGGAACACTCAGTCTATATTATTTACTAACTTTAAGCATCGAATAAATCTTAACACCTGTTACTTTCAAAACAGGTTAGTTTAAATTATAATATTAAATGTTGGAAATATGATGATACGTTTATTTCGATAACATGAATTTTATCCGTGTTAGCGCTTACGAAAAAGTCACTTGTCTAGAAACGTTTAGGAAGCTTTAAGCGACATTTATTATAATAATTGACCTACCGTGACCGGAGCTGACTGGAAAGTTAACTTAATCAAATTAATATTTTGATATATATTAAAAAAAAAAATAATAAGTAAATTTTTTTAAGTGAGCATTTCATAATTCCTATATAGCTCTGAAATGTGTCTCATATAAAAAAAAAACAATATTTAAAAAAAAATTCAACAACTTACCCAATGGAACTGGTGGTATGTAAGGCTTGGCATTTGAAGGTGGTATTTGGGTCGCCAGGGGCGTGGCTGGTCCGTTAACCAATACGTAACCGAGGTAGTTAAGTATTTTTTGCGCTCTGTTTTGTGATGCCTTGAACATGAACAACTGGGGATTTTCGTCTATGAAGTATGTGTCTACTGCGCCTGGAAAAATATATGATATCAATATTTTAGTTTTTAATATCTAAAAAGTTCTCTTAGTCCCTTTGGAGAAGATTCTTGGGCCGAGATAAAAGATAATAAATATAAAGATTTAAGTTGGCGCCTGATTGATAGTACCGGACCCCAGAGCTGGTGCTTTTATGACACAACGAATAAGTATCGCAATACAGCATGGAAATGCTGCAATTAAAGGTACACTGCCACAGGAACCAAACTTTTTAAATTCATTGTAATTTTTTATTATTATTATTACTACGATAACTACTACTTATAACTACTATCTTAATAAAACCTGGAACAATTTCGACTATACAAACTTTTTCAAGTTCTAATTTTTATAAAAAAAAAAAATATATCTAGGGCCAATTTCAACAATTTCGATAAACCATGAGCTTTTGAAAATTGTTAATACACTATTTATAGAAATAAAATAAAAGTGGTTTCAGAATGGAGTTTAAATCTCATTTGGGTGTCATTATTTTAATGGTATGTTTATGCCTATCAACTCGAAACAAATGTGTGTTGACGAAGTCGAACTCAAATCAAACCCTAAATAAAACAACAAAAAGTCTTTTGACTTCATTGATATACAAAAAACCCAAGATGCACACTCAACGTCAAAAAAACGTCCTCAAAAAATGAGCGCAACATTCTAAATTGTGCGCTCATTTCAAATAGTCTCGCGTCTACAAGTGGAGTCGATGTTATTTATTTGTGTTTTTTTTATAAATAAATTTATGTACTCTTGAACTTCTTTGTGTGTAGTTTTTGACAAATATATTTACGCTATATAAAGTGTGGGTCAGGAGGTAGCCAATTTAACATTTTTTTTTAATTTAAAGAAAAAACTTTTTAACCGGATTAAAGTTATGTATTATTATAAATTGACAACTATTTAACATCCAACACCTTTTGTCTTCAGTCACCGTGACCACTCACGCTGTAAAGCAATCGAAAAGTCGGATAAATTTAAAATTATGTTAAATAGTTGTAAATAAAAAAAGTCATGTTCGACTCCACTCAATACCTTGTCCTACCGACCATGGTCGGTCGAAAATTTTTATTGCTTTAAGTAGGGGAGCGTGGGGCTTGTTGTAACAGGGGTAAATAGTAACAGACCTTTTTCAATAGGAATTTGAATTTTATTCACGTTTTTTTTTTACCTAATCTTAAACTTATAACGTGCCACGCCACTTTACCACAGCCAAGGGCCCGCCAGGAGGCTCAGTGAGGTGGGTGTGTGCAAACGCTTTATTGTTGACAGGTAACCTATAATTTTACTAACGTAAATTTTTGGTTAGTTTCACTATTTTCATAGCTTTGAAGTTTTATGTATTTTATTTTATGCTAAAATATAACTATTTATGATGTTCTATAACAGTGTTCAAGATTACTAAGTCGATTTAATATTTATCGTGATAAATATTAAGAACTATATCAAGGGGCTAGTTGTAACAAAACCTCGGGGTTTGTTGTAACATGTTACAATTTTCCCCCAGATTGCTGTAAGTTACTGACGGCCGATGTTCATTTTTCCCCGGCTTAAATACTCAGAAATGTTCATTCGCGGTGGACCTCAAGATTGCATTGGAGCTGGTAATTCTTCAGGGTGGATGACCGATAAAGAAAGAATTTTTGATTTTTGTAGATCATTTTATCAAAGACGCGAAACCTACCAAGAAAGAGCCAGTTCTGTTACTGCTTGATAACCATGGCTCACATGTGAATATTGCAGCTGTCGAAAAAGCCAAAGAAAACAATGTTATCATGTTATAGTTTCCCTCCCATTGCTCCCACAATTTGAAACCTGTAGGAGATGTGGGAGTCTACGGCCCTTTTAAAAACTATGTGAACAGAGCACAGACTGCATGGATGTATAATAAGTGCCATGTTGACATGATATAAGTACCTTATATACTTCATGACATGATATAAGTACCTTATATATATTATACTTCAGTACAGAATAAGAAAGATAGTTAAAATCTTAAATCTTTAATTTGTTGATTATATTTTTTGTCCAGTTAACTATTTCATAAAAAAACACATTATAGAAATACCTAGTTAGTTTTTGTTATATACAAAGCAAAATGATCCAAGATGTGAAAAAATTAAACAATTGAAGGTGTCATTTTTGTTGTTACAACTAGCCCCAACCACGGGGTAAGTTGTAACACTTCCCCTTTTTCAAAAAAATAATAATTGTGAGATAGTTGCCTGTAGATTTGATAATATTTCGATTAGACTTCATAGATAAATAGTTAGAGTATCCATCAAAGTTTATTTAGTAGTAATTTAGCCAATACACTTCATGATATTCAATTATTTGTTAAAATTGTTACAACTTGCCCCACGCTCCCCTACGTATACGCTGCGTTGTAATAACAACTTTAAGCAATTCGCGTAAGGTTGATTTTGCAATAATATATGCTTGTAACATATACTGTTATGGACAGAAATATTGTTTCGGGACACTTTTGAGCGTTACTTTTATATGAGACTGTGCATCTTGGGTTTTTTGTATATCAATGTTTGACTTCAATTTTCTATTCGTATTGAAACTCTGGGAAATATCTTACCATTTAAGAATTTCTGGTTCTCAAGCACATTTAGTAAAAACGGTATGTTTGTCTTTACGCCTCGGATACGGAACTCGCGAAGGGCGCGGTTCATCTTCGCAGCCGCTGATGGTAGATCTTGAGCGTGGGATATCACCTAAAACATATTTATAATATATAAATCTTAATGTATATAGGAGCATTCAAGTGTTACGTAACGAATTTGTATTAAGTAAGGAATTTTCTTGTTTACCTTAACGAGTAACGAGTCGTAGTATGGCGATATAATAGCTCCGGCGTAAGTTGAGGCTGAATCCAGACGAATTCCCATACCCTCGCCAGATCTATAATATACGAAACAAAGTAATTTAAAAGTAAATTATATACAGAAATTATTCTTTTAAATAAAATCCTTTCAATTAAATAATATAAACATACTTTTGAGTCACACACACCGCCATTTCACTTTGTTTACAAAAATATGCTACTAAATTATTAAAATTCAAGCGAATATATATATATATACATATATAAACTATATAAAACTTTCTTCATTGGTAGTTGGGTAAACAGCGATTAACGCTGTTTTATTAGAGACCTACTTCTGTTAGCGCCATTGTAAAAAGAAATTAGGTAGAAATTCTACTATACCAAAAAATATATAGACACCAAAACATAATAGCAAAGGATGCAGTCATGAGCTACCGACCCAAGAGAGAGAGACATAATAGCAAAAACTTACCTAAACACCTCAATCCTGCCGGTACTAGGTTGGAAGTTATTCGCCGGGTCCTCAGTGGTCACTCGGCATTGTATCGCGTATCCGTCCGCCCTTATTTTATCCTGTGTGAGACCCATTTCCGGCAACGTCATGCCTTCGGCCACGCGAATTTGAGATTGCACTAGATCGATGCCTGTTACTTCTTCAGTTATTGTGTGTTCTACTTGTAATCTGTAATTCATTATAATTATTATTTAGGAGGCCTATGCGAATTGCGAGATATTTTATGAGTAATTTGGAAATAAAACTTTTATTATATTTTATAAACGATATAAGCTGAATTTATACAAATCATGGTTTAATGGAGTGTTTTAAATAATAGAGGATTTTATTTTTACTATATATTAACCACTCGCGTACATAACAATGGAATATAAGCGAAATAATGAAATGTTAATTGCCATGTAAGAAATGAATGTTAATGTTGAAGAGAGTGCCTACGTCTGGCTATGCTCTCGGGGCGTAACTCTGACGATTTAGGAAATCGCCACGTTTACTCGTATAAACTAAGAAAGCCTGAGTGAGCAAAATGTACAGCCTTGGCTCGTACAATAGATATATTCAGTCTGACAAACTAACTTACGTATGCACATATAAATGTGGGTATATATACCCTAGAATAGTTTTTGAATCATTTATTCTTTGTCTATGTGTTTCAAATAGTCTATGAACATGTTATGACTAATTGTGGCTTATGTTAATTGATAAGCGTTATCTTTAAAGTTCAAAAATATTCTAAATATAATGTATAGAAAATATCTTGTATAAAATACTATAAAGTTTTACGTATTGCATTGATCAGACATTATTTTATTTGATGAATATAGTTAAATATTTAACTGTTTTTTATCTAATCTCTTAAATAATTATTACGACGTAACTTATTTTATTGGTTCTAATTGCGCCATCTATAATTAACCAGAAAATTAAGTTGTGTGTTGCAAAACATGTATAAACAGGTTTTAATTTAAAAAATTGAAAAATATGTAAAACACAACGCGTTAAATAAGACTAATATTAATATGTAATCTGTGGGCTTTTTGACAAATGACAGCACTTGTCAAACTGACACGTGTCATTGTTGAAATCACAGACCATAGTTTACCTAATAGCTGAACCTCAATATGTCTTGGTCGTTCGATGAATCTCTCAATGAACATTAGATAACTTGAAACATACCGGCTTCATCTGCTTGGTGTGAATCAAATCAATCCAAGGCCAGTGATAATTATTCTACCATATATTAAGTTCAGTATTGTTCTTATCATTGGGAATTACAGTAATTTTTAAATACACCTTATACGTATTTTTAAATATTGAATAAATAGTGTCAATGCGTTACCTAGCGTTAACTTCAATGAAGTAGAAGTTCCCCTTGTCGTCCAACAGGAACTCGACAGTTCCCGCATTTTCGTATTTCACGTGACGAGCCAAATGGACCGCACAATCCAGCATACGTTGACGTGTCTAAAAACAATATTATTTATTTAAAATACTTTTTTATTGAAGATTTTATTTTAGACTTTCAAAAAAATGCTTTAAAATATTATATTAGATATTATAATGTCTTTGTTATTCCTCTATTATATTAAATCTAATATATAAAATTCTCGTGTCACGGTGTATGTAAATAAACTCCTCCGAAACGGCTCGAGCGATTTTCGTGAAATTTTGTTCACATATTATATTATAATAATTAATGCATCTTACTATTCATTATATATACTGCTCAAAACAATTGGCGGAACAAGATTTTTCTCCTTTCTATTGCTTAAACTAAAATTAGATTTAAATTAACTTCGACGCTATTTTTTACCTTGTTAATTTGTTAATTACTACAATTAATAAAAAAATTCAATTTGTATTTTTTTTATTAAAAAAAAATTAAAATGTGCATTGTAGACGAAAAACAAAGTGACGTCTTTAAATTTTCATTACTTTCTAATCACAGAAAACACATTTTAAGTAGTTTTTTTCAATCTTTTGAGTATTAATAGAAATTGAAGTGAGCCTTTTGAGTATTGTTATTCATTGAAGCGAGTGAGTTCAGGTCATAATGCCAGATCTGACTGAATTGCATGTCTCCCGAGCTATCGCTTTGCTTGAAGAGGGTCGAACTATGCGTTATGTAGGAAATGATCTAGGAGTAGTCCCTTCTGTTATCTAACTATCTATCTATATTCTATCACTAATTGTTTTGAGCAGTATATATATTTTTGTATAAATAGGTAATAATTGTTAACTGTGTTTTATGTTAATGTTTGAATGTGTATTCCGTTTTTGGCTTTTGTGTATAATGTTTTAGATTTCGCATAATAAGTAGCTGTAGGAATACTAATAAGCAAATAAATAAAATTAAATTATTGCTGTTTTATATCAAGCACTAAACAGGCGGAGGTACACACGGTAGAAGCGATTTATAGACCTTATAAGAAAAGTTTTCTGGAAGGATTGGAGAAATATTGGTTTGAACTTTTACAAGCAAATTTTTTTAGCGTAAAATTGGAGAATGGAGTGGAGAAAGGATGATGTACTGTTCCTTCAACCTTAAGGAAGGGTCCTAGAACAACCACTGGCCGACTCCAAGGCCCCAGTAGCTAGTCCCCAGTAGGGCCCAGTAGCTAAGAGAAGATCTATAAATTCTTAACAGGCGGAACAACTTAGCGCATTTCAGAGTATGACGTCATCGCAGTGATTTGTAAGCACTGATTGTAGATGTCGCTACAAGTGTTTTTGAAAAATCTCTGATTCGACCCAGCCTTTTCCGTCATATTAAAATTTTAATATTTTATATTCAAAATATACGTTACTAGCCGTTTCGCGCCCGCTTTGCTGGACGAATTAAAATAAATTTTATGTTTCATTATTTTATTTTTTTTCATATTTTTATTATTCTTCTTTTTAACTTCCCGCTAAGAAAATTGAAATATTTCGAAAATCGAGTTTTTAACAGATGTTGACGTTTAGGCAGCAGATGGCAAAAACTTGACGCGTTTTCAAATCGCGCGACTAGAGATATGGTATTTTTCATACAACTGTTCACATGTACGCGCGTTAACGCGCGTAACGCGTCAACGCGGCGCCAGAGAAAAAGTCCTAGCGCAGGTGACGCGCGTTGACGCGGCTTGAATAATGTAATGTCCGTTGCTGTTCAGATGAGGCGCGCTTTCATCGCGACGCATGTAATTATTAATTCGTAATTATATTTTGTTCTCGCTAAAATGAGTGAAAGAGATATTGACATCGACTTACTAATCGAGAAGTAGAAAAAAGGCAGCAAGTTGGAATATAGCAAATTTGTATAAAAAATATAATATAAATTGTATTTTTTCAAAATTGGATAAACCCAATGTGTACGTTTCTTTCTATATTTTTCTTTATAATATAACCACAAAATAATAGCCTCTTCCACGTCCATTTTCTACGTTCTACCGAACAGACTGACGAGTACTCCAACGCGCGTTAGCGCACACTGAAGCTCTTCAAATTTGACGCGCGTTGGCGCGCGTGGCGCGCGGGGCCTTAGAGGTTCTAGGAAGCCTCCCCGAATGTTTCCGCGGTGAAGTCCGTATGGATAAATTTTCATAAAAGTAAAACAGCAATAAAAAAATGAAGAAACGTTGGAATTTAATAAATAAATATAAATAATAATAAAGCCATAAACCATCTAGGAAAAATTTCGCATCGAATGGTGGTAGTTTCATGTCGATACGATCAGTGGTTTAGGCGTGAAGGAGACTCAAACGAAGACCATTTTTCTTTTATATATATATAGATTAAATAAAGTCTTACTTCAGGGTCCAGTCTGGGTGCTGGAGCGATTTCAACAACTTTCTGATGACGTCTCTGTACGGAACAATCACGCTCATATAAATGTACGACATTGCCTGCTTTGTCACCTGGAAACGGAAAATATTAAGCGTTAGTACTGCGAGCACAATCCAAAACAGTACATCTAAGTTTTTTAAAATATCTTTGGGTTAAAATTTTGTAATTACAGTTAATTTATATATAAAAAGGTAATGGATTAAAAAATAAATTATGTGTAATTAAACGAATGAATGAATATTTTTTGGTTCATCCAAAGTTAAGAAGAATGTTAAGTTGTGGCTGAAAAACAGGTTTTAATTGAATAAAATTTAAATAACTGTAAAATAATAATATTGTGTAATCTGTGGGCTTTTTGACAAATGACAGCACTTGTCAAACTGACACGTGTCATTATTGAAATCACAGACCACAGCTTACCTAATAGCTGAACCTCAATATGTCTTGGTCGTTCGATGAATCTCTCAATGAACATGGAGCCATTTCCAAAAGCCCCAAGCGCTTCAGAAGAGGCTCTCTCGAAGGCTGACGTCACTTCACTCATCTCACGGACAACCCTCATACCGCGACCCCCACCGCCATACGCCGCCTGAAATATACACAATTAACACTTTATAATTGTATAATTTAACACGAGCACTACACATTTAAATAATCATTCTTAATCTCTATATTATATATAAAATTCTCGTGTCAAAATGTTCGTTCCCATACTCCTCCGACATAACATTGTATAATTATATTCGGTAAGTCTGAGAATCGGCTACTATCTATCTTTCAAACCCCTAAGTGATAAAGGTAGATAGATACAAGATAAGACACTCCAATTTTATTTTTAATTTTTAGAATTTTTTATTTTTGTTTTTATTTTTTATGATAAAGCATAAAAAATTACATACAATTTTAACCGCTCTACGATTAACCCCTATTTTTATTTATGTAGACAGTTATTTTTATTGAACTAACAAAATGGTCCATTCTGGCCACGTTTGCTGGATCAGCTAGTATTATATATTTTTTTTTTTTATTATTAAAAGTAATTGCAAAAACAAAACTTAATGAAAACAAATTAAAGTAATATTTACAGTCGTTTTTACTGCCGTTTCTAGTTATTTATAAGTATTGATTTTTTTTACAAAGCACAAATATTTAATTGACTTTGATGATAAATTAAATATACCTCAGTCTTCAGATTTCTGTACCTGTTTTATGATCATTTATCAACCTAATAGGCAAGTACGTGATCACCCTCTTGTGACTGACACACGCGATCGACTTTTTGAGTCTAAGGCAAGTCTGTTCCTTCACGATGTTTTCCTTCACCGTTCGAGCGAATGTTAAATGCGCACATAGAATGTCTATTGGTGTACAGCCGAAGATCGAAAGTAGGACCTCAGGGATGAGAGTCGCATGCTGAAGCCTAGGCCATCACTGCTCAATATATGAAAGCGTTCTTTTTTTTTATGTATAATGTTTTAAATGTAACCTTGAATATAACAGGTAGTCCATGTTGTTTGCAGAACTCCAATGCTTCCTCTTTTGTCGTGACCGGTCCATCAGTACCAGGGACGATTGGTACCTCTGAAAATTTAAATTCTTGTTATAGATGAAATATTCAGAGATGGGCTATATCCCTGTGTCGACTAACGTGTTGCACGAATGTGCGCAGACGCAAAATATATTTATATATGTAGGCAACATATTTTATTTACAAGGAGAATGTATGGCATTATCATTATTATGAACTATGACCAAACGGAAAATCTGCTAGATGTATTAAAATAATTTTTCACTTATGTTCTCAGGGGTGTGCCTGACACATACGCACAGTCACCCTCCTAACACCCACTCACACACACGTACATACCCTCTCCCTCTATCACACAACACATACAGACACTCACACACACACACCCGTGAGGGTGAATGTGATGTGAATACACCCATACAACTTTATTTCTACTAACTTCTAACTAGTTGACTGTTCCGTTTTGTTTATCTTTCCTTAAAATAAAATAAAATAAAAATGATATATGGGAGAAAATACATTATTATTATTTATTGAACATCGTATGTTTCACTTACTGAAAATTTTCTACGAAAACTGTAGATTTAAATATTTAAATTTGATTAGATTTCAGTGAAATGTTTTCTCTCTTTTATTTTAAAGTGACATGATAGAGACACATTAATAACTTTCGAAACCGAACCCGACCAAACCCGCGACCTCCATCCTCCAACTCCTTGACTCTTTCACAGTAGCTCAGTGATGGCAGCTACATAGATTCTAAAGTTTAGGTCAAACATTTGTTTAAAATCAATCGTAAGGGTGCGTTCACATCTGGCGAATATGCCGCGAATGTGCAGCTCGCGAGCCGTTTGCGAGCTGCGCGCTTTCGGCTCGCGTCTTCCTTCCGCCCACGCACGTAAACGGAACTGTAAGCGCGTGCGCCTTATACGAGCCTTGCATGAGTTGCGCTAAAGAGGCGCACATAACCATTGCCGTGACGGCACGTGCGCAGCTCGCAAACGGCTCGCGAGCTGCACTTTCGCGGCGCATTCGTCAGATGTGGACGCAGCCTAACAAAAACGCTTGGACTAACGAAACGACGAAAAAACTGTAAGTTGTATGGCAACGTTTCGCATGTGTTTTGTCTCGCTCTATTATATAGCTAGATGAAATAGTTGCGTCCTTGTCGGTATTGTTTCGCAACTAACTGCGAAATGGCTGTTACACAGACGCAGACGTTTCGCTAATGAAGTTTCGCATCGCAAGGCGTCACCACGCGTTCTGTCAGTGAGGACAGAATATCGCACAATGGAAGCCGAAAATATTGAATTATTAATGAATTTGATTCGAAATTATCCCGAATTATATTTAGTTGGGCATGTTGATTACAAAATCCTCTTCAGAATCTGAAAGCGACGACTGGAACGACTCAGATGACATTCTGAAACGACGTCTGCACCTACAGCCCACGAAAGCTACAATGACATATCCTTGCGAAAAACCTGCAGTGTACTAACGTTCCGCAGATATTTCGCTACCGCAATTATTTCGCAAAGATTCGCAGCCGCATACGAACGCGTAGGTGTACTAAAGGCGTAATACCTCAATATAATCCGAAAAACTCCATAAAGTCTTTATAATAATCCTTTAGGAGCTACGATGTTATAGACAGGCACATATATACACGTTAAAGTTAAAACATTCCTCTTTGCTTAGGTGTTTAAAAACTTTTAATACTTTTGAGGGTATGTTCATAAATAATATTTCTTACTGGCTTCAATAGCAGCTACTCTGGCAGCAACCTTGTCTCCCATTTGCTGAACCACTTTGGGTGAGGGACCGATGAATCGGATTCCAGCGCTGATGATTGCTTGGGCGAAGTCTGACCTAAATTGTTACAATGATCAGATTAGAGAGGGTACTTTAAAAAAATCCTGCGACATACTCGAGTATATTATTTAAAAAAATCAGCACGATCAAACGATCACAAATGAATCATATCACTATACTTTTAATGCTGTAGGTACAGAAGCATTTTTGCAACATTTATTTTTACCATAATAATTGTCATATATGGATACATCCAATGTGTTTATTTTATGATTTATTTTTTTACTTTTTTTTTATTGTAAAGAGATGGATCTGTTTAATGCTCAAGAAGTTTGCCGGTATCTGTACGCGTGCAATGAACAAATAGTTTACTTCACTTCGTTTTTTACTTCATTAATATTTAAATTTAATATGTAAAAAATATTTATTACAAAACTAAAGTGGAATTGTTACTCAAATTCGACTCTAAAAATTGAAAAATACACTTAGACATAGGCTTATACATTTCAGCAGTTAAATCGTAGTAAGCATATGTATCTCGAAGTTCTTGTTAAGTCGAAAACTCGTTACCTCGATTTTTTTTGCATTTCCCTTGACATTCGAGTTATAGAGATTCCACTGTGTTATGACTGTAAATATAGCATTATCGTCACTGTAAAATGATAACCTCGTATGTCAAAAAACCATTTATTTTTTATTCTTATGCCGGCCATACACACTACGATCTACCGGAGAGGTCCACCTGTGCAGGTAGGCCTGCGCAGGTAGACCGGAATGTGTGTGGGAATAGACCTGTGCAGGTTTTTGAATCTGCGCCCGGCTTGCCCGCGCGGACGCAAGCCGGCAGCTTGATTGTATAAAATAAGGCCGGCGGGTTGGGCCGGCGATCCGTGCCGCCGGGTCAGCGGCTTTGGTGTGTAGACCGCTTTACGGTGTACCTGTGCGTGTGTGCGTGTACTCCGGTCGCCTGCGCAGGTTTGTAAGATAGTAATCGGCAATGTATCTACATTCTTCGCTTGTTTTTCGTATCATTTTTCTTCAAAATTAAAGCAAGACCTAGCAACGCCAGCGTGTCATCGTCCACATTCGATGCCATCGCAAAGAGAACTGAAGAGCGCTCCGATACACCGGAACGTCCCCATACACGCTACCATTGTTCGGTTGACCTGCGCAGGCATACCTGCACAGATTACCTCTCCGGTAGACCGTAGTGTGTATGGCCGGCATTAGACTCTTATGTCATTTAAGTGGTATAATCATGAAGTAAGGACTTAGTCCATAGATTTACCATCTAAAACTATGGACAAAATAAACACATAATCATATTTTAACGAACATTGACGAAATGAAAAAAATTTTGTCTCCTGTAATGTTTGGTGCTCTGGACATACGAGGTTATTATTCTACAGCGACATTATGTATGATGTGGTGAACTTTAATAAATAAATATCCCAAAATGAGTTGTGTTGGCTTCAGCGTGCGACCCTCATCCGGGGGCGACAGAAGTTTGATGACCTACCTGACTAACCAGTGTTAAAATTTTAGACAAAATTATTATTGTAACGTGTGTATTTATTTATTTTCGTGTTAATATTTATTTTGTAAAATCTTACCGTTCAGAAAGCAGTCCATAACCCGGGTGGATAGCGTCAACGTTATTTTCCTTCGCCACTCGAATGATTTCAGGAATACTTAAGTACGCTTCCACTGGTGGAAGGCCCTTTCCAACTAAGTACGATTCGTCGGCTTTTTGTCTAAAAAAAATAAATAAAATAATAAAAAGCATTTAATTAGAAGATTTGAAATTAATTGAAGTGTTACTGAAACTTTAAAAATTGTAAGTTCTTTTCCGTTATTATATGTAATATTTATTTTATTTATTAACACAACGTTAAGGCAACGGGATGTCTTATCGCGAACAAGCGATCTCTTCAAACCCTAGTAAGGAAAACGAAAAGAAATACTAAGGCAAAAAGTGCATAGCAAAATTGAAAAATAAAATTACAGATAACAATGTAGACTTATACAATTACAAAACCAACATGTAAAACAAAATGAAAGTAAAATTCTTTAGGCCTTTTCAAGAACTTTGTAAGTAAAAAGAAGTTATTTATAGATTTTGTGCATAGTACTCGCGTAATTCTAATATAGTTTGATTATACAGTTGACGATTATTTAAATGATCCTAATCCTTGGAATTGATTTGCTCCAGTTCAAACAATTTGTATAAGTCAAAATTTGGCGATTAAAAAGAGTGGCGTAGAGTTTCTTGCCAGTTCTACTTGCCCGCTCTACACCCTTGACTTCCGAACTGGTAGTAAATGTAAATTTAGAATCAATTTAACATCTTTTCTGTTGACGTTCATAAGTGTACTTGGATATATGAATAAAGTTATTTTGAGTTTAAGTTTGTCTTGGAGAGATCCTTATTACCTATTGATTACAATTTCGAAATAAATAATTAGTCCTGGTAAATATAATAAATATAGTACCAAATAATAAACGTAATCCACCACCGATTACTACCGTTGTGCATTATTACCGGCGCACCGAATCAATTCTACTTAGGGTCCTTCAAGAAAAGAGCGTACCAAGTCTCAATGTCAGTGTCCATAGGTGGTTTCACTTAACATCTGATGAGCCTCCTGTCCGTTAGCCGTATTACCAAAACATACAAACCAAACATACCTGTGCATTTGAAGTTTATCCTGCTCACTGTAGATGGCGACGGAGCGGATTCCCAACTCCGTACATGCCCTGAACACACGGATGGCAATTTCACCTCTATTCGCCACTAATACGCTTCTTATTGGCTTGTATTCTACATTTTTGACGTCCTGAAATACATTTATTTTCGTTTATAAGACCACTTAATAATAATAGCCTTTACTGCTGTAATATAATTATCCTAGTACATAAAAATGCGAAGTACTATAAACACTAATAATTCCCCTCTAAGAGCTTCCACTTATCTCGGTGTCTAGCTTTACGTAGCCACATAGGGCCAGCTGCTCTACTTATATCATCTTCCCGTATTTTTATTTGTCTTCCTCGTTTTCTATTGTCAAAGCGAGAAAGCCATACCTCGACCATATAAGACCACTTAAATTATAATTAAATGTAATAATTTTACAATAAATTATTAAATAATAAATTAATTAAACAATAAATAATTAAATTTAATTATATTATTATAAATAATATTATTATAATTAATGTGTTACCTAAATGAATAAATGATTTGATTTGATTTGAAAATGTAGAAATTATTTATTTATTGAAGTTTACCACATCATACATAATGCTATATCAGTATATGTTACAAACTTCTTATCTAAAATATATGACAATTTTGGTAAACATAATTGTTACAAAAAACTAAAAAAAACTAGTAATTTTTTGAAAAATATAGAAACATTGCTATGTACTTCACGGCAATCAAACTTCTTTTATTGGCTTATTAATAATGCCTGGAGGAGCTAAAACAATTACTTAGAAGAGCACTTTTGGGAGATTAAAATAATGAATATTGTAAAAAACATTCTCTAAACCTGTCTGTTAGATATCTTAATCGTGAAAATTATTTTAATTTTAATCGCGTAAATAATACATAATAATGCAACGTGCGAGTCAATGACCGAGCCTTGAAATTTTTCAAACAGCGTTTTAAAGGCAACTAATTCAAGGTCTTACCAAAGCGCAGAAACCAATTACGGTACTTTTCAAACATTCGTTCATTCTTTACAATATTAATAATATCTACATTATCATCATTATCAAAACATTTAGTATGTACATTGTACATCTATAAACGAACTAAGCCTCAAACGTATACATGTTTTGTTCTCTCACTCTCTAGACACATTGCATTGTTAAATAACAGACTTTAATATAGGCATATGAGCAATGGATTCAGCGCGCGACTCTTATATATGGGTCATAAGTTCGATTCCCGGCTGTGCACCAATGGACTAACATTCGCTGGAACGGTGAAATAAATCATCGTGAGGAAACCGGCTTGCCTTGGACCCAAAAAGTTGACGGCTTGAGTCAGGCACAGGAGGCTGATCATCTACTTGCCTATTAGGTTGAGAAATGATCATGAAACAGATACAAAAATCTGAGGACCTTAAAAGGTTGTAGCGCCACTGATTTATTTTTGTTTTTATATAGACATAAACTCTTGAATAAAATCACATAGTGCCAGACGGTAAATGTAAGGTTAGGTTAGCTATATAAGCTAACCTCAATCAATAAATTAAATAAATCAGAAGCATTTAAAGATATAATCGCGAATCGGAGTAACCGGCTAGCTTCATCGTTATAAAAGAAGCACTGTTCTCTTTTTATCACAGCGTAAACACATTTTTTTTATACAACAGAGGGTAAACGGGTAGCTCATGTAATGTTAATTGATACCACACATGGACACTCACAATGCCAAATGGCTCGCAAGTGCGATACCGACCTTTAAAAAATTGTTAAGCTCTTTTCTTGAAGGGAAATATTTCAGTGGGTGGCATAGCGTTTGTGCTCGGCAAAAACTGCCTTAAAAAACGCTCAGTGGTCGAGGTAATACGGGTGGTAGTTCGTATTCTGCCTTAACTTCTGATGATGAAACTCAGCTGCAGGTACAATGCACTCTGCATTTCAACTCCACAATTTGGGGGAAAGGGGCCGTTCATATAATAGTATATAAACGTATTAATTTTTTGTAGGAATCCTCGAAAATGCATTTCGTTTTCAAGCATAGACAATGTGTGGGTAATATGTGTAAAAAAAAGTAAATAATTAGTGTTCTCGTAATCACCAAACAAGAAAAACAAAGACCCCCCCCCCCCCATAGTGGTTACGTAATACTTGAACGGCCCCAAAGAGACGAATACGTATTGTGTAACTTATACTCACTGAAGTTGCAGTCCGATGTTTTGAAGAACTCCACGCTTGGAACTGTGAGGCCGAGGCTCTCAGAGCGAATCTTGCTTTGAGAATCTGCATTTTGCTTAGTATAAACTAGGTTCAGGCTTAAGTATATATTTCTTATTTAATAATATACTTAAATTATTTCATTTTTAAGAATGTCTATTTGACTAGAATATCGTTTCGTAGTGGCTCGTTCGACTTTCTGAAACAAGGAAATTTAAATATGATAAAATAAATATATTTTTTATCTGCAGAGACAATTTATAAAAAAAATATATTTAAGTTTTTTTTTCTTTTTTATTAAGAAAAAGCTTGCCAACGCTCGGCACACTGACACATTGGTAAAGACAAACACAAAATACAATTTTTAGTGTGACAAGCACTTACAGTCAAACATGACATACATATATATAGAGATCATAACCTATTACAACACAAACATAACAAACATTACAAAAAAAAAACAATTACTAATCAAAGAAAAAAATCAAATTACAGAAAAGTAAACAAAAGTCCATTTTTTTTATATGTTTGTCTGTGCAAATTAAACCTGTAAAAAAAAACAATATTGTTATGCAAAACAAATCACTTTTTAATCCAAGAGTAAACGTGGACTTTGGAACTTAACAATTATAGATAACTTAATCTTATCGCCTTATATGGGAAATATATTCATTACGACTGCGTTAAATTATTCTGATAAATTTGATTGATTATTTTCGGCTTATTTGAAGATTTTTTGTTCTTACGCCTTGTGTTATCAATTATCATTAACACGTTTACCAATACTATCACTGACGATTGCCTATACCGTAGGTCCAGAGTTTAAGTACCGACGGAGTATTTTCGTTTTGATAAGAACTGTACATTGATCTGATTTGCCTAGAAAAAAAAATATTACTATAAGTGTCGCATGTCTTCCGAACAACAGCACCAAATTGAATATTTTTTTGTGTATATTATTAGTATGAAAGATAGTTAAAAACAAACTAAAAGAGCTACTATTGGTGCGAATAGTACGGGAAGAGGATTCAAATGAAAGACGTAACTATTGTACGCTCCGTTTGATTCTGATTGGTCAACAGCTACTTCTCTACGCGACGTCATACGTCATATTATGTCCGTTTGACTTAACACAATTGAACCCAATGTTGTCTCATTACATACCTTTGTTTCTTTAAATTTATGAATATGAGTGCGTGAATGAGGCAGAAAAATGTGAGATCTTGAATGATCACAAAATAGTGGATATTTCAATCATTGTTGAAAACTATACAACACTAAGGGTGCGTACAGACTATGTAACATATTATATAACTTGTGTTTTATAACACGTCCACATTATGTAACCTTGTTATTTAACATTATAACATAAAACAATACTGTACACATTAGAATAACAATGCAATATAACCATTTTACATAACAAAAGAAAAACAAAAAAACGTAGATGCTGGGTTCGTCCTAGCATACATATCAATAACATGTTTTATAACATTCAGTGTCCACATTATCTGAAACATGTTGTATAGCAATGTTGTATAACATGTTATGTTATGTAGTCTGTACGCACCTTTAGACCGAAAAACGCTAATCCGACGTAAAAAAAAAGCGGAAAAATACCTAGGGATGTGAAAAAATAATCGATTATTAAAAAAATCGATTTTTTTTTTTAAATAATCGATTATTTTTATCATTGAAAATCAATCATAGTCGATTTTTCATCTGCCACCTCCCGACATTATGTCTGGTCTTTTATAACCCGGACCTCGAACTATTAGGAATATTCGATATACAACGATGTTTACAATTCTTTGAAGATGACAATAATTAAAAAGACAACAAAAATACTGCAATGTGCTACTGCAAAGGCATACACTCGGAATTTATCAAATTTCACCTAAAATCTATCAAAACGAGAATAAGTTAATTTAGATTTTTATTATTCTTAAACGTTAATTTGTCTTTATAATTTCTATTGTTTATTTTTAATTAAAAAAAACCATGAAAAATTAAATATTTAGGGTGTTTATTTTAAAATTAATTCAAAAATTAGGAAAAAATCGATTATTTATTAATCGATTTTTCATGCTAAAAAAATAATCGATTAATAAAAAATCCATTTTTTTTATGCAGAATGTCACATCCCTAGATCTACCCTATAAGGTGCAGACTTGAATCTACGTTTTTTGCTCATTATTTATAAATAAATCGTAATATAACAGCTTCATTATTCAAAGATAAGAATATATTTTGTCTATGAATGACAATGCGAGAAAAATAATAACAAAGTACGACGCAAATTGCGTCTTATTGAGCTTGTTAGTACCACTGAGGAGTTTGAATGCAATACGATTTGTTCTTGTCAATTACAATAAATTACAGACACGTACGTTATTTGCATGAGGCTTTATTGTCTGTCGCTGGATGTTTTTCGAGGTATCTCTAAATACTTTATAATAGTTTCCCAACGTTTTGATTGTAAGGGGGCTATCTGAAAGTTCATTTAAATTATTTGGAATTTGAATTTCGGTTTTTCATTTAGTTTTGAATACTTACTGCGTTTCGTTAACAATTTCCTTGTCATTTCTTCCTAAAACCTATCATTAAAAGTTACTTAAGTGAACAATTATTTTTTTTTATATCAAAAATATGTGGGGCAAGAATCTTAGAAAGGCTAAAGTGGGGCATGGCACAAATAGGTTGGGAAACACTGGTTTAGAAGAAAACTTATGAAGATTAACGTGTGTGATAACCATGATCCCTAAACAACCAAATCGAATACAATATTGTTAGTAGCTAATTGATAATGGCGCAAGGCGTAGTGAACCGTGTTTTAGAAAAACTGCCATACACATGTCCTTGGATAATAATTTTAGTGAGCTAACGAAAATTATTTGACATAGTTCCAGAACATTCGAAATCATGTCTTATATAAAAAGTAATTTTATAGCGTATGTAATTGTGGTTTTATCTGAGCGGTTGGTTATGCAATGTGGCTGTTTGTGCTCCTTCACAATGTACCATAAAAAGTGCGGTTTTTGTGATTATGTTGTTGTATTTATAACCGACTAGCCGTTTCGCGCCCGCTTTGCTGGACGAATTAAAATAAATTTTATGTTTCATTTTTTTTTTTTTTTTCATATTTTTATTATTCTTCTTTTTAACTTCCCGCTAAGAAAATTGAAATATTTCGAAAATCGAGTTTTTAACAGATGTTGACGTCTAGAGGTTCTAGGAAGCCTCCCCGAATGTTTCCGCGGTGAAGTCCGTATGGATAAATTTTCATAAAAGTAAAACAGCAATAAAAAAATGAAGGAACGTTGGAATTTAATAAATAGCCATAAACCATCTAGGAAAAATTTCGCATCGAATGGTGGTAGTTTCATGTCGATACGATCAGTGGTTTAGGCGTGAAGGAGCCTCAAACGAAGACCATTTTCCTTTTATATATATAGATTAAAATGCAATTCATATCACTAAAGAAGTTTATAAGTCAGATGCAATTTGGGCAGAATTAACAAAATCATTAAACAAGGGCAAACGGGCAGGAAGCTCATCTGATGTTGATGAAGTGTTGCCGCTGCCCTTAGACACTCACACTGCCAGAGAGAGGGCTCGCAAGTGCGTTGCCTTTTGAGAATTGGTACGCTCTTTTCTTGAAAGACCCTAAGTCGAATTGATTCAGAAGTATATCGATGGGCAGCTTCACAAAGTGTGGTACGCGCCAAAATCTGTCTTAAAAAACGCTCAGTTGTGGAATGACGGACGTCGAGGTGATACGGGTGTAATTTCTTATATTGCCTTGACGTCCGATGATGAAACTCAGCTGCCGGTGTTAATCCTGCTAGCTACTATTTTTTTAACACAAAAGAGCTTATATAAACAATATCCTTACGGTTATCCAAATGTGTAAAGGTATTTATGTATTTACATCAAGTAACAATAGGAGAAGTAACAATTTCAGGAAAAGTGTCCACAAAAAAAAAAAACTGATACTGAAACTGAAAAAAAACTGAAACAGACATTTAATTACGGGAAGCCCCCTGATAAATTGAACAAAAGCATGTTTCTCATGTCTTTTCCATCAAACTGTTTGGTCAAATATTGTATGGTTTCATTAAGTCATCTGGGAAACATTAGTTTTCTTATCAATTGTTATTTTGATTACCAAAGGATTTATTTCGTCAAATATAAATTCATAACAATAAACATCTCGAAACTGGTTTCTTAAAGCAATAAAACGACTCTTCACCTCTTATTCAATTTACATACCTAACATCGCTTGTGTCGAGGATTAAAACAATATCAAGCGTTAATCATAATAAACACATTTGATATATATACATCTGAAAGTGTGATAGGCTCGGTGACAAAAGCTATATTTTTACTGCATGTTGGATTTGTTCTAGTATTTTTCTATTCCAGTGCATTAGTTATTTTATGGTTTTAAAAATATCTTCAACATTTTTTATACATTCGACTAATAATTTTAAAATTTCATCAATTTGTATATTTTATGCTATTATTAGATATATGTTTTAATAAATTTTTTGTTTAACCAAATTTTCAACATACCTATATATCTTATATGTTGAAAAGTTTGGTATAAACTAACATACTCAGTACAACATTATACTACGAGTGGACGCGGAAAACAGATCTTTGTTAATAAAAACAAATCACAAAATATGTTAAACTCGAAGACGGCCTTTTTTCATTTATTCCATGAAGAGAAGGTTTATTTGAAAGAAAAAATAAAAAAGAAATAAAATTTAAAACTTTATTTTACTACTTGGGTTTTATTCCGGAAAAAGAAACAGTCTCTATGGGACAGCATAGCAAAATGTTGCATATGTTGATATGTAACTACTAAAAAGGTAGGCTAAGTAAAAATATATATTAAGGCGAAATGAAGTTCGCGGGGGCAGATAGATAAAATAAAAACTTCTGTAAAGATGTATGTAACCAAACAGCTTTTATTTTTCTTTATCTGCATTATGAAACTTATCACAGACATTTATATTGCGAAAAAATCTTTCGTGTTCGAAATCTGTCTACAGGATTTCCTCATG